GAGTTAGTGCGGTCGCTGTGAGCTGGAGGTCGCCGGATGTGGATGTGCAAGCCGCGGCGGCAGGACGATGTCGTGGCACACGTGTCCAGAGGAGGCACGGTACGTACCCTCTACCCCGTTGCTCCCGTGCCGCCGCCGCCTAAGGCAAGGTAATCAAAACTGTTCGCACCGTCGTTCCTGCATTAGCCCATTCGGCGGCTTGGGTCTGCTGGGGGAGAACATGCGATGAAACAGGGGTAAAATTGTGACCCTCCTCGGCTGGATACCGAGGAGCCGGTCGTGCTCCAGGAAGCAGAAGCTCGTGCTTCCGCCCCTTTTCGGTAGGCCCTCTGCCATTCAGCGGCAGCCGTTGGCTGCTTTTGGGCGTGGTCTCTGGCAATGCGTCGACACCTCTTCGGCGGTGGGCAGTAATGAACACCATACTATTCATCAACCTTGTGCTAATGACGTCCAGTGACACCTCTGCTGTCAAGTCATCAGACCCCGTTGCATCCGGATATCATCATGTGACTTCCGCAGCCGACGTCTTAGGTGGCCGGTCGATTGGTGTCCCAAGGTCTAATGAGGTTGCACTTTGCCGCAGCCCAATCCAACCCAATCCAATGGTCAACTCCACCAGGCCATGCGCATTCGTCCACAATCCCACATGCTGGGCTGACGGATAAAGCCGTTATTTTTGGTGTCCACCTTACGTGGCTTGTGAGCCCCCGACCGGCAACAAACGTCGATGCAGAGGCGACCAAGCCGAAGTGAACTCCGACATCAGGGAACCTTGTAGACAAGGCTTTCGTTGCCGGGAACTTGGGACCAACGGGAAGGTCGAGAAACGGCCCTTTTGATGCCCCTAAACATGCTGGTATGTCGACAGGGATGGCAGGTAGATTTTGGGTTGGGACTGATTTCAAACTTTGTGCACTACCTAGGTAGAGCCATGGCCGGCGAAAACCTTCCATGAAGGCTTCCCCGGAGCGGGTCTGACCAGCTAGCTATTCACCGTGTGGGTCTCACTCCATCGGAATCAGCGCCGAGCGCTCTATAGCTGTAGCGCATGTACTTTGGCTGCTAGTGTGAGCTGTCAGTGAACGCTTCTGTTGCTCGTAACATCAGCCGAAGTCCAGAAGCCCAGAGCTATCGGGGCATTTCAGTGTCTCCAGTTCTCTCAGGGGATAAGAAACCCGCATCAGACAGCCGGTGAGACCTCGTGTCGTCAAACAACTGCTGTAAGATACCGAGATCACAGTAGAAAACTGCAAACCCCGACGTAGAGCTAGAGTGATAAGGTCTGAACCCTACAGTTCCCATCAGTGCTATCTTGGTAAGGGTTGAATCGCTGCGCGCTGCGAATAACCCCTGAAAGGTAAGTTCAAATAGCCAGAAGATTAAGGTCTGTCAGGGTTCTGCACCAGCATCACAAGATTGTAATAAGCACAAGTGACTGAGACGAGGCCGCCACAGCGGTCAGCGTAAGCGAGCGAGCCGTCTTTCATCTTCAGTGATGCATGATGCGTTGGTAAGGTTTTTTGGGAGATGCGCAGCAGCGTCGCAACAGGAGTCATGAAAACAAAGATGACTTGTGATTGTAGGCGAGGCCATGGAAACGTTCCAGAAGCTTTCTGCTTCAGGGAGATAGAGTTCGAAGCGACAGGTCATGACTCAGCCCTGTCGTTTGAGCAAGCAGACATTCGTATCGTATCTGCAGCTAGCGTGGTTCAGCGGGTTGAGAGGCATTGGCTGCACAGACCACGCGGCATCTTGGAAGCGTCGAGCCGGCTGATTGCGACTGGTTGAGGGTGATGAAGATGTTCGGGAACGAACTCTATAGCGAGTCAGGGCGGGCCACCTGCATGGTGCTGCGGCATGGAGCGAACGAACGTTTCCTCGCGTGGCCTGTTCGGCCAACATTGTTGGATAACCTTCCATCAGAGACGAGTGCGTGACGGGGGGATGGGTATCCTTGAGTGTTGGGCGCATCCATTATCCATGATGCGATGACGGCCATCCGTATCCCAAAGGAGCCAAATCTCGCCCGTCCGGCGAGCCCATTACCGTCCGGAGTTCCCAAGCCAGACAAGCAGTCAACAAGCAGTTTGCTTGTTGGGGCCGTTTTGCCAGGTGGTTGGTAGGTCAATGCTGCGACCCGTCACAGGGCTTGGAGGTGACGTGGAAAGGCCTTCGGGGACGAGATGGGACGAAGGCATGGGGATTGGTGTCGTGGCACCGGGGAATGGCTTCCGCTCGCTGTGTGCGGGACTCTACCGGTGAGGGCACCCATGATCTGCATGCAGTGCGATATGATGTGCGAGCAGCAGCCATTACCATGACCTTGTGGTGACAAGTTTGTGGTGGTGGTGGTTATCGTGTTGGGTCTTCTTCTGGACCCCGGCTGAAGCGCAAGTAATTTTAAAAATTTTCTCGCCATTTTGATGACAATGTCCCGGAACTGCTCAAGCTCAGACGGGACGTGGGCTCAAGTGTCCGGGTGATGTTGTGGACCCCGGCCTTCGTTTGCGTCACCCCCAGTCCAGAGTGTCTTCGCTTGTTCTTCTGGAAAATAGGATCTGCGGTGTCACCCTGTCCGTGGCTAGGAAGGAGTACCTGCGGAGCCGAGGAAAGGGCCACGCTGTTTGGGACAGATTGTCGCGTCGGGCATCTGCGTGCGCGGTCCGGGGGAGAGGAAGGGTTCTGAGAGAGAAATGGGGGTTTGACGGATTGCGATATCTGTGAAGTGTATTCAAGAGAAGGGGGTGAAGACGGGGAAAGGAGAAGGGAGAAGGAGGAGGCGACAAACATGGGCAAACCGAGGAGACACGGAAGGAGACGTTTGAGAGGAGGGTAACTGCGATGCCGATGCCAGAGTGCTTGCCAGTCTGGGGCAACACCACAACTGCCTCGCCGACTCGTAAAGTCGGGAAGAAATTGGCTCGCTAGCACCCACCCACCCAACCCACGCCCTCGGATCGTTTCGTCGTGTGCCTGCCTCGCCTCACATCAAGACGAAGCGAAGGCTATGGAAGGTGCGATGTAACTACCTACGTGACTGTTGTGACCAGGCCGAGCCTGCCTGCCTGCCTGCAGCCGACCGGTTGTGGGCTCGACTTTCCGGAACACTGGAAAGAACCCCCCACCTTGCTCTTTCCCGGCCAAGGCCAAGAGCCATTTCCATTCTTGCCTCGCCGCATTGAGACTGTCGTCGTCATGCTCCACATATTGGCGACACCGTCACCGTCGTCACCGAGGTGAGCCCGTTTGTAAGAACGAATGAAGAAACTTTCGCCCGTAGGCAGCGACGCGCAGCGTGCGCAGGGTAGTAACGAGATGATGGCTACTTTCTTCTTCTTCTTCTTCTTCTTCTTCTTCTTGCTCCACTCATCGCCCTCACCAGTTATCTTGGAATACGCCGCGATGAGAATAAGAAAAGATCTTGTCTCATCATATCCTCGGCGGTTGCCGGTGGTCCACAAATATGTTGTTGCTCAGCCGGCTCACCTTCCACATGGAAGTCCTCCAAGCACGACGCATTGATACCCATGAAGCTGCGTACCTGACAGCCATCTGCCTCATGTCCTGCGTCGCTCATGTGGTAGTGTCTAGACCAATATCCATCGTTCGCGCAACTTACTCGATATACACTGCAAAAGGCTGTGAAATATACCTTTACGGTCCCTCGTAACGATCTCGGTTTCTGCAACAAGACAACAACGATATAGAGAGAACACATACACATAGCAATGATATATTAAGTTCAGCGTCAACAACTCACGTGGCTTATCCCATTGAACTCTTCTTGCCCTACAAAATACATGCTGTGGTAACTCTCGAGATCGACTGCTCTACATGATATCCAGCAGTTGAGCAGGGCCACTGAGGCACCAGTCAAATTCCCTCGAAACCAAGGGTTGGACTCGGCAACCCTGCTTGTTTGCTCTCGACTTCATTCTTTCGAGTGGCTCTTATTCTAAATATTACCACAATGGACATCGTGCTCTCAATTCCCAACTATCTTCCACGCATCAGAAATGCCAATCTGTCAATGTTTGTGGTCGTCTACTTGTGTCAACATTACGACACCGATCCAAACAACGAGTCGCGGGCCATCATCTCCTCGCCTCGAGAATCAAGCAGAGAAACGTAAACTACATAACTTTATGGATCATGGATGAATCCGCATGTGTAGCCTTGACAAGACTCCATCGAATACTGCCATCCATTGTTCAAGCAGGTTTCTAACAGACTTGTATTCATGTTTATGTTTGAGCCATGTTTCCATCCGTACTTAAAGTGTTGAACTTCTGGATCTTGACCTTGCCAGTGTGTATAACATGAAAAGTCTGGCTGAAATCCATCCGTGAGCCGTCCGTAGCTGAGCCGGTCATTGGCTTTGGTGCCGTTCCATCAAGGCAACCAAGTTAGCCCAAACATTATTGAGAAACTGGCAAATCGCTACAAGCCATCACACTTTATGTTCAATTAAGGGAATTATGTGAGACTCACACGATCTATTGATTTACGTTGAAGCTCGAGGTCTCGTTGTCAATATCTGGTTCCGTTGCTTTGGACACAAAACCACAAGCCTTAAAGATCCTTAAGTAAGTTGACTTCTAAATAAGCCAAAGGTCACCAGCCTCGCATGTCATAAGGCTTACCACGAAAGGTTGAAGCCCTAGAGTACATATGATCAGTGCTCTGCGTGGACCTTGCTCGTTATGGTTACCTGGGCGCAATGTTTTGCTACTCTCGTGCCAGCGAGAAAAGAGCCGAAAAAGCACAATGACGAGGGTCGCAAGACTATTCAAGTATTCTGACCAACAGGGCTAGGAAATCTTACCTGTCTTCTAAAAACCAGAGGCAGGAGTTCTTGTCTCTTCACCGCCTCTTGGACCGAAAAGAAGTCCTAACTTTGACGAGCCTCCATTCTGGCGATTTCAGAGAGGATTTATTTTGACGACTACTGCTGTCAAACAAATTTGACGCAACCTCCTGTAGGAGAACATACCAGCTCCATGAAACCAACAACACCCGAACAAATCGCCGATATTGAGCAAGCTTACCGCATAAACGTCATCCTGTTCCTCGAAGATGTTGACCCCAGCCTTTCGCCCAACTACCAGTTCGGCAGCATGAAAGGCGGTCCTAATGGCGAGCCTCGAGGTCGTCCGCGGTCCGGTTCGTCAACATAGGAAAGGAGCACATGGGCTTCGTCCTTCATGACATCGAAGGCTGGACTACTGTCCTGCGCCGGTTTGAGGCCAGGGCCAAGGTGCAGCTCTTTCATCCTACCAGGGTCAAGCTCGAGTATGCAGAAGGGTAGGACCCTATCCGTGTCAGAGTCAAGCTTGGCAAGGGCTATCTTAAAGCCCAGCCATACTATTGCACCATGGATAATCACGTCCGTCAGGGCGTCAATAACAGGTACAAAGACCGGGTGGCCGTCTTGAAGATGTTTATCGCTTTTGGCCACTTCCTCGCGTTTCCATCAGTCTCTTCGGCATCTCGACTTGAGGCTTCCAGGATCTACCTCCCTCTATAGCTGGACTGACACCATCACCATCTGCGGCGTGCTCCTCGTCGTTACATATGCTACTAGTACACAATGGAAACCATTTCACCAGAAAGCCCAAGATCTACACGCCTTGACTGAGGCTGGGTTCCTCTTCGGTGATAAGTTTCACCCAGGTCGACGAAAGCTCGGTGAGGATCTTTAGAAGTGGCACTCTAGGCCGTCAAGCGGAAAGCGACATGCCCCTTCCTGTCTTACCAGAAACAGAGTCGGAAAGTACGTTCGAGTATTTCCTTTTTAAACAAAGGAGATTCACAAACGTGGTAATCTTCCCACAGGCAACATTCTGACGAGCCTGTTAGTCAGCCTTGATGTAACTGGGTTCGTCAACAGGACATCCGATCTGAACTTAGACATTTCTCGGCGACGGCGCTGTATGTGGAGATTCTTGCCGTAAGGGAGAGGGAACAAGAAGTGAGGCTGCATCAAAACTACCGAAGTGACACAATCGCTGCCAACACATAGATCAAGATGGATTACGCGGGCGGGCTTGGAAAATGATTAGCATGGCTACGCAGTCAATCTTGAACCTTGGCACGAATGATGAGTCCATAGACGGAGTAAGCCTAGGCCTCCAATTACCGGTGAACCTTATATCGGGGCTTTACCCCAACTCATATTCATCCCGCTCTGGACATGCCATCACTCACGTCTCTCCTACCTTTAGTTTACGGGCTGGAGCAGGCAGAATGCTAGAACCCAAGAAGTTGGTCATCGCTATCCGGGGTGTAGTCCACGATGCGTACCAATCAGCATCCCCCCGCAAGCAACGAGGTCTGTCTAGCTTCATCTGCTAGCCGGTTGTGTATTGCTGCCTGTCGTCTATCTCATGTGCGTTGGACAGCCCTAGCTGAAGATATTGTTTTCTTTCCCCTTTGTAGTACTCTCTGTTAGGAATAGAAAGAATGACGCTGCGCTTCTCAGGACGATACAGCAAGCTGTGGACTCCCCGTTGCAAAATCCGATGCTGATCTGTCGGTACATTCGCAACACCAGCCAGAAAAAGCTTGACTCAAGAGGAGAGGGATCGAGAGGTGCAGAGCGGGGAAACAAGGAACACATCTGGGGAAGTGGCACTAAAACCCCGCACCAGATTTCCCCGGCAAACACACCAGCCAGCACCACACCATCAAGCATTGCCGCACCTGCAGCCTCGACGCCTGCCAACTCCAGCGGCATCGGACCCCCTGCAAGTGTTCACTGCTCTCTGGTCGCTTTTGAATTTGCGAAGACGTCGGGACATCGGGACATCGGGAAAAAGCACACGCGCACCAATGAGAGGCTTCTTCCGACGATGCCTGTGCGCGTTTCTCCTCTCTTTCTCCTTCTCCCCCAACTCCCCACCCCGGCATCTCCGCTTCGTCAACATCGTCATCGCGTCTAGTCCGGCCCCAACCCCGGACTTTTTCCAACTTCTTTCCTGCTGTTGGACATCAACTCATGCCATCCTGTCCCCAAAGGAACTTTTGACTATTGCCCTGCCGTGCGTTCCTGAAAGGCAACCAACCACAAGCCAATTGACCCTGCTCATCTCATTGGAGAGGGTATCATCGGGCCCTTCTCGACCTCGCCGTCGGCCAATCTCGCCCTGCTGTTGCTGCCCCGGAGCTGGCTCCCCTGCACCGCACTCCCTCATTCGAGCTCCATTTCCTTTGGACTTCACCGTCCCCTCCCGGCACCTTGCATCTCGGTTCGTCCAGCGTTACGTGCCATTGACTTTGGTCCGTGACGAAAGCTTACCACGCTTACCCCAGCTAGCAGCTAGCTCAGTCAAGCTTGTTTGTTTGTCGTTTCTCTGGGGCAGCGCCGGACAAGCGAAAGGATTCCACCACATGTTCGTCTAGACGCTCCAGTCACATCATGTCCTTACCTCCAAGCTGTTGATCGTTCCCTGCTACTGCTCCAATCTGCCCGCATCCCCCTTCCCAAGCCCTCCCTACCCCAACCCGTCGAGTGGAGCTGGTTCTCTGCACTCCACGGTCTTTCCTGTGCTGCATAACGTAGCTTTGTTGGTCCGATGATCTCAGTCGTCCCATTCTCGCTGCCATGTGCAAGTCCCCCCGCTCCTCCCGCGTGAGGGGAGGAGAGCCCTTGGGATATAAGCTCCCGCTTCACCCCATCTTCCCCTCACACAGATCCTGCTGTCTGTCCTCCCGTCATCGTCGTCTGTTCTGGCCCACGCTGCTTTGCGCTTCAGTCCTTTGTCACCTCGTCTGGTCCACTACCCTCACGATGCGCTTCTCACTACTCCCCGCCGCTGTCGGGGCTCTGCTCCTCCCGGCCTCCATGGCCCAATTCGTTGGCGGGTCGGATGGAAACACAACCGCACCCGTCGGGAGCCCCGACAAGGATGGCAAATACTGGGTCTCCAGCAAATACATCAAGGCCGCCTTCATCCCCTACGGCGCCTCCATCTCGGACCTAATCATCGAAGACCAGTACGGTATCCCCCGTGACATCGTTGCCGGTTGGGACAACGCCAGCTATTACGGCATTGACCGTCAGCACCCGCACTTCGGTGGTGTTCCCGGCCGCTACGCGAACCGCATCAAGAACGGCACCTTTGAGATTGACGGCGAGACCTACAAGGTTGACCTCAACGACAACAATGGCCTCGACACGCTCCACGGAGGCTCCGACGGCTGGGACTACCGCAACTTCACCGTGGTTTCCCACACAAACAGCAGCATCACCTTCTCCTTCACCGACCCAGACGGCAAAGAGGGTTTCCCTGGTGAAGTCGTTGCGCTCATCACCTACACCATTGTTGACTGGAACTGGGAGATCAAGATGATTGCCACTGCGACTACTAAGAAGACGCCCATCATGCTCAGCAGTCACACATACTGGAACCTCGATGGCTTCTCCAACAATGAGACCAGCACAGCTCTCAACCACACTCTGCATATGCCATACAATGGCCAGAGAGTAGCTGTCGACAATATCCTGATCCCTACCGGCGAAATTGTTGCCAATACCAAGGGCTCCGTGAACGACTTCTGGAGTGCCCCGAAGCAGATTGGCGCCGACTTCTCCAAGCCCGAGCTTGAGAACAACTGTGGTCTGAACTGCACTGGCTATGGTAAGTTTCCTCGGTAGTCAGTTGGGTATCAGCGGACTAACCAAGACAGACAACTGCTGGATTGTGAACCGCAACGACCTCGGCTCCTACAACTGGCGCAATGAGGGATACATCGCCCGCCTGCAGTCGGCCTGGTCCGGCATCCAAGTCGAAGTCTACTCCGACCAGGACGCCTTCCAGATGTACAGCTGCAGCCAGCAGAATGGCTCCGTAGCCCTCAAGAAGACCCAGGGTCTGTTCGACAACGCCGACTTCCCCCGCATCATTCCCAAGTACGGCTGTGTCGTCCTCGAAGTCCAGGACTGGATTGATGGCATCAACAACCCCGCATGGGGCCGCGGCAAGAAGCAGATCTTTGAGCCCGGCGGTGACCCCTACGTCCTCCAGGCTAGCTACCGCTTCAGCATTAACTCTACTTCTTCTGATGCGTAGAGCGGTTATGGGTGATGTGGCGTTGGTGTGCAGGGAGGTGAAGAAAGCGCGAAAAGATGTTCGTTTCAACCCAACGTATTAATGATACCAAGAAGAAGGGGATAGTTACTATGAAATCGGGTCACCCGTCAGACTTAATGAATTTTTCACAATGCCAATGATTTGGTACAACCTATTGAGCCGAGCCCACAGTATCAATACATACCTCAAGTCTGCATACTGTCATTGAGGTATGCATACTGTCATTCTTTCTCCAATGTTATTGTGACTCCATCCTCTCGACGTAGTCCTACGCTGAACCGCCGTCAAATCAAAGCCTAATCTGGGTAACTCAAGAAACGAAAACCCCCAAGCAAAGGGTTGATCAATCGATTGAATATACACACAGTTGCCCGCCATTCAGTCATATGGTGATTAACGGCCACCTCTATAGTATATAATTGGATACATGACGCTGAAATAGTCCAAATTCGGTGTTCGAAACGCGCAATATTCTAATTCTGACGAGTACGTATTGTTTCGCCAACTTTTGCGCTCTTCCCATTGGGCTGTAGTTTGGTTTTGAAACCAAGACCCCATTCGTCTCTCCAAACTTTGTCTTGTCCACAAACGGGATTCGTCAGACACCATTTCTATTCTTCAACAAGAACTGACTTGTTGGAACGGACCGGCAGTTGAAAACTTGCATGGTTTCTCGAAGCATTTCTCTTGGCGTGTTGGCCATGGATTTCACCAAAGGTCTAATCAGATGCGTAGTGACAATACGGGCCCAAAGAACTGTATCAACCAATGAGCACACAGCCATTCAAATACTTCGATACATGCATGTTCCCTCTTAGTCAGCAATCTTATCATCACTTCTTGCCCCGCGAAAAATTCAGTTAGCAGCAATACGATCGCGGGGCAATTATCGGAGTGGACTCACTCACGGACGGCAGGCGAGACTCAAGAACTTCTGTTGAAGGCAGACCTTCATCGTACAAGAGTAACCCAAGGGTTCGACACCACAAACAGACCTACATCGATAATATATTGGCTCATAGAACCGATAGTACTAAGATTAGTTAGTGTCTCAGCAATGGAGGAGGATCGGGCACAAACCGACCTGGGCATTGCCGCCGACATTGAAGCGTCTCATCGCGAAGAGGAGGCGGCGGCACAGCCGGTGATGAAGCAACCAAAGAAGCGCTTTGTCGGCAGAAGAACTGCGGCCGAGACCGCAGCGAAGAACGGAGGCTCAAATGGATCTATCGAGGATAGCAAGTCCATTCAAGGTCAGACTGGCCCCCCCTTTTTTTTGCCTGTCGTTTTTGATTCTCACATGAGAGTCACCGCATGCTCACACTCATATCATAGTCGCCCAACCACGCAGAGGTCCTCGTCTCCTGAACCAAGTGCCCCCCGAGATTCTTAACGACCCGGCGCTTAAGTCCGCCATCTCTATTCTCCCCTCGAACTACAGCTTCGAGATTCCCAAGACGATCCACCGCATCCGCTCCTCTGGCGCCAAAAAGGTCGCCCTCCAAATGCCCGAGGGTCTCCTCCTCTTCGCCACTACAATCTCCGACATACTCACCGAGTTCTGCCCAGGGATCGAGACCCTCATCATGGGCGACGTCACCTACGGCGCCTGCTGCATCGATGACTACACCGCCCGCGCCATGGGCTGCGACCTCCTCGTGCACTACGCCCACAGCTGCCTGATCCCAGTCGACGTGACCAAGATCAAGACGCTTTACGTGTTCGTCGACATCAGCATCGACACCTCGCACCTCCTTGCGTCGCTCGAGCGCAACTTCGCCTCGGGAAAGACCATCGCCGTTGTCGGCACCATCCAGTTCAACGCCACGATTCACGGCGTCCGCGGCACCCTCGAGAAGGCGGGCTTCAAGGTCCTCGTGCCGCAGATCGCGCCTCTGAGTAAGGGTGAGATTCTAGGCTGCACGAGCCCGCAGCTCAAGGACGATGACAAGGTCGACATGATCCTGTACCTCGGCGACGGCCGCTTCCACCTCGAAAGCATCATGATCCATAACCCGAGCATACCCGCATACCGCTACGACCCGTACTCGCGTAAGCTGACGCGCGAGACCTACGGCCACGACGAGATGCAGGACCTGCGCCGGACGGCCATCCGAACGGCCAAGACGGCGCGGAAGTGGGGTCTCATCCTCGGCTCGCTGGGGCGCCAGGGGAACCCGCACACGATGGGGCTCATTGAGAAGCGGTTAAAGGAGCGTGGGATCCCCTGGATCAATCTGCTGCTGAGCGAGATCTTTCCTGGGAAGCTGGCCATGATGAGCGATGTTGAGTGCTGGGTGCAGGTTGCGTGCCCGCGTTTGAGCATCGATTGGGGGTACGCGTTCCCGCGGCCGTTGCTGACACCGTACGAGGCGCTGGTTGCGCTCGAGGTCAGGGATGACTGGGGCAAGGGGGTGTATCCTATGGACTACTACGGAAAGGATGGTCTCGGGCGGACGAAGCCCGCTCAACTGGAAGCCAAGGCCTAAGCGCTGTCTTTTCAGGAGTTTACTGGAAATGAAAAGTTTACGAAGATACATGGGCGCACGCAATGATACCATATTCCACAAAGGCCCAACAGCCCCTCGAATCCGTGTACGTGTATCCCTCTCCGTGAGAGGAGCTTGAAAGCGTAGGTCCTGCGAAAGATGCGGTCTATGTTCAGGTGTGGCAACTAGGTCGCAAAGGGGAACACGGGTGTCAATGCCTCAAGGGTAGGTGGGGATTGCCTGCCCGACATTTCGGCTTTCTGTCGAATCCCCAGAGCCATTGAGGCCGTTTCTGCACAGCCATGGGAGACTTGGCCAACAAATGGCAGGGTGAATCAACGCCATGCTTGTAGAGGCACTTCGCTATCTCGGATCCCGTAATGTGGAGAGATTCCGCGATGTGAAAAACCAACCGGGCTCGCGGTTCTCAAGAATATAATGGCCCCGGTTACCAACCAACGAGGAGAGTGAATCCTGGCTTGCATACTTGCGAGTAAGTTCAGAACCTTCGAGAAAGCACTGGAACCAAGCAGCTGTCGTCCTCGTGCCCCTTTTATCACGAGTACCGCAGCGGATGGGAGATGTGATACGAAAGAGCTGTGGCAGTGCCCAGGCAACAGTGCCAAACAGCTTCCCTCTTTGGACACCTCGGTTGGATATTGAGGTTGTTCGTAAGTCTGGAACACCATGGGCGGCATTCCTCTCCTTCCTGTCTCATGGCATTCCTATCAAGGGTGCTCGCTACACTATCGTGAACGAATAGCTCTAGCCGCTTGCGCGTTAGCTGTGATTGCTTATAAGCGGAGGGCCTGGGCCCACGAGAATGACAGATTGGGAAAGTGGGCAGCGGGCCTATGTGGAAGGAAGTGGGGCCGAAGACGAATGGGTTGACAAGGTGCGGACTTGCCCTCCGTCTAGGCAATGCCACACCGTTCTTTCTAGTTTCCGCGCGGAGCGTCTACACTACTGGACCTCGCCGCTTGGGCTCGCTTTCAGATCCTTCCCACACGTGCCACCGGTTGCACACCGTTGAGGAGGCATCCAAAGCTAACTATCCCTCCTTTTGGCCATTCCTACGAGTCTGCGGCGTGGCTGACAGATGACATGGTTGCAAATAAACGTATGACAAACCAATGAGATGGGAGACACAATGGCCTAGTCGCGTATCTTGGCGGATAGACGTTGGAAAATGACATAGGGCTGAGGTCCATATGCCTGCTCAATAAAAACAGCCAGGGAACTCGCCCCTTTACTCGTTGCGCAACGCGGTGGTCCCCAGATCTTGATTCGACTCTCCATGGAGCCAGAATCCTTGAGGATCAAGTCGATGCTTGTTGGCATGCTAAACACGAGCACGGTACCAAGGTATGAATAATTGCCTGGCTGGTGCTTATCCCTGGAGATCTTCCCCTCTGATAATACCCAGGCTTTTGGGGTTGAGTTATTCCAAATTGATTTCCGGGGACCCGAGGATGTCGGACTGGGACTTTCTTGAGGGGCCGTCGTCTGGACTGCTACCCATTGTGGGAACCGTAGTTGAACCATGCCGAGGCTAGGCACACATTTGAGTCCAGCTCCGATAGGCTGGTTTCCGGTATTCAAGCCAACGACTGCGCGATGCAACTCTTACAAGGGTAACTCAAGTCTTAACTTGACCTTCGGTTTCGTCTCTTGATGCCCAGATAAAAATACTATGCCAGCTCTGGCTCTGAAACAGAACCGAACAACACCAAGAAGAAAAAAAGGTTCGCCATCTCTGCTGGACTTGTCAAACGTACAATACAATACCATCACTTCTCATCGGCCAAAAATGGTCCGCAAAGGCAGCCGTAAGGTGAGGACTGGATGTTTGACCTGCAAGTAAGTCCATGCTACGAGATCACGGCCGCTTTGACGTTCCTTCTGACCATTACACCATGAACAGGGCCCGCAAAGTCAAGTGCGACGAGGCAAAACCACACTGCCTCCGATGCTCGAGCACCGGCCGCGTGTGCGACGGCTATCCGCCCCCAGCCCCGCCTGCGTCCGCTCAACTCCGGCCGCTGAAGCTTCGGAGCCTCTTCCTGGGTGTAAGCAAAGAGGAGAGCAGGACGTTGCATTTCTTTTGCGAGATGGTCAGCCCGAATCTGCCCTGCGCCACCGACCCCTATTTCTGGACGCATCTCGTCGTACAGTTTAGCAGGTACGAGCCCGCGGTCCGGCACTCCATCATCGCCGTCAGCTCCCTCTACGAAGATGTTATACGGGCGCGGGACAATCCGTCGGGGGCGAGGGCGGATCGCATCCGCAACAACGAGCTCGCGTTACGGCACTACAACGCTGCTATTAGAGAGCTCAAGGGGATACAGAATCAGGGGCTGGTGCTGCTGGTCTGTCTCCTTTTCATTTGTATAGAGTTCTTACAGAATAACCGGGAGACCGCACTACGACATTGCGCCCACGGCGTCGCCATCCTAGCCAGCTCCGGTTCCACTTCTCTACGGTGGGTGAGAGAGTACCTGGCGCCGATATTCCGCCGCCTGGACACATTGTCATTTTTTTTCGGGTCCAACCAAGCCGGCGCGCACGGCGTGTCCATCCTACGATACCCGGTGCCGCCGGTATTCAAGCACCAGTCCGAGGCAGAAGATATGGTGGAAGACATCTTGAACCAGGCGATGCTTCTCATCTCCCACGGCCACTCATTCCGCATAGGAAATGATCACCACCAGCCGATCCCGCCCGAATTATTACAGGAGCAAGAGAGGGTTCTGTGCCTGGCCAAACAGTGGTACGACATGTTTACGGACCTTGAAGCCAGGTCCAAAGTGCAGAAAACCAGCATCGCGAGGGCGCACACGCTGGCCCGGTACCGCATCTCCGTGATCTGGGCGACACAGGCCTTTGCCCACACAGAGACGGGCTACGACGACTACGAAGACGAGTTTCGTAAGATGGTAGAGGAGACAGAAGAGGCGGCCGCCATGGAGTGCACGGAGAGCTTGAATGCGAGACCATCGTTCGAAGTAGGCTTCCTCATGCCCCTCTTCTTCTGCACCCATAGGTGCAGAGTACTGGATCTACGGCTGAAGTGCCTGCAACTCATCAAAACACTTGCGGCGCCGCGGGAGAGAATTTGGAACAAAGATGGAATGTATGCCCTGGCACGACGAATCATTGAGATTGAGCACGGCCTGGCCCTGATGACGAGGATCGGCCCTGTCTGGGGTCAGTGCCTGCTTATCCCGGCCTACCTCCAGAGGAGACGAGAGTCCAGAAATTCTGTCTCGAGTTTGCGGATGGGCGCAGGGAGACCTATTTTGGCCACGATGTGCACGGTTCCAGGGTTGTGCTCTTCACGGGGAGCCGCGGTGTCAAGAGTTATCTTCGTCCGGAGGTCCTCACTGATGAGTCTGCTCATCTAAATCCTGTGGGTAAAAGCCGCACCCTCTTGCTGTAGAGTACGAAGCTAATCTGTGATTTGGACAGCCCCTGCCTCGCACTGATCCTGTACCCTATCAGTCGGTGCTCGTCCCGTAAGCTACTCGAGAAGCGTCGTTTGAGCGCAATTGGATTATTCGCAACGAGATTTCATCCGCTCTCGCTGCTGTGGAAAGCGGTCATCGTCAGAGTTGGTAAAGGATGCATTTCGAGAAGAATAAAAATATACACCCTAGAAACAACACTTTGAGAAGAAAACGGACTCCTTAGGCACATTGTTACACAATCACGGCGGGTTCCACGTTCCAGAGAAGCTACCTGTGTGTATTAATATATTTGATTATAATGTGTCACTCAAGTAGCCGGGCGGCAAGTCGGCCTCAACCTTCATTAAACTTAAGCTGATTTTATTCGTGACCGGCTGACCGGCTGACACGCTGGTCGACGGCCGTCAGTCACGGGGCCGGCCCCCCGGAGGAACAAGGACCTCAGATCTAGTAGAGGTTACTGCTCTTGCCAGAGTCCAGAGCTCGTCTTCTCCTGCACGGCGCAGCAGTCTTGTTCTTCAGCGCCTCAATGACACCGTAGTAGGCGGGGTGCTTGCTGAAGTCATCGAACCAGAGAAGCGCGGCACCCTGACCCGGAAAGGTGTAGGGAACCCAGCTGAAGGGGTCGTAGAAGTCCCAGATGGTAACACCGACGCAGGCAGAGACCTGGACGCAGGCACCGACAGCCTAGTGCAAAGGCGATTAGCAACTTCAAACAGAAATCGAGAAGGGAGTGTCTCGGCAACTTACGTTCTTGTAGGCCTCCTTCTGCCACTCGAGGTTCGTCTCGTTGACGGGGAGTACGATGCGGACATCCAGCTCCGTCAGGGAAACCTCGACACCAAGCTCGGCATACGAGCGGATGACGGCGATGTGTTCGTCCAGAGTCGGTGCACTGCCAGCAACCAGATGGGATTGCATGCCGACACCGTCGACTCTGATACCATCATCCTTGAGCAACTTGACGATGCGTCTGGCGCCCTCGCTCTTGGGACCGACGGACTCGAGGTTGTAGTCGTTGTAGTACAGCTTCGCCTTCGGGTCGACCTCGGCCGCGGTGCGGAAGGCCAGCTTGATGTACTCCTCGCCGAGCACGGTGTAGAAGACGGACTCACGGTAGGTGCCATCCTCGTTGAGGGCCTCATTCACGACGTCCCAGGCGTAGCACTTGCCCTTGTAGTGGCCGACTACCTCATGGATGTGGCGGACAATCACGTCGCTGAGCTCCTCGGGTGTCCATTCGGTCGACTCGACCCAGGGGGCGAGCTGGCTGTGCCAGACGAGGGCGTGGCAGCGAAGGAGCTGACCGTTCTTCTCAGCAATGGAGGTAACGATGTCGCCCTCAGTGAAGTTGAAGACACCGGGCTCGGGCTCGACAAAGAGCCACTGGGAATGGAATCAGCTTCGGGCCAATCAACAAGGGCAGTGCCATTGAAGGCTCACCTTTTGACCGTTGGTCGGGGTAGTCTGGCCAAACTCGTTGATGTCGTTAAGAATGGCATCGTACTGCTCGTAGGAGGCCTCCAAACCAGCACGCTCACGCTGCCCGGGAGTGTCAGTCGCAGCACCGAAGTACAGCAGACCAGCCTTCTTCGCGTAGTAGTCGAGCTGAGCGGAGACGAGGGGCAGAGACGCCGCCAGCAGGGGCACGGCGAGGGATTGGATGTGCATGGTGACCGATTGACAACAGAATCCTGGCGAGAGCTGAGAGGACCTATCTGTGACCGAGATCGGAAGGGTGGGTGAGAACAGAGGCCAACAAGAAGAGCAATCCACCAGGAGGGCAACTCAATTCATATATGCAAGGTCCCGGCCACGATACGACTCCGCCATCGCTACCCCAATCTCCCAGCCGACGGGACAAGAGACTATCGCCAGATGATCCAATGCGGAGGGCCGAGCTAGCGAGAAAATTACCACCCCGGGTGACGTCCTCGAAGTGAGGGGAGCCCAGCATCAACACAGCCCAGCGTCTTGGGACCAAGACCCGCAAATCTGGGTAGCATCATGTTGGTTGGATGAACTGGGCGAAAGGGAAGCTGGCGCCATGGGGTCTGGAGAGAGAAGAAGGCGTTCGAACACCCGGGAGAAACGCCCGTGATGTGGGCTCCGGGACAAGAGCACTGGAAGAGGAGTTCGTCCCGAACGAGAGCCAGTTCTCCTGGTGGCGGCCAAATAGGAGCCAATAGCGCTGTCACGGCTAGCGGCTTGTAGGGATCGTCCTTGGCATGAGCTTCTCCATCTTCTGCTAGGGCGAAGGGGAAACCGTTCAATCAGGCTGTCTGCGGTTAAATTTAAGTTGTATTTGGGGGCATTTATCCTAATAGCCTCTTCGGCTCCCCAAAGTTCCCCTCATGACTTTGGTGCGGAGACGTGGAGAACCCCTGGCCGTCAAAACACGGCTTGTTGGCTTTGGCGGACATTGTCCTGACGATTGTCAGTTGCACAGAATTAGGCAAGGCCGACACGTTTCGTCGGGAGAAAACCAAAGGCATTGTCCACAGTCCATACAAAGGACATCTGTAGACAGAGGATCCCGCAAAGCAGTTCTATCCACGCTGCACTTGCTTTCTTGTGAGACATTCCCAAATCAATCATCCTTATGAGAGTAAAACGATTGGATGAATGCCGGGTCACGGCTTCCATGCCCTGGACTCGGACAGCGCGCTCGTCGACAGCCAATCCTTCTCTGTCATTGGTGTATTCATCCAATAACCAGACACACACCTGCGATGCGGATTGCCCTCGTGGCTAGTTGGACTGGTGATGGCTCTGCCATTTGGTCGAAAACAGATCATGTAATTGTAAGGTGTGGTAGCTTTTGTTGCGTGAGTTCATCTCATCTCATGTGTTGTTGTGGGGACCGTAAACATAGACGTGATGGACAAGGGTAACGCCTATTTCTCGTGTATCATCAGAGGAAATGAGTAGCCCGTTGCGCCAAGAAAGCAAGACCCCTTGGATACGAATGATTCAGTGTTCGGACCACACGGTCCTGAGATGCGAGCTATGCCTAGACACGGGTCTTTCCTTAATGAAAATTTATTAACTGATGGACCGGCCGCTCAGTGACGCATGCCCCCGGGAGGACGTCAGAAACCAAGATAACCCGGCGGAAGAGGTCCGAATGTGCGACTCATTGAATTGACCCAAGTCTGGGCCACGTTGATGGTTAGGCCCTTTGGGGTGAAATGTGCGGCTATACTCCAGATGCCTGATGAGTATTTAATATCGGACACTTGGAGGACCAGACTCTCTTACTGATAAGGGTAAGCTAGTCATCTTCTTAACCAACTATCACCACACACCCCCACTCCATGCAGGGCCTTCCAGCGATTATTAAAGCATTAACGCTTGTCAACATCTTCCGTCTGCGCTACCAAATCGCAACAGCTTCAGGTTGTCCGAGTGGCCTCAGATCTGGCGGGGATGAACATAGCCCCTAGGCAACGATTTAGGAGTAGGTTTCCATGTGATGGATATAATCACCCACTGTGGCCTGCCATAGAGGCGACCCTAAGAAGATGATCTAAGTGTAACCAAATTTTGGCCCAAGTGCCCTAATCCTCGTGGACAGTAGGTGATATGCTGATTCTGCATGGGCCGAGATTCCTGGCAATGACTCAAGAGGTGATGAGCGGGTGCTGGTAGTTATCCTAAGACGAAGGGTTCCAAAGCCAAGTCTCGCAGTATCGTAGGGTTGGGTATCATCAATGTGGACGTCCCCGGATCCGAGCATCCTCATGTCGATAATGAGGCCAGGAGCTTCCACGAGTTGGGTAATCATTCAGTGACCGCTCCGGCGGACCTGAAGCATGATAGACGGAAAGTAATTCTATGAGGCCTCCGTGCCAACAGGCTCAGGCCGGTTACCGAACATGATCTTATACCTGACGATCTCGGCGATTTCGAGCTCCTCCTCGGTCTCGCCGTCCTTGCCGATGGCCACCTCTCCCCTGCGACGAATTATAGCCATGGCCTTGGGAAGCTTCTTGACTTCGCCATGGAGCCTCTGATGCTGGCCAACGTGAAGGAAAACGCGCTTCATCCACGCCGTGCTGCCTTCTTCTTGAGTCTCCGGGTGATAGTCGGGAAAGACGATTTTTCCAATAGGAATCTCGGGCTCGGATTCGCTATTGTCTTCGTCGGGGTTGAAATGTGGCAGGTTGATGGTCCCCTGCATCTCAAGCAGTGCAAGTCCGGAAGGTGTCTTGATGAGGGGAGGTAGCGGGCTGTCTGAGGCTGGAGGGCCCTTCTTCGGAGGGTGGATCTTGACCGATGACATGATTTGGATAAAAGTCAAAATGAGAAATAGGGTGCGTGTCGAAGATGGAAGAGGCAGTCTTGAAGATGCGTCAATAGATGACTCGTAAGAGGTTGTATGATGTTTAGCGTTCGTCAAATGAACCGCGAAAGGTGGAGCCTGGATGACAGTACCTTCGTGCATCGTCAAGCTGAAGACGGGGCTGGAGCGGGGGTACGTACTCTGGCCCGTTGACCTTCCCGAAAGGGAATGCTTCGGCACGTGAGCTGGTGGGCTCCGGGCCCCAGCAGCGACGGCCGCGAAAAAAACCGGCCAGTCGGTGACACATTTGGCCGACGTCTTTTACGGAACACCAAGGTCTGATTGGTCAGAGTGGTTTTTTTCGCACGCCAGACCCAAGCAACCCTAGGCACACAAATCCATATCCTCGAAATTTGGCGATTTTCCTTCTCTTCCCTCTCACTGAACATTCCCACGCCCAACGCCCAGCCGCAGTCGACAACTCTTGCACCACCCAACGCCGGCAAGATGAAGGTACGATAGGAGCTCCTACGATGGGCGCAGCGATTGACTTCGGACGGCTTCACGCCGATGCGATTTTGATGCTGTTGCCGTTAGGTCGTAAATTTGGGAGGGGAGATTTCGAGGCTGACAATTTCCACAGTTGAACATCTCCTACCCTGCCAATGGCAGCCAGAAGCTCATCGACATTGAGGATGAGCGCAAGCTCCGTGTCTTCATGGAGAAGCGCGTACGTTTAAACTTCCCCGACGGCCGGAGACGAGAGACGAACAACGAGACGCTCGAATCGATGGCGAATTTTTCTTCTTCTCGAAGTCGATGGGGCATGACAAGGTGCTAACAACTTCGACTAGATGGGCGCTGAGGTCCCCGGTGACTCTGTCGGCGACGAGTTCAAGGGCTACATCTTCCGCATCACCGGCGGCAACGACAAGCAGGGTTTCCCTATGAAGCAGGGTGTCATGCACCCTACCCGTGTCCGCCTCCTCCTCGCCGAGGGTCACTCTTGCTACCGCCCCCGCCGCACCGGCGAGCGCAAGCGCAAGTCCGTCCGTGGCTGCATCGTCGGCATGGACCTCTCCGTCCTCGCTCTCTCCATCGTCAAGCAGGGCGACAACGACATCCCCGGCCTCACCGACGTCGTCCACCCCAAGCGCCTCGGCCCCAAGCGCGCCACCAAGATCCGCAAGTTCTTCGGCCTCACCAAGGATGACGATGTATGTGTGCTCCCTGTTGCGATACACCCCAACAGCCACTTCGTCATCGCCTACCTGGTGCTGCGGCGGAGGAACACCACCGAGCAGATCAGGTAGAGTGTGAGAGACGGGACCGTGTTTCCCCTCGCCGCCCTCTTTTCATCAGACCCATCTGTTGAAGCCTTGATTCAAGTGCGCCAGATGAGATGTATTGAGGAAGGGGAGGGGCGACACGTGTCAGGCTATGTGAAGAACCAAAAAGAAAAACGACCACAGTGGCTAATACGGCAATCTTGCTGCAATCAATAGGTCCGCAAGTACGTCATTCGCCGCGAGGTCCAGCCCAAGGGTGAGGGCAAGAAGCCTTACACCAAGGCTCCCAAGATCCAGAGACTCGTTACCCCCCAGCGTCTCCAGCACAAGCGCCACCGCATTGCCCTCAAGCGCCGCCAGGCCGAGAAGGTCAAGGACGAGGCCGTACGTTGCCACCCCCTCCCCCTTACCCGATGCTCGAGTTGCATACTAATCTCCGCCTCAGAACGAGTACGCCCAGATCCTCGCCAAGCGCGTTGCCGAGCGCAAGACCGAGAAGGCCGAGCTCCGCAAGCGCCGTGCCTCCTCCATGCGCAAGTAAGCGTTTTAGCTCGCTGGCGTCTTTTGGGGTGGAAAATGAAAAAAGTGAAAGATTACTCCGGGTCTTCTGGTTTTCTTGCATTACGAGGCGTGGACGGGATTACAAGGGTCGAACTGGGTCAAAAACGTTTCGTCACCAGTTTTCAGTCATCACGAATGTAATAGGGCATTCAAAATGGAAATGCATCCTTGACGCGCGAATACCACCAGCAATTTGTTTATGATGACGTTTTAAAGAACTTTGAACCGACATTCACACTGCGTGGCTCTCCTCTTGTGATCCAGTCATGTGTGGTCTCCTTTTTATTGGGACAGCGCATCCATCTTTCCAACCCAGACACTAATTGACCGAGACGACGCTCTCGACCAGCTTGCCCCACCTGTCGCCCTGGGTTCATGAGCATCTGAAATTTTCTTCCGCGTCTCGGGCGGGGACGTTTTCGCTGGTCCAGGGCCAACTGGACCCTGCACATCACTTGTGGAGGAAAGGCTTAATTGGCCGAGCAACCCAACCCCATTCACGCAAAGTAGAAACACCACAAAGACCAGAGCCATAGAGAAGGGTATTTTGCTCTACCGTACTGAATTTGTAGTCCATCTGAACTTTCTCTCTCTAGAGCAGTGATGTCTGCCTTGAAGAAAACCCTCGAATGCTGTATTTTACCGTAGTGCGCCTCCCTGAAAAAGACCCATGCCATGCCATATGCAACCCTTGGCCGAAACTGACGCCAAACCCACGCAACACCTCTCTAGACGGGCACGTGGTTAAAGAGGTAGCTAACACTCTCACCGTTGTGAGTGCGCCGGATAGCCTCGCCCAGGACCTGGCTGATGTCGATGACGCGCAGCTTGGGGCAGCGCTCGATCTTGTCTCCGAGGGGCACCGTGTTGGTGACGACGACGCGAGACAGGCAGCTCTTGTTCAGTGTCTCGACGGCGTTGCCGCTCAGCACGCCGTGAGTAACGATGGCGATGACTAGGAATTAAGTCAGCATGAAGCTTTGGCATCAGACAATAGAGGAAAAACGTGCCTTCACGAGCACCACCAGTCTCGAGAGTCTCGGCGGCCCTGTCCAAATTGTTAGCAGTGTTTCCCGTCCCGATACCGTGGGGTCTACGAACTTGGCGAGGGTGCCGCAGGTGTCAGCCATGTCGTCCACCAGAATGGCAATCTTGTCCGTGACGTCTCCAACAAGAATCATGCGGCCCACAACGTTGGGGCGCGGGCGCTCCTTGTGAATGAGCGCAAAGCCGGTCTCGAGGCGATCGGCAATACCGGTGGCACGCTTGGCTCCGCCCGCATCAGGACTAACGATGACGCAGTCCTCGACGTTCATATTGGATCGAATCCACTGCAGAACACTCGGCTCGGCGTAGAGGTTGTCGACGGGGATGTTGAAGAAGCCCTGAATCTGGGAGGCGTGGAGGTCCATCGTGATGACATGGTTCTGGTCGCGTGCGCGTCAGTCATCTAGCGTCTTGTATCGTTTTCCCTCCGCAATTTCTCCTGTGGTAGACTTACGCAACCCGAAACCTGCAACATGTTCGCGACAAGCTTCGCGCTGATAGGGGCACGACTCTTGTCCTTCTTGTCTTGTCGAGCGTAGGGGAAGCAGGCTGTATCTCGTCGTCAGTAACCGTTATCTCTCAATGTAGTGATTTCTCGTGGCTCGCTCGGGAAGATGGGGTGACTAACGAATGACGGCGGTAATTCGGCGGGCGGAAGCGGTTCTGCAAGCATGGATCATGATAAGCAGCTCCATGAGGCCGTCGTTGATGTTGCCAGGCTCGCTGGATTGTACAATAAAGACATCCTCGTCGCGGACGCTCTCGCCAACGGTAACACCGTAAAGAAGTCAGTTTCACAGGCACTCAACGTTTGGAGCCCTGCTGGGTTCGGCAGATTGTTCGCTAACCTGGTTTCCTGGTTCGAATAGTTCAGGCTGTGATTGCGCAAGTTGGTCAGTCAATTGAAAACATCCACTCGAGAAAATTCGCGTCGGCGCACAGGGAAGCGCAGGATCGCGAGGAGAAGCGAGCTTACCTCATGGTCTTCGCAAGGGGAATGCCCAGTCTGTAGGCGGCGCATTCGCGCGTCAGCACCCATTCTTCGTATCGTTCTTCTAAAAAGGGGAAAGGAGAAATGGAATAAAACGACGAAACAGCCATTCCATCTTTGGGGGTAACGTACCGCTGAGCGACCTTTTCGGACAATTCCCCATGGCTGCTGCCCTTGAGGAGCTTGATGTCGTTCGTCATATCCCCCATGAGGACGGTCGTTGTATGACGACTAGGGGAAAAAAAGAAGAAAAAAAGAGGGAGGGATTCGAGGAGGGGAGAACGGCCGAGTATAAAGGACTGCTACTGCACCTGCTTGAGGTTCGGCAGGCTAAGGTATGGTCGGGTTGCTTGGGCGAATCGAATTGCAGCGCGGGGTCACGATGGAGGGGTATGGCTATCGGCCAGTCACACAATGCGGTCGGGGGATCGATTGGTTGTGTTGTGTTGTGTGGTATGCGGCGAGGTGAGACAAAGTGAGTCGTTGGGGGTACGAAGAGAAATCTTGCGGATTGTTCGTCGCTGTGAGGAAGAGCCGTCCACTTTGTGCTTGTCCACTGGTATATTCGCTGCGGTCGGTACCGGAGGTGACTGAGTGCCAGCCGGGAGGGATGAAGAAGAAAAAAAAAAACTTAGTGTTTTGCCGTCATTGTTCCGCGATCGCTGAGAGGTTAAGAAAAATTATGTGGGGAGCAGGCATGGGTCCAGTGTCCTCGGCTCTGCTTTCATCGCCCAGGCCATCCTACATCAGCCCCGGATTACTGTATGCAGCCGTTGCAAACATGAAAACTCCGAAATTCTCAGGCGCAAAGCATCCTTTGTCGCATGGTGTAGCAATCAACTATGTGCATGTAGATACCCAAGTAAGGCTGGTGGAATTGGAAACCGGACGCCTTGGGCCAAGCAGATTTACTTACAGCAGGAAGCAGTCTGGAAGGCCCAATCGTGTTTGCAGTAGGGGGAGTGTGGAGTCGATGACTCGGAACCGACTAGAGGGGGTTTACCAGCAACTGAAACTGGTCCAACCCATCAACCATGACTTGATCCAAGTAGGTACGGCGAGCTGGACTAGACTTGTAGTGAGGCGACTATCTTGTCACTGACCAGCTGATATCAGCATGTCCTCTAATTGACTTCTTGTTAGGTACTCTACATACTGGGCTCCCCACGCGATAAACGACAGGCTGTGGTTCTAAGCGGCCTGCACTCCGCTAAGAACTAAGCCAGTGTCTTCTCGTGTTAGAGTGCCTAAACACCAAGGAAATGATGAACGAAACCAGACCTAGCCCTCTATGGTCTGAGCTGCAGTCGCGGTGACTGCCATATGTACACGTGGTCCGGCATCCGACGATGATGCACTTCCACTCGAATATCAGAAGTCATCCACCCAGTTGCCGTGTCCTGTGTCGCCTGCCCTCCGTAATGCAAATGCTGACATAACCGCAAACCCATTTGTCTATGTGTGCACGCTCCCATCTTATGCAAAGCCGAAGTAGTCGCTTCCCGCTGTAATGGCCTTCATGAGCTGTTGGCGAAGCATCTCGTAACTCTCGTATTCAGGGAGGTCAAGTTCTGCATCAATATGTTAACACTGTAGCTTCGGAATGTATGAGAAAACAACTTACGGTTGAAGCACGTGTGAGAACTGGGGAGGCGTTCCTTGTTGCCATAGTCTCGATGAATGTTGAAGCGGTTAACACCGTTCATACCCTCAAGCTCTTTGAATCCGTTTAGAGGCACCTTGCTGGTTCCAGTGACGAACTGCAACAGCTTGGCTCGCTCTTCCTTGTCAAACGAGCGAATTGCTCGCCAGAACCACTGGATCTGTGGTGACGACGGGGTGTAGTTGTGGTATTCCGTATTGCTCTTCCAGTCGTCGACGTCAATATCAGGCAAGCCTGAGATAAGGAGCTCCAGCTCCTGCTCGTTAAAGATGGATATGAGATCCGCAGGAATGATATCGTGGAATCCTAGTGGCATAGTTAGCGAAACAGCACGGCTTCCCATCATGTGCATTTGAACTTACCCTTTAAGAAGTGCTCCATCTGCTCCTTAACAGATGACAAAAGCTTGTGCTCTACAACCAGACGCACATAGTCGTGCTTGTTCTCCTCGGTGACGGCAATGTCGCGGCCATTAGGGCACAGGTCGACAGTCCGGGTAACGCCGAACTCGTCGTCCTCGACCGAGAATGTTTCAGTAATGATGTCCGTGATGTCATTGTCGAGCATCCAAACGAGCGACTTGTAGTAGTCGGGGTCGAAAGACTCCATATCTTTGACGGACACAGACTTGCCGAGGATGCGCTTGTAGACAGCACGGCTGAAGTAACAGTCAAGCACACGGCCCTCGTACAGGGCCTTGCCGATAATGCGTCCGATAAACTTGAAGAACATAAGATGTTCGTCGTTGATGCCACTCAGCTTGTTGGGGTGGAATGTTGTACGGTCAGAGGAGACCGGGATGAAGAGGGCGTAGTTGGCATCGAACATCTGCCTTGACAAGACCTGGAACCACTCGCGTGTCACGCCTCCAGCGTCCACACCCTCCTCATTATGGAAGCGGATATTAAGCTTGCCATACTTCATCTCGTCGCCAGTCTTGAAGTAGAGTGACTTGAACGAGTCGTGGAAGACATGCTCGCGACGAACTGAGAGTTGTAAAGCCGGGAACGATGGCCGTTGATTGTTGCTAGAACGGCTGTGCACGCTGCGGTTGAAGTAGTTGCGCTTGTTGTCGAACTCGAGCACCTTGGGGTTCTTGACGAGAAGTGCAAAGGTTCCGGACATGAGCTTGGGGCTGTTGCGGACCAGCTCATTCAGGATTCGGCGATGTTCCTCGGTGAAAGTAAAGAAGAGCCCTGCCATACGGTTTTCTGGTGGCGGGCTTGACAGCAGCATCTCCTTGCTTGTCTGGTTGGGTGCTTGCGGATCATCATTCATAGCGGTGTTCTTGCAGACAACCATGAGAGACTCGATCAGAGGTAACAGGATCGTAGCCACGTTGACCATATTCTCTCTCTCACGAATCGCGCTGAGACAGGCGCTCAACTTCTCCCACATGGTCGAGAAAGTTGAGTTGTGGTAAAGGGATGTGACGAGATCCTGCTTCTCATTGATGTTCGTCTCCGCTTCCTCGTCCGCCTTATCGTTCTTCTTCTTGTTGTCGAACAAGTGATCAAGCGCTGTCAGAACACGAAGCAGCTTGTTCTGCTCGGAAGCACCGGGAGAGAATTTGGCAAGCGCAACACCTTGAATCTCTGTTCCAGAAGTGGCTTTCTCAATGTGAGGGAGAAGCTCATCGAGGTCCGCCACAATGTTCTCGCTCAGCACACGGGCTTGGCGAACCAGCTCTTGTCCGAACGTGGCCTTGGCGCCGGGAATGGCGGACAGATTCTTGATGGCCGAAATGGTGTTTTGGAAGGTCTTGGAGCTGCACTCGCGGGCGACGAAGATCTTGATAACAAGAGTGAGGTTGTGCGGCGGAATGACGGGGACCTGCATTTGCCGCGGTGTTTTCTGGCTTGCATCTGACTTGTCGTTGTTCTTGGGGTTCTCTGATTGGGCGTCAGCCTCAGCTCCAGGCGCCTTGGACTCCTTGTTCTCGGCATTGGCATTGATATCGGCAATCGTAGTCTCGGAAGCTTCGTTGTTTGACGGCTGATCACCTGCAGTCGAAGCCTCGCCAGCCTCCATAGCATTCTCGGCAGCCTTCTTCTTTGCTTCCCGAGATGCCTTTTCCAAAGCCTCCCGGCGGCGTCGCTCCATGGTTGCCAGGGGCACAGTGATTTTGTTGAGCAGATCGGCCAGGTACGCCATAACGACTGAGCTCTCCATTACCAAGTCTCTGTCGAGAAGAGTGAGCAGAGAGTTGATCGCGTACTTGTGGGCCTTGGAGTCCTTGGTCTTGCCCTTGCGACTGAGCGTGCGCTTGAGGGAGGACCCTACCGCCTCATGTTCTGTCAGGAAAAGCATTGGAATGTGGGGGTTCTTCGTAGAGAGGTCCTGCAACAGGTCCAGACACTGGTGAACCACCATCAGCGGCGAGATCTCTGAGTTGGATTGCTGTGGTCCCGCGGTGCTCAGCGATGTCAGAGTTCGCTTAAGATTCTGAGGGGTCTTGGGGTCCGCATCCTTGTCCTTTGGCTTCTTGGCTTTGAGGGAGAGTTGGCTAAAGCTGCGCTCAACAGCATCCATGTCTGTGCTTCCCTCTTGCAGAATCAAGAGGATGGTGCTGATCACCTCGAGACGGTTTTGTCGGTTTTCACAAACATCGGCGAGGACGCTGAAGAGGTAGTTGCGGATGGAGCCGATCTGGGCAATGAACATTAGACGAAGAAGAGTGGCGACTCCAGCCTTGTCCAGCATCTGTACTACAGTCCGTCGCTGGACCTTGTTCTCGTTGCTTTCTCCAGACTCGACCTGCGGCGCACCTGGCCGTCGAGCTGCCACGGGCGGGCTTCTGCCTGTGACGGCAGGATGAACGCTATGTTGCTGAGCAAGCAGGCGGGCTTGAGCAGCCATTTCTGGAGGCAAGTGGTCCATGATGTCCTCTCCCTGATCCATGAGTACCTGCTGGCGCAACTCGGGAGGAAAGGTCAATAGAATGCTTGCCGGGTCCATATCGACCGCGATCTGATCCTGGCCCGCGGTCGCTACCTGGCGGCGCTGCTCATCTCGCTCCCGTCGTCGCGCCTCTTGACGTTCTTGCTGGACGATTTCCAGTCGCAGGTCTTCGGGGAGGGCGTCCAAGAATTCTTGGAAAACTTCGCCTTGTTCGCCGGTGGCAGATTCATCTCGGGCCTGCGAACGTCTAGTGCTGACAGTCTGCGCAATGACCTCTTCTCTGAACTCCTCTGGTAGAGCGGCGAGATACTCAGGATCAATGCCAAGTTCGGTGACATCAACTTCCTCGCCCCGGATTATTGTCAGGACACGACTGCCGTCATCTGCCGTGTCGTCTGCGGAGGGTGCGGAAGCTTCTTGCGTTTCGACGCCTTCCATGGCTTGGGAAGGGACGGCCGCTTCTGGATGATTTCCTTGAACAGATGCCACATCGCGCTCGCCTGTAGCGGCAGCAGCTTCAGCAGCCAGGCGCTCTTGCTCTTCGCGCTCTTCCGCTTCTTTTCTCTCGCGGAGAGCCTTTTCTTCGGCTTCCTTGGCTGCCTTTTCTCGTTTTGCTTGCTCTTGCTGCTGCTCAAACTTCTTACGCTCCTCTTCTCGGATCTTGCGTCGCTCCTCTTCTTCAGCCCTGAGCTTCTTCTCAAATTCCATGGCAGGGGGGACTAGCTTCGAGAGAATGATGTTGATAAGCTTCTGGGCTTTCTCAACAAAGTGGGCCCCGCCGAACACCATTCGGGCCTCTTCCTGGTAGCGCTCAAAAGTTGTCTCGGGAGTGAAGGCAACGGCTTGTTGAGGCTCGTGGTAAGTGGTTTCACGGCGGTTATCCGTTCTGGAATCACGGGGTGCAACGTGGTACTCCCTCACTTCGCCACGTCCATTCTGGGTGATAGACAAGTGGACTGCAGACTGACCATGGCGCATAACCGGTAGAGATGCAACCAAGTCGTTCAGAATGGCGATGGGGCTGTTGGACAGATGCTGTCCACCAGGACCGAAAATATCAGGAGGCAGACGCAGGCCAATCATGCCGGAACCAGGCGCAGGGCGAGGAGATGCCTCGCGGCCTTGGCCGTTTCGGCGCAAGAGAGGGTTAACACCATCGTCGGCATTGTTCGGCGCGGCATTCGGTCTGTGTCGGGGAGAGAAATAGCTTCGGAAGTCTCCTAAGGGATCGCGGCCACCGCCAACCATGAATCCTGGGGGGAAGGGACTACGGTGTCCGTGGCGGTGACGGTGAACCTGATGAGGATGGCCGCCGAAGGGCTCGACAACGAGGGTATCCCATCCAAGGGCAGACGGGAGGTTGGGGGGCGGATGGTCGTCTAACAGGGAGTCAGTCATTGCGTTAGGTATTGTGGTGATTTTGCTTACGAGGGTAGTCCTCATCATAGATGAGCTCGTCTTCTTCCATGTCCTCATCATCATCCTCATCATCTGCAAATCAAGTCAGCAAGACCCAAACACAAGAGCGGTACTAGTTCTCTCACCATCTTCGTCACGACCATCGTCAATGTAGTGGTCTCCGAGATCGTCCATATCTTCGCCCTCGTAATCCTCAGGGTCCATCACTGCTCGGGCCAGATTGTCAATGATGTCGCCAGGCTCCATGCCGTGCATGTGAGCTTCCTCAAGCTCCTGAGCCTCAGCCTCATAGTCGACGTCTTCGTCATCCTCGTCCTCTTCTTCATCCGACTCGCTCTCCCATTCTGAGGCACCGTCATCCTCGATGGGATTGCCGTCTTCATCAACAATCTCCTCTACGATATCGACATGGTCGTCCATGTCCTCCATATCGTCGGAATCCATCTCGTCATCTTCACTTAGTTCGTCGTCATCTTCGTCCATGTCATCATCCTCATCCATGATGACCTCAACGACACCAGGATCTCCATGAAGACCCTCGATCTCACCCATTTCGCCAAGCTCTTCATCTTCGTCGCTGACGCCGCCTTCACCATCGTCGGATACGTCTTCGTCGCCATAGTCGAGCTCATCGCCATATTCATCGTCGTACATTTCCTCGTCATCATCTTCTATATATATATATATGTTAGGCAACAATCTTACGTTTGTAAAATGGGTTAGCGAACGTACCGTCTTCATCATCAGACTCGTCATCACTCCCACGAGGTTCGAGCATTCCAAGAGTCGAGTTGCGATATAGATCTGGTGTTTCTTCTCGGTCGTCATCCATGTCTGACATGGATGACGTCGAGATGATGTCGTCTTCTGCGTTCTCGGGAAGGGATGTCAAGGGAATAACATGCGAGCGGCTCAGTTCCTTGGCAGTATCTGTCAAGACACGAAGAACCCTGAGGACGTACTTGATGGCACGCTTGACACCGGCGTGGCTCAAGTCAACTTCAGCAATCGACGAAGTCAGCTTGTCGAGGTAACCCTTCTCGTACATCATCCTACGCAGCTGTGCCTGCGACCGGCCTTGCGCAGAGTCGAGTGTGCGTTGAGATGTTGACTCCTTGTCCTTTTCGCCAATGATGTGGTTCATCAACTCGGCCAGACATTGCATCTTTGGATAGCGGGTGTCGACAGGCTCTTCTGGTGTTGCCGCGCGCTCGTAGGCCTTGAGAATAGTATCCAAGACGAATTTGCGAACAAAAAGCAAATCGGGCTCGTCATCGTATTCGAACCTATCTCGGCTCTTGTCGATGACTCTTTCCCCAGTCTTGGCCACGAGTGCAACAAGGACCTGCTGAGCCTGGGCAGAGGTTGCTGCCTTCTTCTTAGACAAAATGCTGTCTCCGTTGTCGCTTAGATTGCCTTGGCAGAGCAGATCATGGATGAGGTAGTTCAAGACGTTCGACCGAGGCTTGACGGGCGTATTCGTTTGCATCGGTGCGCTCCGCTTGAAGTTGATGAACTCAACCTTCGTCTGGTTGTAGCTTTGGAGGAGCTCGGCGAGGCAGTTGAGCAGGAAGCAACGGTAAATGAAGATGGGGTGGTCCTCGGCCTTGAAGACCGGTTTCGACGACTTCTTGTCCTTGTCCTTGCTGTCGGCAGCATCTTGGGCCTCTGCTGCCCCGTCTTTCGACCCAGCTTCTGCGGCAGTAGTAGCAGGTGACGCAGCACTCTTGGGCTCCTTCGCTGCCTGCGAGGGCTCCTTGTCGTCAACTTCACGATAGTTGAGGAGTTCGCAAAGGAGGAAGTGAATGATGCCGTGAGGGTTTTCGACCACTGGTCGTTTCAGTTCGGTAACTGGCTTCGGCGCATCTGCCATCTCCTTGTCATCCGTCTCTGTCGATTGCTTGACGTCGTGAATTGATAGGTCCTCTGTTGCTTGTACAGCCGGTTCGACACTTGCGTCCTTGTCTGCGGAGTTGGTTTTGCCATCGGACTCGGGCTCCTTCAGTGCCAGTTGGTTAGCACGGCTGCTACCCTCACTCCCTGGAGTCCAGCGAGACAGCTTGGTCATTTCGTTGGTGACCTCGACGAACAGATCCGGAGAGCGTAGGGCAAGAGGGGCCATGTTGCGCAGGTATGTGCTGAGATCCAGATTCCTTTGGGTACGCTGAGGATTTTCAAACAAGTTGCGAATCTCAGCGCGCATGATTTGTTTGAGAGTCTCCTCGTCCTCAACGATATGTCTCAGAATGGCCATGATGCTGCCCGTCGTCTTGCTTTCCTTCAGGCGTGCTGCACCTGCACCGGCGAGCTGCTTGGCCATAACGAACAGACGTTGAAGGTTCTTCTTTTCTCCAACCTTCTGTGCAACGGATGGCTTCCGCGTTAGGATGAGAATTACTCGAAGGACTGAGGTTGCGAGAGTCTCTTCTTTGCCAAGCACAGGAAGCAGACGAAGAATCGCCTCTAGGAGCTCGTTTCGCTGGTCGTCTGACACGATCAGGTTGCGCTGAGGAAGCACCGGCGGCACAACCGCCTCACTATCGGTGGCAGGAGGCTTCCACTGGGCTTCCAGTGGCTGCTCATCGTACGACAAGAGCAGCTCGACAATCAAAAGGATGTAAGGGATCCAAGGAGGCAACTCTTCGTTCGATGTCGGAAGGACCTTCAAGTTGAGAAACGAAATGTACTCGTCCACCTTTTCTCTCAAAGTATCAATGTTGCATTTGAAGAAACTCTTGTCTTGCATCAGAAGAGCCAGGAGGTGGGCGTACGCAGCAATGCTAGTGCCGTTGGATTTCGAGTCACTGTCATCGAAGGACAAAGATGTCAGCGCATTGGCAAGAGTCGCGCCGACTTCGTCGCGAGCTTCGTCATTTTGCTGGCGGAACACCATGGCGCTGATGAGCTCAGAAAGTTCAATGGCTGAGTGCGGGTGCGCCCGGACAATGTCGAGGGATCGGTCAATGAGGTTCTCCCGTAGCTTTGACCGCTCATTGTCAAGACTCTCTTTGCTTGTCGGATGGGTTTCGGTTTGGGCCTGGTCTTCGGTGGTGACCGCTGGAGCAGATGTGTTGGCTCGGGCTTGAGCTTCGGCAACCACAGCGGGGCTTTCGTTGCCGTTGCCGCTCGACTCAGCAGCCGCTCTATCGCCTAGGTCGCCAAGCACGGCATCTCCAAGCAGACGGTCCAACTCGGGTGTGGCAAGCTCGGGTGCCACATCGACTGCCATCGCATCAGCATCGGCGGAAGCTGCAGGTGCAGACCCTTCGGCTTGGCTTGAAGAACCGGACGGTTCAGGACGCTCAGTGGTATAGGCATCTTCAGGAGGCACCGGGTTCCGTTGACCTGCCTTGCCAGCCTTGTGGAGGCGGCTGTACTCCGTCGCAGATGGTTGGTTGCCATTGGCTCTGAAAACAGCTTCACGGGCCAGCTCCAAGTCGGCACCGTCTTCCTTGAGCTGATCAATCAAGATATGGTGAGCCTGCCAGTTGAACGGGACTGGCGATTTCTTGAAGAGCTCGACAGCGGGCCTGTCTCGAGGAGACGGTTCGTGGTCGCCTGCAGAGATAATCTTTAGAATCTCGATGACCTTAGCCACCGTCTCAGGCCGTAGCTTCTCAATCAGAGCAGACTCCCAAGTCTCACGGATCACCGGAAGAACGGCCATTCGCACGTCCACAACAATCTGGTGAGCAATGGGGGCTTCTGGGCGTCTCTCGGCCGAACGGGGCAAGAGTCCAAATTGCGCTGTCGAGTCGGAGATGTTCTTGCCGTTGACGAGAGCCGCGAAAAACTCAAAGATCTTCCCGAGACCGAATGATGCTACCCTAGCACTGGCAGTGGTTCCAGCATCAGAATCTCCAGTGTCCTTGCAGATCTCTGCAGAAAATCGTCGTACCATAGCCGTCAGAACAAAGAAGCCACCCTGCTCCAAGAAAGCTACAAGTACAGGCATGACAACCTGAACCGATGATCGGTCGCCGGATGATCGTGCGGAGTCCATTAGCATCTCTGTCAATGTGTGGAGCATGATGATCCAGTAATGGTACTCCTTGGCCGTAGGTTCAGCAAGTCCAACTGAAGGCGCTAGCTGTCCCAGAATCGTGCCGGACAGCTGCCTGGCAAGATCGATGTGCTTTGGACGGGAGTAAGGATCGCGCTCGCGCCTTGGGAAGAGGGCCTTGCCAAGTTGTTGGAAGAAGGGGAATGTAGACGGCACCATGGAGTGAAGGAGGATGCGAAGGGTCTCGTAGTTGCGATACCGAGGTGTCGCCTGTTCCTGCTTGCTTGGGCCTTTGTGTTGAGTACTGGGACCCATCGTCGGGACAGTACCAGGAGCAGCACCCAATGACTCAGCTGGTGCTGTGATGGTATCCGTCTCGGGCTCGCCGGTCGTCTGAGTTCCAGTAGGTCCACCGAACGAGACCATAACGTCGCTGCCGGGAGCCGGTCTCTTCGCCCACCAGTGTTGCGGCAAAACGTTGTGCTCTGCGCCTTCCTCCGCCAGTACAGCCTTTAGAAGAGGCCCCAGTGACTTGACCAGGTCTAGATAGTAGTCAAACACATTGATGGGATAAAGCTGAACTGAGTTGGAGCGCGGCGAGGACGTAAAGCACTCGTACAAAGTCTTAATGAGCGACTGCGCGGTGAGAAGAGCCTTGACCATCTTGGTGCCGTTGTAAATCCGTTCTTGCGTCTCGGCATCGAGATCCCGGACTTGGTCCACGGTCAACTTGTCGTCTGGGGTCAAGAACGGGCCGAAGTAAGGAGAGTCTTTTCTGTACTCGGCTAATGGCTTGAGCGTCTCTACTGAAGCCTGTGCGCGCCTAAGTAGTGAGGGCAGACCGAGGACCGGAGACTGCTCGACAAGCTGGGAAATGACCAGGTGCAGTGTCCGGGATGCGTGTGAATCGCAGAAGTCGTGCGGAAGGCTGGGCAGTTCTGCAACGTCCAACAACAACTCGATTCCTCCATGATTAATGAAGTAAGCCTTCAGAGTGTTGTTATTGAAATAGGCAGAGAGGAAGCTGGACAAGGCATAGACATAAGGCGTGATGTCATCGTAGGCCGTTGCAGATGAGGATGGCTCCTCACTGCTTGTAGCTGCCTTTTGATTTGACGTTTCAGCCGCATCCGACATTTCAACATCTGCGTCGCCACTGCTCTCCGTTGCTTTGCCCTTGGGAGAGGTAGCAGCGAGGCGCTCCTTCAATGCCTCGTCGGCGGCGGCGGCGGGCTTCTGTGTACCATCTCCCAAAAGAAGCTTTGCGCCCCAGCCAGCAGTCCTGGCCTTGTAGACACCCAAAGACCTCACCCGAGCGACCATGTCAATAACAGCATTCGAGATTGGACGCCTCAGGTTGGGGTGGTGACGGGCAAGCTCATCAAAGCTAGCTCCGACGTTGCTAGCAAGATGGGGGTCGGTTTCCATAGTGTTAACATGAGCTGGGCTTTCGAAGATCTCCAAGAAAGACTCGAGGGCGCGAGAGGATGCCACCATTTTCATGCCGGCATTGTTCAGGCAAATGGAATTGAGAACCTGCGGGACAACGTTGATGGCGTCAGAGGTTGGCAGAATACCTTGAGCCAACGGACGAGTGTCGTGGGATGCCGCCAACTCATCCTCGGGGGGTGGGTGGGGGCGGGTGTCGGCCTCGATCTGGATAGAGGCATCGGACACGTCAGGGCTGCTCTCATCGTCGTTGTCGTCACGACTACTCTCATGATCCCTTTCGTCTGCCGTTTGTGCCTCTGCGTTGTCTCTTGTTTGTTCCTCCGATTCCTGAGGAGGTGGAATGATAGGTTGAGACGCGACAGGGCGGCCGGTGATGGCTTCCAGGTAGGTGACGATCATACCAGACTCGGAGATGGCGGCAAAGCTCGTGGGGTCGTTGTTGATGAAGTCGCTCAACACCGTGACCGTGTTAGTCCACAGGACGGAACCGAAACGCTTCGTGTTCTGCATGATATCTCGAAGGCTGACCAGCAACTCTGACTTATCCACAAGATTACGTAGGAGTCTATCGGTGTTGCCTCCGTAACTGTAGGAGTTGGTCATCATGTGATGGACGAACTTGAGGACCCACTTCAGCGTCTGCTGTTGACTGTAGGGAATCTCGTAGTCTACGACCTGACACATATGTTCTGGCTTGTTTCCCTGACCAGATTCGACCAGCTGCTTCGATTCGGCAACAGTCGTAACAAGCAGATCGGAAATGGCATCAAGACCAGACCCACTGAAGAACGTCTGGAAGGCGTTCTGGTAAGACCAGATCAGGCCGTCAATGAAGGCTAGGATCATGGATTGATTGCGTTGAGCAACGTCGGACCTGATCTTCAGGATCTCGACTAGGATATCCATAAGTCCAGCGGTAACCATTTCAGCACCTATTCTGGTAGACATTGCCAAATGGGTGGTTAAAGAGAAGAGGTTGGTGCGCCACTGATCGACCTCGATAGTGTGAATGCCGCGGTCGGGTTCGTCCGTCTTCATGCCCGCGACTGCCTTACGAATGACGTAAAGGAGGATACCGTGGTTAACGTTCGCGTTTAAAGCAGACAGAACATCCTGATATCTCGCCGCGTAGTTGGAAATAACCTCAAGGAGAGCGAGAACGATGGACTGAAGCCACAGGGGCACCTGAATGGATCCATCGGCCGGGGGATGAATGAGTTCGGCTAGCTGATAAACCAACTGGTAACGCCGGGTCTCGTCGTTGTCGTGGCGCAGGACCTTTTCGATGAAGGTGGACTCGGGGTGGATAAACGCCAGATTTGTAATGGCGAGCAAGCGGACGGCAAGGGCTTGCTGCCGCGAGTCCGCACCATCGAGGAGGGCTTTGGCAACTCTCAACCGGTTGAGTACCTCGTACCTTGTCGACGGCGGCATATCCGCCGGGCATCGCGAAAGAAGCTCGTAAATGGAGGTAGATGCCACGATCGATTGTGGCAGTTCAAAGGTCCTCTGACTTGGGTTGGGTTGCTCGTTGAAGTTACCGGGACTCCGAACACTCAAGGGCGACGTGTCTTCAGCCCCGAACTGACGAGCCGAGCGAGGGGTGTTGTGCTGGGACCCAGCCGTGGTGCTACGTCTCAGGGGAGTGGGCGTAGAGGGCATGCTAGACGCAACACGATCTGGAGCTGCCGGGGCAGGCTGTTCTTTCGCTGTCGAGGACGCCGTGTAAGTGATCTTGATATCACCCCAGCCGTTCCAACGACCGTTGTCTGATGTGAGGACAGCGCCCAAGTCGTTGGCAAACATGACCGCTGCATTCTTCTGGTTCGCCGCGAGGGCCTTCTCTTTGCCTTTGGTGCTTGAAGTGGGTGTGGCGGCGGCCACCGAGTCTGAAAGGCTAATGATGGGAGTCTTAGAGAAGGGCTGGGCGAGGTTTTGCACGCGGTCGAGGTCAATTTGATAGTGGTTGCCCAGCAGTGCCGTGCTGACCGTTCGGGAAGCGCTGCCAATCCGCTTGACAGAAGCCTGATACCGTTGTGCCAACTCGGCGCTGACTTGCAAAGTAGCAAGAAGGACCGACAGGACCGTAGTGTTGAGCAACTTGTTCAACACCATGCTGCTGGAATAGATGCTTCTGTTGCCGCAGTGCTCCAAAAGCGTACGGGTGAATTTGAGGACAGCTTCAATAAGCTGCCTGTCACCATCTTCCTTGTAGCCCAGCTTGGACAAGCTCTCGGCATCCCATGTCTGGTCACCATATGATTCAGTCTTCGCGCCTCGATTGAGGAGAAGGTCGCAGCCGAAATCACGGTTCTGGGGGCCCTGATCGAGGCTGTAGGTGGTGGAGAAGCAGTCCAAGACGTCGTCGAACCTGTTGAGGAGGGGGATCCAATGGTAGAGATCACCTCTCGGGAACGGCCATCTCGTCGGGAACTTGGAGAGGTGGTCTGGAAGAAGAGGCAAGGGGGTCGAGCAGGCCGACGAGACGAAGTCCTTGAGCCATGGAGACTAGGGGTGGTTAGCCGAGCTCGCCGCCGGACAAGGATGCAAAGCGCGGGCATAATGAACTTACCAAAGTCTCAGCATGCTTGGGCTGCATCTGCTTCGTTATCTTCCCCATCGTGGGCGAGCGCGGCAGGGCCGCAGGTTCATAAGTGCAGCCTTGCTAGCTAGCCCGGGTCGGAGAGTGAATGTCTTGATGGCGCAACGGAGATCTTATTGGCGTTGGCGCAAACGGAACAGACGCGTCGCCGTAGAGGGTATTGTTTTTTCGATAGTATACAGCCGAGTGGAGGAAAGGGAAAGGTAAAGGTCACTGGTCCGGTGAGAAGTGAAAAGAAAGAGGCCGGGTGATGACGGGAAAGCTTGAGTCAAGAAGGTACAGAGATGCAAGGCCGGGTGCAGGACGTCCTCGCAGGCTACAGTACAGCTTCACCAGGCAGAGTGGGTTCGGTCGTCGTTGTCGTTGTCGTCGTCGTCAAGGTGGTGCGCGTCGCTCGGAGAGAATTTCGTAGTTTCCGTGCGAGAAGCAGGCGGCAAGATCAAGCCGTCGGTCGCAACGAGTGTCGGGGTGTTGGAGGTGAGGTGGGAGTGGGAGGCGGGATAGGATGTTGGAGAGTGTGGTGAAAAAGAAGTTGCAGATGTCAAATCGGTAAGGAAAGGTAGGTGCGGTTACAGTGGGCCCTTTGCGTAATAGCAAGGTAGGTAGAGGTAGCTTCCTAGGAAAGTGCCCTCACTTTTTGGTGGAAAGGTCAGCGTCGGGTGGTCTATCGCCTTGCGGGCGGTCAGTCAAGGTGGGAGGAGTAGGCGGGCAGTTTGCAGGTGGTTTGGAGAGCGCACTGTGCAGCTGGGCGGAATTTCCCATTCGAGACAGTGTTAATAAACCTCAGAGACAGTGGCAGCGGTATGACGGGAGGAAGAAGGATAGCGGGGATGTGAGTGCACGGTTCACCCTCCGCTGGGCGGGACGCGGTGCCAGGAACTCGAAGGCTCGACGTGGAAGCGTCTTAGTCAAAAGGTACGTACCGCGAGGCAGATACGGCAATGAGTCTATCCACAGACTGCAGCTTGCCTTCCACCACTTTGCAGTCGACAGTGTAAGGAAGTTCGTGTGTCTAATGTCACTGGCTCTGGATCTAGTGTCCGGTGTCTAAATCTTCTAAATCAACGTCTGGAGAGTACCTTTCCAGATAACATAGGTGGTGCAGGGCCGACGAGGCAGCATTGACGCCTCATTCTTGTTTGTTGCTCAAAAGCCCAAAACAACGCCTACAAGACCACGTCTCCCGGCCCAAGGCTTTACCTGAGGAGTAAATGACATCGATCTCCTGTCCCGACCCCAAATCGCACCGAGTCCTCATCGACTGAGGCTTTTGACATCACCTCTATTCGTGTACAACGACAAATAGGTATTTGACAACTTACAGGACCGGAGCAAGTGTACTCTGTACTTCCAAGCATATTGGGCTTTTGGGCTAGGCCACAAACCTCCACCGAACTACGTCGCTGGCGGTGAAAATATCGAACAGTCGTCAATGTCCACTCAAAATAGGTACAGGGGCACAGTGCGATGTCATCATGGGGCTGCCGGTGTTGTGCACCCACAATGCATAACCGGGTTCAAGCACCAAGAACACTTGGCTCTGGAAGCTCCTTTTCAAATCCTCAAGAGGCCATCGAGAGCTTAGAATGACCCGTGATGACGAGGACTGCACCGTGCCGGAAAGTTATTTGCTGGGAACCCATTTAGCTAGAAGAATCCATGTGACGGGACCAGCCACGTGGGAGAGCGGGATCCTTGGACAAGTCCAGTTTGCATGCCATGCGCTGGCAGTGAGCTCTGCCCGAAGACAAGATTGGAGGTAGCCCTAGCCACAAGGTCTCGTTACACTGCCGGTCTCTCCGGTTTAGCGGGAAAGAGGAATGTTTCCTGCTCTGAACTCCACAATAACAATAACAAGTAAGACTGAATGCCAGTTCCATCTGACTCCTACCACTGAACGCGACGAGTTGCCTCATGTGGCTGATAGTTATGGTAGAACCTTTGTGTGTGGCTAGACATTAGCGATTGAGGCAGTACCTAAGCCAGTATGAACGCCTTGGTAGCATTCCAGTCTCACGACACACAAACCTGCGCTGGTCGAGGGCTGACAAACATGGCATTTACATCTCAGTGGCTGACCTGGCTGACCTGGCTGACCAAGAGTTGCGGCAAACGCTCTGTTGGTATCTATATGGTGTCAACGTCCAAGAACAAGTGACGGATGGATGGGTCCGGCCGACCGGCTGTCGCTCCTATTGCCGTACCACACAAGGAGAAGCGTTTCCAGCGGCCTCGGCACCGTCGTCCCCCGAAGCCCGTCCTGGGTCCAGAACAACCGAAGGGCGGCGTAACGCCGGGCCTGCGGGCGGGCGGCATCGATTATAGACAAAAAAAGGGGGAAAGGCAAGGGGGAGGGCGGACGAGATCTACCATCGACTGCAACGCCGCGAGAGTATGGAGATCGCACCAACCGGGAAAGGCTGGCGCTACCAACGGTGTACTCAGAGCGCTGGTGGCTGGCCGAGACATGTCGTGTACCGGGCAGGTATCCTGCCACCCTAATTGCTCTGCTCCGGCGGCCCAGCCATCGTGCCAACCAAAACGCCGACTTGTGCTGCAGGGGCTGCAGCAGCAGCAGCAGCAGCTGGGCTGAACGAGACAAGACTGTTGGATGATAAGCTCGTCTCGGGGAGACGCGCGCACATGCCCAGCACTCCAGGAGCCAAGACAGCAACAAACAAACAAGACATGGCACGGCGGTACTTGCTGTTAGCCTTTTGCAGTGTTGGTTGCGTTGCGTTGCGCAAGTCGCCCCCTCAAAGCATCGGATGAAGGCATGGTAATACTCAGGAAAAAAAAAAAGGGGGGGGGGGGGGGGGGGTGACAACGCTCTCGTACTCATGAGATTGGTCTTTTCAAGATTGGAGAGGCTATTGGAAAACCCAGACCGCTACATCGGACCACTTTGCTCAGATCCAGGGTTGTTGGATGTCCTTTTTGGAGACGCGCCTGAGGAGGAGGTCACTTAGCGAGAGGAATAGATGAACCGAAAAAGCTTCTGGGAGGCTGAAAAGGGCGTAGGAAATGCTGGGCAATCATCAAGAAACAGCAGCTTCCCTGCCCCGCCGATCCCAACCAATTTCCTTTGGCTGGCCTGCGGGCTGCTTAGTGTCGACTGTCACTGGAGGAGGGCCGCCCCTGTGGCAGATGGCATTTTCACAGTGTTTGGTGTATTTTTCCTCTTCTTTTTTTCGGCTGGTTGGGCGTGTACAGGGCTGGCCTTTTCCGGAGAGGAATTCACGGCATTTAGACCCCCGAAACAGAGAGCGATCCCGTGCCGTAAGCGGCGCGCTAAGCTATCAGTGGTTGACCCCCTTCTCGTCCCTTCCTTTCCCCTCCTATCCTGCCCTGCTTGCCATTGTCCCCTGGCCGCTCCCAGTGCAAGTTTGAATCGAGAAAAGGCCGTGGTGGATCTCAAGAGTGCTGAGGATCGATGCTTTGGGCGAATAATACGGGGACTCACCTTACGGCCACTGCTGTCCACTCCGCTTCTCCTCGGTAGACTGCCTCCAGGTCCCAGTCAGGTAGGTGGGTAGGCAGGTACTGAGTCACTCCGTAACGCTGCAAAGATACATCTGGAGGGTCCCATATGCGGTGAGGCTCAGCTTCGTTCAATTAATTCCCCATCCATCCCATCCCCCATCCCCAGCCAGAAGGACAACAGAGAAAAAAAAGGGAGGGAAGCACAACTTCTCGCGCGCCACACCCGTTCCTCTCTTGACTATCAGCCCTCGGCCCTCGACTCTCGGTCATCCGTTCTCCTGGCAAGATCACCAACGAAAAACATTTCAACGTCAAAGCAGCAACCAACGACGCACCCTCGACCCTGCATCCACGAAGGCCACAGCACCGTATTAAGGGTATTCTTCAGCAGCACAGACAACACAGTGTACAATTGCCTGTCTACCGTAGTGCTGGAGCGCCCCCCATCTCCATGGCCACCAACTAAGGTAGTTTCAAGTCCGACCTTGACCTGGAGAGAGCCCATCCCACCATACTGCACACGTATACATACACACACCCACACACACACGCGCGCGCGAACATAGGTCAGCGCAAGTTGACCTACGATCCTCGATCTCGCCATGTCCCAGCCAGGCGAGCTTGCTACGACCGTTTCGTCTGAAGCCACAAAGGAAACGAAGGAGAAGAGACTCTCGACTGACTCCGACTCGGATAAGGAGAATGTAACGCTCCCCTTCCTCCCTTGATGCACCACCCACCCCGGCCTCAAGGCAGATGCGGCACCAGACGCCGCCCCCGAAAAAGAACAAGTTTCGCTGACATGATGGGGAAAGCAGCAGGATGCCTTCGAAGATGCCGTTGTCGACGTCGCCGAGGTCGCTGAGGTAGCTGAGATAGCTGAGGTCCGCTCCCTTACCCAGAGAACGCCTTCAGTCTCGAGACCGCCACCCCCGAGGAAACGGACCCTGAACCCTCGAAGAAGGAGGAGATCGAAGACGAAGAGGAGGCAGCAGCTCCGCCATCATTGGCAAAGGAAGACAGCCACTTTGTCGACGAGGAGTTCAAGAGCGACGATGACGATGGCGAGATCAAGCGAAAAGCGTCTCCCGTATCGCACCGTCTCTCCAATACGTCAGACCTGGACGATGTCAAGCTGGACGATGACCATCCTGCCCCACAAGAACCAGGTTTGTTGTTTCGTCGCATAAACTGATTGACGTGTGTCAATATGGCTAATTTTAAATGCAGAAACGAAAGTTGTTAGCCCTGTCGAAGAGAAGGCGCCACCCAAGAAAATGTCCATTAGCAGCATTACTGGTGCCCTCCCCTCCATGCCGTGGTCGCCCTCAGCAGAGCCCTCGCCCGCCAAATCCCCGGTAGCCCCAACCGCCCCCCTGGCAGCTCCTGCTGCTGGCCTACCACCACCTCCAGGACCCCCGACTAGGAAGCTCACAAGCCCCTTCTCCTGGTTATCTCGAAACAGCACAAGCAAGGAGAAGGAGACCTCGCCGCCGCCCCAAGCTTCGCCCCGACGCAATACCGCCAGTTCCATCGCAACTTTGACGAGCAACCCCGAGATGATGCTCAGTAGGCTGGACGAAGAGAAGGAGGGTAACGGCAACATCGGCGTGCCCCGACATAGCTTGAAGGACCGCTTCAAGATGGTGCGATTACGGGAGGAGGCGGGCATCACACTGTCAAATGACGACGACAAACCTGTGCCACCGCCCAAGGGATTGGGGTTGAGCACTCCTCCTGCTCAGAATGGTAACGACAGGGAGCTTGGAGCCGACCAACCGCCCAAGTCACCCCTCCCCACCACCCCGAACCCGGCATTGGCCCCAGGGACGGTATCTGGAGTCTCGGCCGGTCCATCAGACATGTCCGACTCTCAGGTGGACTGGGATCTGTGGCAGTCTGTCGTATACGAAGGCCCGGCAGTCGTTGCGCGGACCAGCGCTGAGGAGTTGAACAGAGCTATTGCCAGTGGCATTCCCAACGCCATCCGAGGAGTCATATGGCAGGTCTTGGCCCAGAGCAACAACGAGGAGCTCGAGATCATGTACAGAGAGCTTGTGGCTCGAGGCACCGACAAGGAAGTCAACCGGAACAGCCAGAGCACTGTCAGCTCTGGCAGCAACGGGAACCTCAGCATACAGAACGACGTTGTCAATTCTTCTGCCTCGTCGGTCCATTCGGAGCATTCAGGCGCAAATGGCATGCCTTCACCTCACGAAAAGAGCGCCGAGGCTGTGTTGAAGACACAACAGGCCGCTACCGCGGCGAGACAAAAGAAGCAAAAGGAGGACAACGCTATGCTGCAGAAGCTCGAGAAGACCATCCGACGGGACATGGGCGCGAGAACCAGCTTCTCCAAGTATGCAGCCGCCGCTGGGCTCCAAGAAGGCCTCTTCGGCGTGTGCAAGGCGTATGCCCTGTTTGATGAGGGTGTCGGCTATGCCCAAGGCATGAATTTCCTCATCATGCCGCTCCTGTTCAATATGACGGAGGAGGAAGCATTCTGCCTGTTGGTTCGCTTGATGAACCACTATCACCTGCGCGACCTCTTCATCCAGGACATGCCGGGTCTTCACAAGAACTTGTACATCTTTGAGCGCCTGCTCGAGGACTTCGAGCCGGCTCTCTACTGCCACCTCCGCCGCCGCAGCATCTCGCCCCATCTCTACGCCACCCAGTGGTTCTTGACGCTCTTTGCCTACCGCTTCCCTCTACAGCTGGTGCTGCGCATCTACGATCTGATCCTGTCCGAGGGTCTGTCTGCGATTCTGCGCTTCGGCATCGTTCTGATGCAAAAGAACGTCGCTAACCTGCTCGCCATCTCGGATATGCAGCAGCTCACTGTCTTCCTCAAGGACAAGCTGTTCGACGCCTACATCGACACGGCACCAAGCGCAGGAAGCATCTTGGAGAACGGCTTTTTTGGAAGCTCCAGCTCCAGCATGGACAAGGAAGTGTACCGCGCCGACCAGTTTGTCCGGGATGCTTGCGATATCAAGATCACTCCTGAGATCCTCAAGGCGTACACTCTCGAATGGGAAGAGAAGACAAGGGCGGAGAAGGAGCGCGAGGCAGAGCTCGAGCAGTTGCGGAGCGCCAACGTCAACTTCGCTGTGAAGGTGCGCAAGCTTGAGGAGCGAGTCGAGGCGTACGACAGCGAGCAGGCTGCGCTCGCGACGGAATTGGTACATACCAAGGTCGAGAATGAGGAGCTCAAGGATGAGAACGAAAGTCTCAAGGGACAGGTTCGCGAGTTGCGCAACGTCATCGAGAAGCAGCCCGAAGAGCTTGAGAACGCATGGAAGGCCGAGCGTGACGATCTCATGAAGCGTAATCAGAAGGTTCACGAGGAGAACGAAAAGTTGGAGAAGGAGTTGGCAGAGTTGGAGGAAGAGCTTGTGCAGACGAAGATGCAATATGCCGAGGTAAGAAAAGTCCCCTTGATCCTTACCGACAATCATCCATTGACATTCATGACAGATAAACTCTCAGCACGAGACCCTTACTCGCAAGTGGACGGACCTCAAGCGGCAGTTCGCCTGAAGTGAATTTTCCGTTACAAACCCTGGTATACCCAGAAGCAGAACTCTCTGAGCATCTTAATGTACAAAAGTAATGGTAGAGAATCCCAAAGTATGGCGGTTTGTGTGTGGTTGCAGGCCGAACGCACATCTGGGTGCCAAGCTGGCTATGGGCAACAAGGAACCAAGAGGACCCAAGAAGTGGTCAATCATGTTTGATATCCCAAGAAACATTTGCACAACAGGAAGAAAGTTAAACAGAAATACGTCGGTCAAGACAAATCCAGGCAGGGAGTTGTAATTGACTGGCCAGCCGCGCCCGGCAGCATCATGACGGGGTTCATGCCAGAGGCAAGCCATGAGGCACATGGGGGAGTTCACGGTGAAGAGGATCTCGGTTTCGAATGGTAGACTTTTTACACCTACATCGTCAATTACAGAGCATTACGCGCCATTTGAAGAGCCACGGCAGGAGTGGATGAGCCAGTATGTGTCTGAGGCAGGCAAAAACTTGGTGGTATAGTCTTTTTGAGTTCTTCCTAATAAACCCATAATCCGTCCGTCGGCCCGGTTTGCTTTTCCCGAGCCTACATGGTATTGTAAGCTGATCACGCCCCCCGTTGGTGGCTTTGCCAGACTGACGAAAAGCAAAACCTGTTTGAACACCAAGAACAACCTAAGAGCCCGATAAAATGTTTTTTTTCATTCCCGTTAACGTGAAACCCATGAGAGAGTCAGTTATCTAGTGTTTTCCCCCACCATGCCGTTACCCCAACGCGACGCTGGTTAGCGAAACATCACAGACTCATCGTAGAGACGAAGAGCGTAACGTTTACTTGTGGAGCTTGCGCTGGTAGAAGGCGAGCTCCTCACCCTCGAGGATGTATCCGTCGCAGCGGCCGGACTGGCCGGGGCGGGAAGAGATGACGGCGTACAGACGACCGGCCTCGAACTGCTTCTCGAGGGCGTTCTCGACCTTGCCCTGGGCGGCGAAGCGCTCAGCCTGCTTCTTCTCGACAGACTTAGACTTCTTGACCTCCTCCTCCTTGGCGACGGTGCCGGCGGCCTGCTGCTTCTGCTGGCGACGACGGCCGAGGTTCTGGCCGTAGTGGGCCTCGTACCACTGACGGAAGGGGCGGCGTCGATCTGGACGACGGCGGACTTGGTCAAGGTGTTTGTGCGGACGAGCTCGTTGTTGGAGGGGTGGTAGGCGACGCCGATGACACGGGTCTTGCGGGTGCAGCCCTCGGAGGCCCAGGCGAAGTTACCGCTGTCGAGGCGGAGGGCGCGGTACTTGTGGTTACCGCCGCGGGTGCGGACCGTGTGGACTCGCTTGGGGCCGATACGGGTGTTGGCACCCTGGCGACCGGCCTCGAAAGCGCGCTTCTTCCCTGTTGAGCAGAAAGGTCAGAACGCATGCTTGATTAGAGCATACGGGCTTTCGAATGTGTTACGCACGGTAGTAGGCGCGCTTGGCACCGGAGGCGGAGCGCTTGTGGCGGGAATCTCTAGAGATACCCATGATTGCTTATGCTGTTCGGAAGAAGAGGGGTTAGCACAGGTTCTGACCGAGTCTGGATACGACAGAAAGAAAGCTGGGATTGAGTCTCCTCTTCTTCTTCAAGAGATGTAGAGACGGGAAGACTGGAGTGGGATGGAGATTTTCGAATGTCGCCAGGGAGATACCGCGAAATGCCTTTCTCTGCTCCGACGGAGAGCCAGGAGAATGAAGATTGGGAGATCGTGGTGTATCGTCCGTCGCGACAGTCTATCCGTCAAAACTATGTGATGCTTCTGCTTCGCGTTCAACTAACCTGATGGTGGCTCAGAGGCAATCGACTGGTGGCTGGCCGGCGTTGGGTGGTTGGATTGTCGAGGTTGTCGGGAATGAACTTTTTCGGGAGAATGAGAGATTCGAGAGGAAAGGACGCCTGGTAATTTTTTGTGCGGGCTCGCTAACCCCACAGGCACAAACTTGGGAAGGTGCACGGGCCATGCTAGGGCATGTTTTGCGCCTGAGGTTGGACCGTTCCCAGAGAATGCTCATTGCAGGCCTGTAATTGGCCAGGCGCCGAGGTGGAGGGGCTGTCCTCGGTGAAGACCCAACGAGATCCAGACCGAGACCGGCTCACCGATAAGCTCTACTTTGCAAAGCGGTACCAGGACCTTTGAGGTGACAGTATCCCTCCTTGCCCGACACCATTGGCGCTGGACGGACCAATGAGGATCTCATACCAATAACTCCTAGCTGAACTCACATTTCCTCCGTTGATAGATGTCCTATGGAGCTGAGGATCACCACCAACTAAACCCCTGAACCGGTGTGAGCACTACAAGAGTCTTAAGCCTGTGTGGATGCACAACAAACTTGGCCCAGAGACCTTGAATCGCCCGTTTGAAGAAAACGAGGTTAATTGAAAAAGACTTGACAATGGCCCCGTTGGCCAGTTCTACTTATTCGTCAGGTTCCCAAACCTCCGACGCACTCCCATATGGGCTTCGCACCAGTACAGAACATTGCGAGTCCGCCCTGCCACTCTATTAATCAGGAGACTATTAGAGACGGCCACGCATGAGTAGTTATAGAGTAGAGTTTGAAAGCTTCAATTTCATTTCCAAAATGTCCTTCCCAGCTGGCATGATGGACTGAAACAGGCCGAAAATCTTTACGATTCCGATACTGGACAACCCTTCGATCGTCCGCGGCCAAAGCTGTCAATGGCGCCATTCCTTTGCATTTTACATAACCACAACACAGAGAAGGCGAACAGATGTTCCATTATAGCTTCATCTGAGTTCCAGCCTGCATAGTTCACTTTCCCTGCCCCGACGCCCATCAACTCAACGCATGAAATCTATGCAAGGGTTTTACACAAGACCCTTCTTTGCTCCTGTCAAAAATATGACAGCGAACCACACCTTTTTTTCTCAATCGCGACATCGTGATGCGCAACACCTCATCTCATGTTTTATGTGGGAACCTTTCGTCTGGTTCGATTCCTCCTTGTCAAATCTTGCAGGCTTCTGCTGTCTCTGCCAATGAAGGTGTGGCAAAACAGAGGGGGAAGAAAGTAGAGCCCGCCTCATCTGTAACGCAAAGAGACGGACATTAAGACCGATCGCCTCATCGGATCCGGGATCTTGTCCGCAAAGCAACCTGCGACCTAGCCTAGCCTAGCCTGCTCACAAAGACTTATCGAAAAGCCCCCGCTTTGAGAGTCGGATCTCTCAAGCATGGACTATGTCAACAAGAAACAAACTGCTCACGGCAGTGCTTGACGGGCCGCAAAATTGCCCGAACTGGACTTCCCTCGAGCCCCCCTCCCCATTGGGACTGACGGTGGCTCCGTCTGTTTCCTGCTCATCACTACTGAAAGGAACACAAAAAATGGATGATAGGAAACATTGATTTGTTGAAACTTTTGAAAGAAGTGAATTGGCCTGTTAGAAGGCACGCTTTGTAACGCGCAGCGACCTCGTGAATAAATATCGTGTGAGGCCGCAAAACAGCCAGATCTGACATGCCTGTTTGTCAAGTGCTGTGATGCTTTATATACATTATAAGTGGCCGCCGAAGGTTTCCTCGACGGCATGCGTATGTACCGGGCAACCCGCCCAAAGTATTTCGCCAGAGGAGTATCAGTCGTCCGACAACCAGCCCGTGCCGTCGCGTATGTTCCCCCGACTTTTTCGCCTGGCCATCGGCCGTCCTGCAGGGAAATAAGGGTCCTCCATCACGTACTGGGAGGACGGTATACTCGATGTTTGCGATGACTGGGTGTCGTTCTTCACTTTGATGATGCCCATCTCCACGCTGTGCGCCAACGACGGCTTCCCGAGATCCAACGGCAGAATGTTCTCCATGTTATCGGTGTTGCTAAGTATCGTCGAAGGACCATAAGAGCTTGAGCTCACCGACAGCTTCCCACCAGCTTGGCCTTTTGTTGCGCGGGCATACGCATTCGGGCCTAGGTATGGCTTGGTCCCGCCTATCGTCGTTTGTTGGCCTGGATAGTACACTTTTGAGTATTTTCCTGTCGATAGGCCGAGAGCCTTGTTCAGGGCGGGGAATCTCGATATGAGCGGTCTGAGCGACGGCACGCCGGAGCAGATGATCAGGGCGCAGACCTCGACCTCGGACCAGAGCAGGGGATCGGCAACCAAGACTGCGATGGTCAACGGTGAACATTTGCCTAGCTAGGGGCCACTTACAAGTAACGTCTCGGTCGAAGGCGTTGATGTAGCTCACCCTGATAATGGAGATGACACAAACACTACCAACCCTTAGCGATGTCTCGATGGATCTGGGCGAGGGCACTTACAGTAAGCCTAGGGAGAGCATGAAAATAACACCAATTCGCTTTGCAACCCGCAATTGCAACTTCCAAATGGTCGGAATTGGCTGGATGAAAAGGACCAGGTCTGTCAACAGCTTGATGACGAACTAATTCGAGTTAGCCGGATGTCGTTAAGAGTTTGACTGTTTAAACATACGGCAGAGTAGTAGAAGACGGTCAAGTCCAAGCACGTCCCGGGCACGGTTGGTGTCCAAGCACGTTGAATGGGAGCGCATCTAAAGATTACCACTGCCGTCTCCTCGATACCTTCCGCAAGTAGAAGAATGATGAGGAACTTGTTGATGCGTATGTAGACTTGATCGGGAAGCAGTCTCAAGTAAAGCACCGCAAACGACATCTTGACTGTTACGAAGGCCCAGATGTAGGTGAGTTGTGTGACGACTTGAAACTGAACGAGGCCCGTCAGTTGCCATCGAAAAAGTCCCTTCCGCTCTTTACCTACCTTGAGAAACTCGGCAAAGTCTGTTGCTGAGACGTCTCGGAAATGGGAACCCAAGCCAACGCCGGTCACTATCCGAGGTCAGCTTGCGTATAAACTCCTAGGTACACTCTGAGAAACTCACTGACGAGAATTGCACTGCAGAGTGCCATGGCGAGAATCTGTCTCGGTTAGAAACGTTCCTGTGAATGGCACTTGAGGGTCATTACCCAGCTGATGATCACCAGTGCTATCGCCCGTCAGCTCGATTGCCACAGTAAAAGTGTATTCGTGAATACTTACTGTCGTCCCATCCCAGGCTTCGTAACAGTACGCTTCGTACAAAGGTCCTCATCACGACCGTCAGCGTGATGCAGCACATCATGACGATGGTCACGCTCGTCGTTTGAGCGACCTTCGTGTCCGCCATTTTTGTCGATAGTCACATTCGGTTCGATGGTGTTTCCTGATGGATCGTCTACGAGCGGGGTGAAGAGTATATTATCATCAGTTCGGTCAAGAGGGTCAGACTCAAACCTTACGGGATGGTCCATGACGGACATGTGGTCCCCTACGTATTTGTCTGACATGGCCCATCGAACGCCGGCGTGTTCAGCCAACACTACATGCACAAACCCACTCCCGGCCCTTCAACTGTTGTCTGATCTTTTCAGCGGTGTTCCCAGATGGGCTTAGGCCTGGGCAGTCTGAAGACAAAGACTGACTGGATATCTAGACCGGGTAGCCCGGATCGTGCGTTTGCTGACACCGGGTATGGGTGGCCAACTGGGAAGAGGCACGATTCGCTGTGAACCTCACTGATGCCAACAGCAGGTCGAGCGTGAACTTTCCGCGGACTTTTCAGTGAATAAGTTTACTCGCAACCTCCTCGTTTGGGTGTTAAACTTCCAACAGCCAAGTTTCAAAGTATGATGCCTGGCGGTTTGCCACAAGGAAGGCTGTCCAAGACATCAGACTTCGTTCCAAGGTGGTCCACGCAAGTGACAGATCTATAGGTTTGATCGATAGAGTGAGACGAGAAGCACAACAGCCTGTATCCGTCGACGGGTCGACCTTGCGAATATCCACAGGGGAGTCCGGGGGGAAATAATGGGGACCCGAAGCCATGCGACGAAGAATGCATTATGCGAACCGACCATTCAGGCGATGGAAGGCCGTGCTCTTCCCGCAAGGGAAATCAGAAAGAGATTCGAGAACGTCTTGATCCGCCTGCCGGACGGCCGGCCACCAATGACTCGTCTAGTAGGCGGAAAAGGTGCGGTTCACGGCCCATGGCCAGGCCTACCTACTGCTCAGCTAAAGCTTCAGACCATGGGAGCTTCTCACAGCCTGATGCTTGAAGTGCCTGGTAGCCATGCTCGCGTGACTGACTGTGCACCGGCCAATAGCGAATGGCTTAAATCCCCGGACAACATCTAGGAAGTCGGGATATTCCACTTCCAATAGCTTCCATCGTGGGTTTGGCCATGTGCGTTGAATGCGACAATGGGACGACAGAACGCGTGGGAGACTCACCCACGCCAGATCGGGTGATTGTAGCGGCAGGATTCATTGGTCAGGCCTCTTGTGTCCTCCTCTCAACCGTTCAAACTACTGTAAAAGACCAGGAGCTGGTTGCAGTAAGTTCGTCTGTGCGGGTTTCCATTTACCGAATCCTCCACAGAACACGGCCGATGCCGACCAGTCCCGCTGGGTAAGCAAGTCCTTGTAGGAACAACGACTTATGATATACAGAGGACCAATGCTCTAGATCGCTTTAGCTAGCCATCAGTGAGGTGTTTGCGCTCCCCGAGCCGTACGTTGATGGGTCGTTTGAAAAAGCTGAACCCCCACCCCCCGATGAGCCAAGTCGGTCATCTTCCGCGAGGAGTATAAGCCTCAACGGCTAAAAGACGGAAAATCATTGCGTTGGTGTCTTTCTGGTGGATCACGGCTTGTGGGCAAAGTGCGTTATCCGTCAGAGACGCGGCGTGTTATGTGCCAGAGGGATTTCGTGTGTTGGGTTTCAGTCTCCACTCCGCGGTGAGTACCGAAAGCTCGGAGCGTTCCCGGTTTGTCACTGGTCGGCGACTATGCGCTATTGTGCTGGCGACAGAACAGCACTAGAAGATGGCATGCCCTCCACTACGGCCTACGGAAGCAAGGGATGGCCTGGATGGCCTGGGTGACCTGCGCAACGGTTACTATTGATGATGATTCCGTCGTTTCCGACTAGTGTCAACTTAATCGAGTGCAGCGGATGGTTGAGGCGGCCGTGGCGGCTCAGCTTCTTTGGTACGTTTTGGTCCTTAAGGCAGCAGATATGACTCGCTGATTTTCCGTGGAATAAGCGAAACTCATCTGAGGTTTCGTGACAAGAAACGTCGCAGCGATCAAGACAGTGACTGGGCGGTTGTTCTAACAGCCCAAGCCCAGCAGGCCGGACCATTCAGGCACCCAGGTTTTCATTATAGAATTGGTCTTGTAAGCCAAACCACTGTATGGATTGCAAAGTGGTAATGCTTCTGTTTACCTGGGTGTCGCTTGCAAGTAGATGAATTTATCCAAAGTCTATTATGCAACTGCTGGTTATAGTGGGTAGCCTGTGTGTGTGCGGCAACGTAAGTTACCTCAAGGGCGGTTGGCCGACCAGAGCGCTGAAATTAGTGGAAAGGCGAGCACAGGTGTCAAGGTATGGTCTCAGTCAAAAAGTTAAACGTCAAACTCTCAACTAATGGGACAAACACGGTCACCAATCGTGGATTGTCTGATAAGAAAGCGAGGCGAGGGACGCAAACTCAATTCCTTCCTTGCTGCCAGTTGACCCGCAAGATATTTCTGGGTTGTCACGTACGGCCACCTGCAGATGATCGACCTTAGTGGCATTAGAGTCGGCATCAAGAAGGTTCCGTAATGTGTAGAGCAGAGAAGTGTCACCTTTACAAGAGGAAGCAGGGTGTCGCCTATCTGCTGGCTGCTCTGCGCCACTCCGCTGGTACCAGTGATACCCTTCTTTTCCCAGGGTCCTCTGGTATTCATTCTGCGTGAGGACGAGGAAAACGATTTGTGAGATGAGCAACAGCAGAAAACAAACTTCGCGAGAGAAAGTTCTAGACCCAGCCGGGGGGACGACGTCGTGGGCGATTACGAGCATGAGGTGTTTGGCGTGGAGGGAGCAAGTCGAGACATTCAACGCGCCAAGGCACCTATTCATGAAGCTGAAGCAGGCAGTTTCTGTGGCAGTTAGAATGCGCATTCCCCATCCTATCCGTGGGAACGAGTCGATCGTGGCGGCTGGAAGCAGCAATTCTGTCGTCCGTCGTGGTTGGGAAAGAAACCATGGTGTTTTGAAGTTGTTCCAGAAGAAGGGAAGTTCGTGCCGGCCCCACCCACCCACTCACCGGTCCCTTCCTTCCCCAGAAGAGCCGCCATTCTCGGAGTATTTCCCGATGATCACCTTCTCCCCACCTCACAAGGGTTCCGTTGGTCTTTCCGAGGGAACGAGATTGGCGAACACTCACGCGATAAACCTGTCTCTGGCCTGCGTCGCACTGCGTCGCCAACTTTAGCACCTCTTGCTTTGCTTCACATTGCCTCTGAGATTTCCAAGGTCCGTTGAGAAACGGAACAGATTGTATTCCTCGTTAAAGCAGCCCCTGTCTATTTTCCCTAGCCTTGCTTTGTGTTTCTGCATTATACCTCCATAGGTTGAATCGTTTGTTTCTTTTCCCGCTTCTTTTAACAATACTGTTTTGACACCTCGAGTTCCCACGATACCCAACCCAATCACAACATCTAACCGCCCTCGCGCTTGCAACAATGAAATCCTCATCCATCATTGCTGCATTCAATGGCCTCGCAAGCGTTGCTGCGGCTGTCCCTCCCGCCTGTCTTCTTGCCGCATTGGGGCAGCAGGCCAATCCGGCCAGTGTTGAGAAACTCTGCGAAAATTTCATGTCCGCCATGCTTGGCAATCTGACCAGCGTCTGCCAAAGCAACGACCTCAAGCCTGCGTACGAAGCCTATGCATCCACCTGCTCCGAGATTGGCATTAAGGTCGCCGATTTGCCCTCGGCCTCGGACATCAGTGCTGCTCCTACCTCGACTCCAGAGCCTTCTGGTAGCACAGAACCTGACGCGACTCCGACACCAACATCCCCAACCAGCACGTGAGTTTTTTTCCTGATGGTATAAATTTGAATGATGACCACCGATACTAATGTTGCATCCTAGCGGAGACAGCTCTCAGGAGTCGAAACCCAGCGCAGCAGGCGCCATTGCGCCTCACGCTTTCCTTTTCACAGTCCTCGGCCTCTCCGCCACTGGCTTCGTCAGTGTGGTCTTCCTGTAAACGAGTTCGGCCACCCAGAATTGCGGAACGCAGCTCGTTATTTACATTTATGCACCTTTCGTGGCCAAACAGTACATGAAGTTTCAGGCACTTCACCTGGGCTCAAAATCGACAGAATCGGGATGGAACAGGACATATGGAATGCTTCGGAGTCGGAGGATAAGGGAAGTGGGACATTAGTTTGCAATTCGATGGCGTTGGGGGAACGAAACAGGATAGGCACGTCTGTCACAATGAGCAGAGACTTCTGGCCAGGGTATGGGGTTAAACCTGGTATTTGATTGAATTGGTATCTTTTCCTCCTCTTCTATGTCTTACGAACCTCTATGCAAGTCTATTTCAGAGTCACCAGCTCTTCGGCGCTGGTCGGGTGGATGGCAACACAGCTATCAAAGTCCTTCTTCGTTGCGCCCATCTTGACGGCGACACCGAAGCCCTGGAGCATCTCTCCGCTGCCAAGACCGGCAATGTGGAGACCAACAACCTTTTCTTCGGGGCCGGCGACGACGAGCTTGTAGGCGGTGGGTCCCTTCTCCTCGGGCTCCATCATGGCATAGTACATGGCGGTGAAGTTGGTCTTGTAGACCTTGATGTTGTCCTTGCCGTACTTCTCGATGGCCTGGGGCTCCGTGAGACCGATGCTGCCGACCTCGGGGTGGGAAAAGACCACGGAGGGGATGTTGGAGTAGTCAAGGTGGGCCTTGGAGTACTCGGGGCCTCCGAACAGACGTTCGGCCAAACGGCGGCCAGCGGCAATGGCCACGGGGGTCAGCTCGACCTGGCCAGTAACGTCACCAAGGGCGTAGATGTTGTCCAGGTTCGTGTTCTGGTACTGGTCGACAGGGATGTGGCCCTTCTCGTTCAGCTTCAGGCCAATTTCCTCAAGACCAATGTCTTTGGTCGCCGGCGTCCGGCCAATGGCCCAGATGAGGTGATCGAAGCCGCCCTCGGACGTCTCCTTGCCCTCGGCGTCCTTGTAGAAGATGGTGAGCTTGCCCTCGGCGTCCTTCTCGACCTTTGTGGGCTGCGAGCGCTTGTGCAGGTTGACGCCCAAGCGTTCGTACTCCTTGGTGACAGTCTCCTGGATCAAGGGGTCAAAGGTGCGCAGGAAGGTGTCGTGGCGGATGAAGAGGTGCGTCTCGGTGCCCAGGGCGTTGAACATGCCGGCGAACTCGACAGCGATGTAGCCGGCGCCGACGAGGGCGACCTTCTTGGGCTGCTGGTCGATGTCGAAGAAGCCGTCCGAGTTGGTGCCGAGCTCGGCGCCGGGGATGGTGGGCGGGATGGTGGGGTTGCCGCCGACGGCGATGAGGATCTTCTTGGCTTTCACGAGAGCCTTTGTGCCATCGTCGAGGGTAACCTCGGCCTCATTGCGCGAGGTGAGCTTGGCCCATCCGTGGAGGTACTCGACCTTGTCGTTGTTGAGGTTGCGCTCGTAGATGCCGTTGAGGCGCTTGATGTAGGCATCGCGCTTCGTCTTGAAGGTGTGCCAGTCGAAGGGGGCAGTCTCGGTGACGGAGAAGCCGTAGGACTTTGCCTGGTGGATCGTCTCGGCGATGGCGGCGGCGTTGAAGGTGACTTTCTTCGGGACACAGCTGTGGAAGGGCAAGTCAAGTTAGTCCTCGGTCTCCAAGTAGGCGGGGCTTCCGGGATCGGTTGACGTACCCTACGTTCACGCAAGTTCCTCCCAGCCGCGCGCCCTCGACGATGAGGGCCCTTGTGCCAAACTGGCCGCTGGCCTTGCGCGCCGAAGCCAGGCCGCCGCTTCCGCCGCCGATGACGAGGTAGTCGGTCTCCTTGGTGATGGGGGCCATGGTGCGCGCTGTCGAGGATAGGTGCCTTTGTATGGATGCGAGTCTTGTCGTAGGTGCTGCTGCTCGGGATGCTGCAACGGTGGATGTGCGGTAGAGGGCGGCTTGGAGGGCTTGCATGGAGTGTTGCGGTGATGTGGTGATCGCGGGGGCGGAGGGGGGAGGAGTAGTTTTCTATAGGTATGCTGGTGGGGCTAGTTGAGGTGACGTCTTATAAGCTCGAAGATGCGCAACGCCAGTGCCTGACAAATGCTAAGCTGCAGAAAAGATAGCACGACGCGGATGCGGTAAGGTGGGCTGGGCCGGGTTGGGAGCTGATGTAAGTTTTCTTTCGGAGGGGCTGTCGGCGGGCTAGGGTGCGGGTGCGGATGCGGGCGGCGCTGTCGGCGATTGGGAGTGGGTTTTCTGGGATGGGTCTCGAGTCGGCGTACGGGGGGCGACGTCGGGGACTGGTTGGGAGCTCTAATTGCAGGTCTGGAACGAGTGTCGAGTGAGTGTGTTTGTGTGTGTGCGTGGGAGTACCGCGCTTGTACAGGCGTGTTCAATTAGAAATGGACATGCACCTGGATGAATCATCACCAATCAACCATGCAAGCATGGTGCTCTGTACCCGCTAAAGAACGCTGTGGAACCGGTGATAACTAAGCACCGGGGCTCCGTGCTACGTACAGAGAGAGTGGCAGGGTACTTTGTCAGACTATCAGAGAGAGAAACAGGTTGAGAGCTCCAGCTGTCACCCAGCCATCAACCTTTTGACAAATTGACGTAAACAGGGGTGGGGATCTTGCTTCGATGCCCGCTGTGAGCGAACCGCGGTGTCTGGCCCGGCTCCACGTACGGATTCCAAATAGACAAAACCACATCACCTCGGTCGAGGCACGCACGCCGTTATGTTGCCGGCGCGGGAGCCAGCGGGCGCTTTGGCTGGTGATTAGAAGGACAACAGGGAGCTGGACAAAAGGCTGTATTCCAAATGTTTTGTTTTTCAGGACAGGGTCGTCACAACAGCCGCCAGTACATCTCGTCGAGTTAGACTTGTGAGGCGAATGCAAGCAGACGTCATCGATGCCGTCGGATCCGTATGCAGCTCTTGTCGGCATCTTGGCGCGATTCTTAATTCAGCCTTGGAAGGCTTGTCACTTGCCTCAAGCAATCACTCCGTAGAGGCGGTGCTCAACTGCGTACAGAGTAGTGTTGTCGGAATGCGCATGTGGTTCAATGCCACAGTCTATTCTGCTCTATTGCGCCGTGCGCCGTCGGTCTCTATCTGGGTATCAACAACTGACGAGAACTACTCTCGATAATGTTTTCTTCCCTCTTCAATCGTCGTAGTACCCTTCGTACCGACCGTACTCGGCCTGCGTGCTAACCCATTCCTCGTCTGCCAGACCCCGCATCATCCGCCTTTGGAGACCTTGCACGTCCTTGTGCCAATCACAGGCAAAGTCGCATTTTGGTGTCTCGCTCTCACCGAAATATTTGCAAATCTGCGCATGGCGGCAAGCGGTCGTATCTTCACAGTATAGAGCAAGTTTCTGCAGGCTCTTTGCCTGTGCCTCCCAGTTCGATCCATCACGGTTCCCCTTCCTGATCATACTCTGCACGCGCTGCAGGTCTTCCCTGCTGTAGTACAGAAAGCAAAAGCTTGCATTGCCATCTCGGCCTGCACGGCCTGCTTCTTGGTAGTATCCCTCGAACGACTTGGGTAATCGCCAGTGCACAACAAAACGGACATTGTTCTTGTCGATGCCCATGCCAAAGGCCGTGGTGGCCACAATGACATCGTAGCCGGGCTCATTGTTCACCCAGCGAGCCAGGGTCTGTTCTTTGGTCTCTTTGGTAAGCTTCGCGTGGAAGGGCCTTGCCCCCACGCCTTCGTCTCTGAGCGCCGCCGCGAGCGACTCGCACTCGTCTCGCGATATCGTGTAGATGATGCCAGACACATTGTCGAGTCGCTCCCCGGCCGCTTCCAGCTCAGCTTTGCGCGGTTCTGCTTTCCTCCTCTCGTGCACGCCACGTATCCATGCTAGAAAGTCAGCCAGGCGGTCGTCGTCTTGGTCTTTTGTGTATCTGATCTCAATATGAAGATTGGGCCGATGGGCAGTCATGACAAAGCTCTTCAGCCTGCCGGGCTGCTCCAGAAGGCCCAAAGTCTTTAGCAAGTCTTGGCGAACTGTTGGGTTCGCGGTTGCCGTCAGGCACATGATTGGCACGGTCGGGAACGTCTCTCGAAACCACGACAGCCGCTTGAAGTCTTTCCGGAAATCGTGTCCCCATTCCGAGATGCAATGGGCTTCGTCGACTGCGATGCGTGCCAACTCACACTGTTCGTAGACCAGCTTGATGCGTTTTCGAAAGGAGTCGCCCGAACACAACTCCGGTGTCACGTAGAGCAGCCTAATGCGCGGGTGGCCACTGGCAAGATCTTGGTTGATGCGATCCCTCTCGGCGGTCGGCGTATTGCTGTTCAAGGAGCTAGCGTCGATTCCTGCCGATCGCAGCGCTTCAACCTGATTCATCTGATGAAGCTGTCAGCTGCCGCGTTCGAGTAAGGCTGCATGGGCTACCCCTCACCATGAGACTGAGCAGTGGCGAAACGACAATGGTAACTGCCGCAGTGAGATCACGTTAGTTGACGAAGACGCGTGCATGCAAGCCCGGAGCAGCCCCTGACACTTACTGCCATGGTCAATGCATGCAGGGAGTTGGAAGCAAAGACTCTTGCCAAACGACGTGGCGGCCTGGACGAACACATCGTGGCCGTCGAGGGCAGCAGCGATGATTTCACGCTGCTGGGGCCTAAGAGAGACTCGTCAGTATTGTTGCGACAATTGCGGTGCATGGGGACGGCGTTGGTTGAGGGATTTGTCAGGAGTGACGAGTGGGAATATCTTCACCTGAACGTCGACTTGTTGAATTGCCGTCTGAGAGTATAGTCTACATCGACGCATGAGTTCGAGCGCGATAGAGGAGGCATGGTGACGATGCGTGTCAGGGGTTGGCGAGGACGCCGTAACAAGACAGTGCCCAGTCCCGATGCGTCGCGTTTGGCCGAGCTTCTCGAGTGCTTCTTCGTGCAGGGCTTAGGGGCATTAAGTTGCACTGGGCCGAGAGGAGGGACCGGATGTGATCATGGTCGAGCTCGGGTCCGGAGGCGATCCGCCTTACGTTGGGCCTTGAGGGCCTTGGATAGCCGGCCTGCCCGAGAGCCTCAGACTCGGGAAGCGGAGCACGCGAGGAAGGGAGAACGTCGGGGCGATTTGAGGGTTGTTGCACAGGCAAACCGGGCAGGCGGAGCGACCTGGGCTTGGGGGGATTCTGAGATATTTTGACAGATCCAGTTCGAGTGGCTGTGTAGCTTCACCTCAGAGACGAGGAGTCTGCACGGAGAGAGGCAGACCGGGTTCATGGAACGAAGCAAAGAACAGACCCACGGGCTGCAGCCTGGGCCTGACCAATGGAACGAGAGCCTGAGGTCACTAGCGGGAGGTGAGATGTAAGAAGGGCACTCGGGCACCTTCTTTGCTTTACCTTTGGTACCGTAGTAAAGTAACCAAAGGAACGTGAGGTCGGAGCCTTCCGGCTCTTTCAATTGAGGTTTTGCCGCTGCCGACGTCGAAAGTTTCCTGTTTGTGCCTGCTTTTGAGGGGGCAGGCGATGGGAGACAGGAGGCAGAAGGCTGGAGCAGGGACAGCTGTAAGAAGGAGGCGCCAAGTCCTGGACACGGAGCAAATAAGGTAGGAAGGGTCTAGGGGGGTGGTTACTTGCCGCCGTGTTGTGTGAGGCGATTCGAGGAAACGTGTTTGCAAGAGAAGAGACAAAAGAGAAACAAGTCTCCCGTCTCCAGTCTTTCTCAGCCTTTACCTATTCTGGCGAGCTTTGCAAGCGATGCCGTCGACGTTTGCGCGACCTGGACCACTCCTTCCCGCCCAGCTGGAACCGACATGTTGCAAGCCACCTAGGGAGCGTTGAAGTGGTAGACAAGGGTTCAGAGCAGCTGCTTGTCGTTTTATTCATCTTCATTCAGCGGCCTGTCGGATGCTAAGCATATACATAGTAGGCACGCACGCAAGGCAAGCAGCATCAGGGTCACGGACAGTGCATCGTGCAGCGGGTGTGCCTTGTCCAACCCCGCCAGAGGCCGTCCTGCTATTCTCGGGAGCTAGCTAGCTAGCCGCCAGCGTTGCGGTCTGACGGACGTTACCGACTCCAGGCCTGCATCGCCGTTGGATGGCATCGCGGTAGTTCGGTCCCCCGCGTCTGCGGGAAGCGGCTGTCTCTGGCACAGCTATGTTGAATGAAACTCGAAACGGAGATCCCGAAGATGCGATAAGTCCCTGGTGAGACAAGCGAATATGTGAGGGAACCGTGCCTCCGTGGATGCCGTCCATCGAGTTTTACCATTCGATTGATGTCCGTCGAGGGTCTGACAGGCCGTAGGAACACACGGCCCCAGATCTGCAAAAATTCTCCCATCTTTAACTCCATCGAGGCAAAGACACGGCAGCGCAGACCGATCAACGTAACGATGCACCCAGGGGCTGGTGACGGGGTACATGACTGCGAGGCCCCGATCGATGTACTGTGGTACCGGCGCATTCCCTCCTTCACTCCGTCATTGCTCCCTCAGGTGCCGTGAATTGATACGAACTATCCCGAGTCTGTAACGCCCTAGCAGCGAACTGGATGTGTTCGTTACCATTGACTTTGGGCTGGCCTGCCATGCCTCGCACTCAGAGTTCATCTCACCACTAAAAGTAACCGCGCAGGGTAAGCGAGCCAGGAGAAGGAAGATAGGGTGTGTGTGGGGGGAGGGAGAGCCGCGACGGATGGTGATGAACGTGAGGCAAGGCGAGGCAGAGAGAGAAGCGGAGACGATAAAGAAAAATAAAAAATATTGTAGCGTTGGCGAAACTGGAAACCGCGTGGGGAGGGGAGGTCGATTGGAATGCGACGCTGACAAGGTGGTTTTCAAACCTGTGTTTCCCAGTATGGCGCCATGTCTTTGTTTCTGTTTCTGTTTCTCGCTTCTTTTCTCTCTCGCTCTCTCCCCATTCCCTTGCCCAGCGGCCAACCCTGGCTCCCTCTCCTTAGTCGCTACTCCGTTTGATCTGTTCCGACCTCTGACTAGCGAGTGGTACGCTATCAGTTCGATACCTGTCTCTTGATCTGTAATAGCAACATCGGGTCAGACGAGCTCACCGACACCGGCAACTGTGTGCCTTGGGTCTAGCTGGCTGACTTGGGTGAGAGAGGGGGGGGGGGGAGAGAGAGGAGAGGGTGCTTTGTGGTGTGTGGTCCATGTGTAGTTTTGCGGCCACACGATGCCTTATTCCAAACGGGTTGTGTCATGTTGATGCCCAAGTTGAGCATGTCGTCATTGAAGGTTTTGGCTACAAACACAAAAGTCAGAAAAAGAATGGGAGCCGTTGAGTTCTGTCATATGCGCTGCCAGAAGCTTTGGTCACGTCTGTCATGTCGGTATTCCCTTCGACATGCAGCACTGTGCGGCGTGCGAGATCTCGCTCGATCAGGAGGTACGTACACTGTCCCTAGAGAGGGGAGACTGAGACTTTCTCCGCCGTCCACTGAGAGTCGAGAGTTTGTGGGTGAGAGCGACGGCGAGCCGCGATGCGTGTCGAGGTGCCTTGCATTCCTTGCGGCGCGCTAAAGAGGCGTTTTAGCCTCGACACTGTGTCCACGCCTCCCCCCCCTTTCTTGCGTCCCCGTCCAACCACTCCCCCGCCTTTTCCCTTTCCATTCTTTTTTCTTATTTTTTCCTTTTTCAACCGCCAGTGCCCAGTGTCCCAGGTTCCAGCCAGTCGCGTGCTCTTCCTTTCGCGTGCTCTACGAACACCTTGAGCCCGTCCTGACGAACCCAAAGTGAAGAACCACTAGCTTACTGGCAGCCTATCCAAAAGCACAAGCCGCTTCATCAGTCTCCAATTGCTAGCAGTCTGTGCAACGATCCAACTCCCCCAAGGAGGACCCCCAAACTGTGCTGTGCCGCCAGTGACGGCCGGCCACCTCTTTCTCGTCGACTTCCGTAGTCGCCAAAATAGAACAGAGACAGACATACATACATACATGCATACACACACACACAGACACGAACGCACGTCTCGTGTCATGGAGAACTTCCGAGGCTTTGAAGGCGCGTGCAATGTGCTGTCAAATGCAGTCCTGCTGCAACTCAAGGCTCAACAGTCCTACCCTTAAAAGTGCCTTGCTACCTTGATGTTTGCTGCAAGATCGGGGCCGGAATCGGGAAGAGTGTCCCACTGGTCCACCAGCGACCCCTTTTCTCGCATCCCTCCCGACTACCTAGACTGGTCGAGATCTAGTTCCCCTTCCGTTGCGTCTCTCAACTGGCTTAAATCTGGCCCCCCGCCCGAGGCGTGCGGCTCTCGACTTGCAGGGGGGTGTGCACGCAACAGCAAGACAACAGCGAGACGGCTTTGCGTCTTGCGGGCGGCCACCTCCAAAGAATCCTTATCCCTTCTTCCCAATTGCCTATCCAACACCACCACCACTGCTGCCCCTAAAAGAAGCTCTCGGGCTGGAAGATGTCAGTTTCATCGTAGCACAATTCTGACAACATCTCCACTCTTTTTTTCTTTCATTGTCCCCTTCGGATCGACGTTCCTGCCTTACCTTGTGTTCATATACTTCATGGTACTTTGTTCTGTCGCCGGTTCCATTTGGCTTCCAGTAAACATCCGCATCGGCAGGAAAAGGGAAGGAGCAACCCAGCCCAGCCCAGCCCAGCCCCTGTGTACCAAACCCGGGACCTCCTGTTTTCCTTACTCTCCCAAATACCCGACACCCCCGTCTCCGAGCCTTCGTCTGCAGACCAGCAACCCGGTGTGCATCTGAGCTCGACCGCATCTGCAGACTTAGGTTGTCTCCATATTCCCGCCCGCTTGGCTTGCTAACTGAGGTGTGACGGGGGCCAACTGCTCTTTCCCGTCTGGGAGGCTCTATCCACTCATCCATCCATCCATCCATCCATCCTTCTTCGGCCGCTCCTTCCTCCTCTTACCTACCACCAACCATCCATTACACCATCACCCGTTCCGAATCATCCACGCACTCTTCTCCAACGCATGTCCGACTCTTCATAATGACCTCGCTCGCCTTGCAGCCCAGTCTGTTTCGTTCCGAAAGTCCATTGGCTTAAATTCTCTGGCTTCCGTCTACCGATTGTTTGAGGGTCTTGGCCAACCCACGGCCGAACCACGAACGGCCAGCGGAAACCCTGAAACGCTGCATTCGACGCAACCCTTCCCCTCCGCCACGACGATCGAAAAATCGCATCTTTTCCGTCCTCCAACCCTCTCTTCGCCGGCCGGCGCCAATCCATCATGGTCGAAAGAATGGACCGACCAGATAGGCCCTCGGGGCCGTCCATGCCTCGTGGCTTGCCCGAGAATCCCGCTCAAGGTCGACGACAACTCCAGAAGGACGCCGCGCTCGGCAACATTCCTCCCCCTCCCCTCTCCCGCCGATGCCCAGAGACCTCCGAAATCTCTCTACCGGTGCGAGCCTCACTGCATCCGCGCCCATGACCTCAGCACAGGTCATCGCTCTTGCCCGCGACGCGATGCAGAGCGCCCTCCACGAGAACGAGTCGCAGGCCGCCGAGGCAAGCGCCGTGAGCACCGAATTGAAGCCCGGCGTCACCATCGACCTGAGTCGCAAGGGCATCCAGAAACTCCCCGACGAGGTTGTTGATATCATCAAGAACGAGCTAGAGCGGTCCGTATCTCTTGTGGACCTCATCCAATTGGGTAGTATTTCTAACGCGCTTTTCTAGCCTCGCCCTTTCGCACAATCAAGTCAACTCCTTCCCGACTCGCTTTTCCGAATGCACATCCCTCCGATACTTGAACGTCAGGAATAACCAGATTCGAGAGTTCCCATTGCCGGTCAGTGCCCCCACGCAGACAGTGCAACCACAGGTGAAGCATAATCTGACGTGTACTAGCTCTGCGATCTAAGGTCGCTCGAGATACTCGATCTGAGTAAGAACAAGCTGCGCGCTTTGCCCCCCGACATTGTTAAGCTCGCCTCCTTGAAGGTGTTCTCCGTCCAGAAGAACCGCATCGAGGAATTGCCAGTCGCCTTGGCCGACATGATTTCGCTGCAGGTGCTCAAGTTTGATGGCAACCCGATCACATTCCCGCCTCGTGAGGTCCTGCAGGTGCAAGCAAGCAGTCCCCCGAATGAGGGCTATTTGAAAGAAAGCGAGGTCACCGAGGTGGCCGTCACTGCACACATCAAGCGCTTCCTCAGGCAGCACACCATGAATGGGCGTGCAGAATCGGACACGGCTGGGGAAGAATCCAGCGAAGGCATGGAAACCCCTCGCATGCCTCCGATCAAGCGCGTTGTCAGCGGTCGCTTTCCCATTAAAGTCAACGGCACGGATGTTCCCGACCTTCGATCCCCGAATCTAATCCGGCCTCCCCCCATCCCAAGCCGGTCCCACTACAGAGGATTGTCGCAGCAGAACACGGCCGTTCGTCGACCTGGCGTCATGCCCCTGACCATAGGAAACGTCAACGAGCGCCTTCGAAGCAATTCAGAGACGCTTCTGCAGGCAACCCGCGGAGAGCGCCCCGAATCCCGAGCAAGACGCATGGGCGTGGTATCTCAAAAAAGTACTCAGCTCGGCACCTTGGACGAGACGCAGGCCAACAACCGCTTCAGTCATTATAGGGGCCTGAGCCATGGCTCGGCCATGCAGCCGCCGCCGGCCAGCATGTCGGTCAAGAGTCCCAACAGCCCGGCCGAGCCCTTTCTACAGCGCCCGATCTACGTTCGACGGCTCTCCGTGCTGCCTGAGCGAAGACGCGAGTCCAAGGTCTACGATCCCATCCTAGAGGCTGCTAAGGGCATCCTCTATGCCGTCTTCCAGATCCACCCCATGATTCAGATGCTCATGAGCTTGACAAGCGACGGTTCTTCAAAGAGATCCAGCCTTGAGATTGTCTTCTACAACACAAACTCGCACGTGGAGGAGCTGGAGCAGGAAATCCAGAAGCATGACCCTGGCGCTGAAGGAGACGAGATGGCTGGCCGTGAGAACGAAAACGTTCACCGAGCCTGCCAGACTCTGGTCGGCGCCTACACCCACGTCTGCACGTTGCTGGCCGGCAACATCGATTCCTTCATCGACAACGGAGACCCGCGCTACATCCGCACCCTGTTGATGCTCATTTATAATAGCATTATGGAGATCAGGTGCACTCTTGCTGCGATGTCACCTGACGCCGGCCTTGCGAAACCCACCCCACGAGCTATGACTTTGGGCGACACGATCAAGCCTCACTCGCGGGAGAACTCCATTACGCCTACCGCTGAGCGGCTTGGACTGGCCCAGCGACCCCGGCCCGGCCCCATTCTTCACAACCCGAGTAACCTGAGAGTGGCGACGGACGTACCCCTCCCATACATGAATGGGATCAACGGGATGAATGGTGTTGCTGCTAGTCGCACAGCGACACTCACCTCGGCAACACCTCGGTCCGGAGAGTCTTTCGTCTCTGCTTCTTCTGGCGGACGTGGCATATCCGACTTCACAGAGGATGACAGATATTTCGAGAAGATCTTTCTGGCACTTCAGCGATCGTCTGAGCTCGTCATGAGGACTTTGCCCATGTTCCAGAACCACATGTCGGTCCTCGCGAAGAAGGCCATGGGACGTCGCGCTCCGGATCACGAAATGATGTGCTGGAAGGGACTTATTTCCAAGTGCAGCACCGCGGTACAGCAGACTGAGATGCTCCGCAGCCGCCTTTCGTTGGTCAAGCTCAAGGAGCCTGGTATTATGAGTCAACCGGCCTTCAGGAGTTTGATCAGCAACTTCATCGACTCGTGGGCGGAGTTTGGGAACCAGATCCGCTCTGCGTTCAACGAAGTCAGTCTTCCGCCGGATACCAGGGTCAGGCTTCGTCCTATCCAGCAGGCCATGAAGGAAGCAAGAGACACCATTCTCCAGTCGCCGTGGAGCTATCTCTTGCGACAATCATCGAACCCCAACACCTTCAGCCCCAATGGCGGCCCGGGCTTAGCACCCATCCAACTGCCGATGACACCCCAAAGCGCGGCTCTGGGACCTGCCGTCCAGGCGACAGTCCCATCCACTCCCCAGAGCGCTTCCTTCGCGGCGGCGTTCAACGGCAACGTCTTCGAACGGGCCGATGCCCTTATTAACATGGGCGGGCTCTCAATGTCTCGGAATGGTACAATGACAAACAGCTCGGCCGCTAGTTTCACCATGTCTTCAATGTCATCGTTCTCATCCGACGGAGGGGCTATGACACCCTCATCAGTCATAAGCCCCAACGGCTTTGGCCCTGGCCCGGTACCACTGCGACTCAATGGTAGCAAAGTTGCCTTCTAGTCGAAGCACAGAGCTACCCCTTGGATTCGACGCACATTTTTGGGCAAAAAGTATGGGGCGAAGTAAGCCCCTTTTGTGTTTTGCTTTATTTTATCGATGGTCTACGGGACCAGTATACGCATTTTGTCGAGTATATTATTCCTTCATTCGCGCATAGCATTGGCGTCAAGGTCGGACTTATCTAGGGATTGAAACCATACACTCATTGAAGAAGCAGGTTCCTGGCTGGGCAGAAGGGTTGGGGAACGCACGTAATGTCATAGTTACGAAGCCAAGCTGATGCTATTTCCATGCATACGGGACATGGGAAAACGGGTTAGTGGAACAGCCACTACGAGATGATGTGCCATGGTTACACATCAACTATCGCTGTCGACTGTATACTAGAACTTTGCCTACGGGCAACGGGCAACGGGCAAATATAACGAACAGTATGATGTTCTATTCCTTTGTTCTTTTTGATCATGTGTGGTGAAGGCATGTGGATTGGATACATCCCAGGCGACTTGTCGCGATTCCAACAGGTTAGGATGCGGCAAACCCCTGCGTCCAGCCCTTACAACCATCCTCACCCACTAAATAACTCGGGGTTTCGCCTGCTCTTTGCCGGTAAACTAGTAGATGTAATCCAGGTCGGGTTGCGAAAAGCCATTGAGAGAAAGAATGTGTCACGTTTTCGAAGTAAACAGACACGATGGTAAGCTGAAGCTCGTTCAACTGTCGCCTACCGTACCTTGCTTACTACTCTAGACATAAGTACGTGTTACTCTTGATCTTCTAAAACCCGAACATATGCCCTTAGTTTTGTTGTGGTGTGATGAGGTCAAACATATGATGCCTTGTCATATGTGATTGAAGACCGGGCTATGTAGCAGTCAATATGCCGCCGAAGTATCATTTTTATTACCGTTGCATCTGCTTGGGAGCCGAGATATGTCCCGTTGGCCCAATTATCTCCCATGGCTGTTTTGCTACCAAGTATTTCCCAAATTTTGCACGAGACAAAGGATCCGAGTATTCGGGGGGGTTTCACTAGGTGAGATCCACACCATTGTGGTTCGCTGGGTCGAAAGATCGCTGATGTGACATTTTAGATTCTTCAAAATTGGCTTAGCTCCAAGCACCTCTGGTCGTAACTCGCGTTAAAACCGACATCACTCGTGTATGAGCGAGCCCTGACCTAGAAGCGGCCCCCCGGAGCGAGCTGGGAACGAATACGCGGCATATGAGCAGGAGCCCAGTTACAGCTAGTCCGGGTATTGGAATGGGTTCAGTCGATGCTAAGCCACCCAGAGTGCTGCCGTCAACCGCCAGTCTAACGATTGCTTGCCCATTCTACTAGAGAGCCTTGTGCGCCTTGCATGGCATGAAGGGGCTGTGTTTTGCATCGTATTCTCAGGCAAACCCCTATCTCATGGGCCGAATGGGATTTCTCGAAATTTGAAGCATTCAAAAACCCAACAGGAGCCCGCCATGAGCTGCTGTGATCTCTAGAAATCATACCTTGACTTCAGCTCTCATTCTTTCTCTTCTTGCCGGTCCCTTCCTTTCCATTTCCTTGCACTTCTCGCTGATAATTTGACTTACGAATCACAAGGCGTCGGTATTAGTTACGCCTAAGAAGCCTTCTACGCCTGCACTTGATCCGCGCTTTTTAGTCGGATCTCATACTTGATCGAAACTCTCCAGGACGCTGCCAACTTGTTACTCAACTGACATTATGGACCTGGCCCGTCGCAATGCCACAGAAGCCGACCCGGCGGCCCAGAACCCATTCAAACTCTATCATTACGACCCCACGATTGCAGGTGCCGTCATTTTTGTATTCCTATTTCTGGGAACCACAGTCTTTCACTTCTGGCAACTGGTACGAGCTAAATGTTGGTTCCTACTCCCTATGGCCATTGGTGGTATAAGTGAGTTGTGTCACCCCAGTGATCGGTAGCAGGCCGCACCTGTTCCGGCCGTTCCGACCATAGTCCACTATCGAGCAGAGCTGACCGTGTTTTCGGCGGCAGTGCAGGTGATTGGGTATGCGGCGCGTGCCAAATCTGGCAACGAAAGCCCCGACTGGACCCTAGGTCCGTACATTATACAATCGATCCTGCTGCTTGTGGCTCCGGCCCTGTACGCTGCCACGATTTACATGGAACTCGGCAGGATCATCACTGTCATTGATGGGGAAGGACACGCCTTGATCCGGAAAGAGTGGATGACCAAAGTTTTCGTCACGGGCGATGTCCTGTCATTTTTGCTTCAGGGAGGGGGTAAGTCTTGCATTATTATCAATAATAGTTGGAGGTCGTTTGGCATTTGTCTCGGCACACAGCCCTCTGCATATTTCATGTCCCAAAGCTAATTTTCGTTCAATAGGGGGCGGTTACCAATCGTCCGGATCCCTCGAGGCCCTGGACACCGGGGCTAAGATCATTATTGTTGGCCTCTTTGTACAGCTCATCTTCTTTGGGTTCTTCATCATCATCGCCGCGGCGTTTCATCGATCTGTCAATGCCGCACCTACTGGTCGATCCAACACCAGCATTCCCTGGCGTAAACACATGAAGACTCTGTACCTCGGAAGTTTCCTGATCATGGTCCGGTCAATCTTCCGTGCCGTCGAGTACCTCCAAGGCTTTGACGGTTACATCCTCAGACACGAGGCATACCTCTACATCTTTGATGCGTTACTCATGTTTCTTGTCATGGTATTGTTCAACCTCGTCCACCCATCTGAGATTGTCGCCATTCTTGCTGGAGGTGGCTACGTTCATGAATGGAAGATGGACACTCTGCCTCAACATCGTCATCAGCGGTTGGGATGAACAGTCTGAGATGCTCAACAGCGTCAGACGTCCTCTATTAGGGCGGCTGAGCGCTTTCGAAAATAGACCCATACCACAGAGCAAAGACAACGCTTTCAAGCTAATCGTGGTTGAATTGTGATCATAAAGAGTAGAAGAGCTCATAACAGCTCTTTCATACACCTTTTATCGGGATTCCATCACGTTGAGCTGTAATATATCTAGTCAGAAATATCAACTGATTCCAACAACTTGAAGCGGCCAAACCAGCCACGGCCTCCAGTAACTACCAAGCAACTCATCAATAACTTCGACAATATCCTTGCCCCAGCCTTGCAAAAACCAGTGATGATTCAATCCATGCAGTAGTACACCAAAATAGGCAAATAGAACTAGAGCCTGGGGTTGCCTTTGATGCAGCAGAGTGAAGTATCGCTGTGGTGCAAAGTGGATGAAAGCAAGCGGTCCTGCCCAGCCCCTATTACAGTTCCATTCCTGTAGAGTTCGAGAGTCCATTGAATCGAACTGCAGAATAAACATGCGGCATTTCCTCAGAATCCGGAGCGCCTCTTCGTAGACTTCGGTGTCGCCGCTGTTGCTCCACGTTTCTCGGGCGCGGCAGAGCTGAATATCCATTTCCTCTGGGGCGGCATGGTCGGGATCCAAATCGGACCAGTTTCCAAGGTCCATGATCCGGGCCATTCGGCCATTTTGTAGGTGCCCGTAGGTCGGACCAAGAACGGCGTCGACCCCGCGAATCATCGGAATCCATTCAGTACCCAAAACGCGGTCCTTCCGAAGACGAGGCGAGCTACTCTCGACGCTGTCGGCGAGCTGCTTTGTAATGCCAAACACGTAAAGGACGTTGACAAGCGACCACGCGAGTAGCGCCTCACTGTTTTCGACGCTGACGTGGCGGACGACCTCATGAAACCCCTTGAGAGCTTCCTCGTGGTGGCGGGTTGCCTCCAGGACATACCGGCTGTTTTTCGAGCCTTCGATAAACGCGAGGTGGAGTGCAGCCAGACTCAGAATAGCATGGGCCACGAAGGGGTATTCGAAGCCGATCTGGGGGAAAACGACCTGCCACAAAGAGTCGAGCTCAGGAGTCTTGTAAATATCGACACTCGTGCACACGGTCCAATGGTGCAGCAATGCCAAATCTTTGATGCTGAAATTGAACGCAGCGGCGTTAAGTGGCTCCGATGCATCAGAATCCCTCCCAATGGTCGCGGTTACTGTAGCCGGAGTTCCTGTAGCCGGGGTTCCTGTGGCGCTTTGCCCCCAAAGATCGTAGCTCGCGCGGGCTCCAGGGGTGGATTGCGGACGTGGCGAGCATGCAACCTGGTCCACGGGCGCGTCAACTGCTTCATCGTTGACGGCCTGTGGCTCCCCGGGATATTCGCATGGAATCTCGCGCCGGATGCAGGATCTGCATCTCGGTCTCTCTTCGCTGCACTATGGAGATCGGTCAGATCAGTTTGCATGGGGAACAGATGGCGGGCGAGGGTGGCACCTTGACTCGGCGTTTCCGGCAGTCGAGGCACCCGGTCCTTGACTTCTGGTGTGGCCTACGTCGCTTTACTGGATTGCGTCTCTCGGTATCGTCCGAGAAAGACATGGGTGACAGTCACATAGCTCGTTCAGGTGTTGAACGAGGAGGATGTGAATAAGGAACGAAAGTCTGGAACGGGGTAAACCAAAGAAGTGAGACGTACAAGACGAAAAGCGAAGAACGAAGAACGAGGAGCGAGGAGTTGAGGCGGATGGGTGGGTGGGTGGGGCTATGCAACATCTGTGCGAGTCGAGCTTCGGTGCCGCAATTAGTGTAACTAACCAGTGACTAGGTTGGACAATGTCTGTGCAGCCCAATGATAGCAGGCTTACGTGCACGGCGTTTTGTGCGAGCTCCCATCCATGTCTGATAGGTATCATAGATACCAGGATCGTACACATGCTCATAGTGAATCAAGGTGTTCCAGATATGTGAAGTGAACCAACAACTGAAGAAATTATTCTATCTATGAATCTATAACTAATCTACCAAACGACATATCGTCTCGGATGGCGTAAGGCTGTCTCACTTACGCGCCTCTTCCAGTATGAAATCGTTCGATCCTGATGTATCGCGGTCTTCCACCGACTTTCTCTGCCTTTTATCCTCAAGCTGTTCGACATACCAAACCAGGAAGATGGCCATAACGACGGCCATTAGAAGAGTGTCGAACATGTAAAGGAATATCTCGTGAGAAATGAGATAACCGCCATTTCCCTGTAGATACTCGACGACTCGGAAGATGCTTCGGACCAGAATGATGGCGCTCGTGATATAAAGTACGACAAGATACCGCTTCCAGGGCGTGCTTCCATTGGCGGTGTTTGTTGGGGTCTTCGCGAGGCGGTAGTGGAAGAGAAGAGAGGTGAGGACGAAGAATCCAAAAACCACTATCTGGACAAAAAGCCCTGCTATAATGATTTTCTCACCCGCTTCGTATAGTTCCAGCGTACCCGCAGCTTGTATGCCCCCGCCTCCCGCCTGGAGCGAGAACGCAACCACATCCCCAGTGACGAAGATGCGTGTCACCCAGTTCACCGGAATCAATGAAAGATGCTCGCCTCTAACCGTTCGAATGAGACGGCCCAGTATCATGTAAATCGAAGCGGCGTATAGGGCTGGAGCGACGAGAATCAGGATAGCTTGTATTACAAACCCGCCAATCGAAAGCTTATCGTAATGACTCCAGATTCTACCGCAGTAACCTATCGTTTGGACTGCGCATCTTTGGTTAGCTTCAACGTAGTCTTTAATACCTCCATACTACACATCTGCATGATCAAAGGCCGTCAACTTCATTTGGGATCAAGAGTGACTTACATAAACCACCAATCGTGAAGGCGGTGAAGTAGAAGGCTCGTGCTTTGTACAGCCGCCATGTGTGAAGAAATGTGAGGATGGCGAAGACAACGACGCTGACAATCGCTGCAGGTAGTGACGGAGTATACCGGTAGAGTTTGAAGTCGAAGCCAGCACCGGGACCTTGGGACGTTTGGGTTTCCGTTGCCATATTGGCCGTCGACGAAAACTTGCAAAAAGAGTCGGAAATAAGTTGGCAAAATGAAACAGAATAGAGCTAGGTTGCAAAGATGAAGGGTTAGAGAGAGAGAAGCTCGCACCGCGTTGCTTGAGGGGGGCCGCAGGGGCTTAACATTTCCTACCTGCCGTACTCTTTGTTTTCTACACCATGGCTGGGCGCATTCTGCTGCTGTTCATTGTGGAGTGTACTCCGTACTGGCAATGTCACCCTTAGCCTGCAGCTAACGGGAACGAGAGTGGTTGAGTTGCATAGCCATTGCGATATCCTTCTCAGAAAGGTAACCAGCGAATCAAAACGCCCATATCAAATGAGCAAGCTGACGCTCACTGCCTCCCAGATCGATGTCCCCATAATTATTACGCCGAGTTTGAGCGCGGTAAACGAGATACGAGACACAAGGTGATGGGATAAACGAAGAACGAGAAGCGGCCCAATGTTATGAACTAGGGCCTTGCTAGCGTCAAAAGATCACCAGCCTCATAACACACTTAATTAATTACGTACCAGGTGTAGCGTAGCATCGATTGTCAAATATCATCTCTCAATCCCTTTTTCCTGCATGAGACCGCTGCCAGAGAGGGTCATCCACTGTACGTCTATCTTCCGATGCCCATAGTTAGCCGCATTTGATGAACGATCGTTTGAGCTCCTCGTCAATCTCGCAGGTCGCCCGAGTGTTCCCCAGCGCCTGGAAGCTGCTTTACCCAACCCAAATCGGTGTCGCAATCACTGATCGAGACTGGAAGGAACGGGAAGCACTTGACGTTGGGTTAGCCTCGAGCTGAATTAGTGGATATCAGTTTGGCATCTATACTTGCATCTCGCATGTCGAATGAACGTGTACGAGCTGTATGTTTGCTATAATTCGTTCAAGGGCCAACGTCGCCAGTCAATGAGAGCGAACTCCGTCTTGATACTCCCAAAAGCTACGTACATTGGCCTTGGTTTTGGAGATCTGTTCATGACACATGAGGGAAAACCCAGCCTATTTCAGTTGCCGGACCGTATATCCACATCTTGTGATCCTCGTCTAGGCTGTAATAGACACTCGACATGATATGATATGCCCAACCATGCAGCCACCATTGCGTTTCGCATCTGTAAAACACAACGGCGAAGTGGGCCAATAGGACTAAGGCTTCCTGTTCCCTCGACTCCAGTAGCGGTATGAAGTCCTCCAAAGACCTATACATCCATATCAAGGCGTCTGCGCCTTCCCAGACGTACATACACTTGTAGGCGTCATGGAGCCTCTCGATAATCTTGTGGTAAGCAGCCAACGTATCGATCGCCAAGCTCTGACTGCTAAGGAGAGCTCGAAGGTGGTCGAGAGGTTCTCTGTCCCCTAGGTATCCGAGCTCGGGTTGATCAAGGTGCTCTTGAAACTCCCATCTTTTTCTGCCATAGCTGAGGAGAGGTGCTAGTGGACTCTTTGAAACATTGTTCCACAACTTGTCAAGAAGGGCTTTCATCCCTTGTAAAATGCCAATCAAGTCATACAAAGTCGCGTCATCGTCAGCAATGGTACCTCTTGAAGATCGCTGTGGAATCCCTAAAACTTCACAGAGTTAGGCATGATAATTAGCACGCAGAAGGGGTCGGTACAGTACAAACCAATGCAAACACTCAATGCAGAGAAGAGAAACAACGGAGCGCCATCATTTTCAGAAACGCCGTGGAGTTTGTCTCTCGCGGTCTCCGAGGCAATGCGATAATACTCGAGAGCGATGGAAGTATACATGCCCCTTCGTTCAGGGCGTAATTCGGCGAGATGTAGAGCCGGAATGGCAAGGAGGGCCTTCATTATATATTCGTCTTTTAGGGCGAGACTCGGCACCGAAACTCTCCAGAAATCTCCAAGAACCGGCGACCACGGTAGTGATGCCCACGTAAACGTAGCGTATGTGTGGAGAAGCTCAAGTTGTAGGAGGTTGGGTTTGGTCTCGCTATCGGCGAGCACAGAAGCAGACGGCCCCCGCTGCAGGCGCAGGACATTGACTTCGCCATTGTGATAAGGTGATGATTGCTTGTTGGGAATCATGTAATGGCATTGGAGCTGTAGTCTATCACACCGTGCACATGATGGTCGTAATTCGTCGCACTAGTGGCTCTGGTTAATTCATTGCGTAAAGGAGAACCTCAGATATGTGCTAACCTTGACTCTCTTGTGTTTACAGGTCTGGCAACCGGTTCGCGACTTTTTGTGAGCTATTCTCTTTCCTCTGTCTGGATTCTGCTTTCCTTCAGACTGCGATAGGCTCGCAGGAGTCGACGTGGTCGAATAACCTGAGTCGTCTGGAATCGTGAGCTGGTTGGTTTCCTCTGCCATTTTGTCCGCCGTCTAGGCACAACACTCTGACTGGACGCATTTTTAGCCGAGAAGATGATGCGAATGCTCGTTCTCACCTTTTATTATAGACGACTAGGGGCTAGCTTACCCCTCGTTCAGCATTCTACCGTGTCATAGGTAGGCTTAGTAGACGCCGCAGTTGTGAACGATGGGTGCTCTAGTCTGCCTCACTAGGCTATGACGGAGGCTTGGTTAAAGTGGACCTGATCATTCTATTTTAGGTGTAATACTCCGAGTCGACTCGCAGCCGAGGACCGAGATACGAGCCTTGGACAGCATAGCTCGTTATTGGTGATTAACGAGGTACGAGCCTCTAGAAATCCACGATCCAGCTTGTCGACTTAAAGGGAGACCCATGCAGCAATCGTTCCCGAATGCTGCTTCTAGTCATGTAAACGCAATAGTTACTACCCACTTTACTAGGTTGATTGCTAAAGTGTTAGATTACCTGGAAGAGTCCGACGGATTTTATAATCGGATCTGCTCCAGAGCCAGCCGGGAAAAAAGTCGTAATATTCTTGGATTGACTTTTTATTGCGCACTGTCGAATTGCTCATATCGTAGCTGTTTATGCCTTGGGCTTCGAAAACAACAATCGGCTTCGATCGGTTTTCTTCCCTTGCCTTGCTTTCGAATTAGGCTTCACCACGTTGCCTGTCCTGACAAGAAGTATCAAGCTCAGAACTCCTGTGCAGCTTGCTTGTGCCCCAAAACCCAAGTCAAGAGCCCGCCATATACCGATCGCCAGCATGGATGAGAATCGACGAACAACCAATCATGAACTCATTGGAGACAACCAAGCTGATCCCCCACCAATTTCCTCCAACGCTGCAGGAAAAGCCACCAGCATGGGCAACCTCTTGGGGGAGGGTGTCCACATGCGTGGTAAGTGCTATATAATTCGGTTTTAAATTCAAGCAGACGTCAGCAGGAAGGTAGAAAGTAGCTGACATTGTGTTTTGTGGTTCAAAAGAGAACGATGGCCGAGTCGATATCGATTGCGACTCAAAGCTGGCGCGAACTATCAGCTTGATCTACCGAGCGAAACTAGGAGCAGAACAAGAGTGTGCATCCAGGTCGCCATCGCCTGATTCGTCCTTACCGCTGTATGAGAAGGTTCAAGGCGGAGCGAATGGCACGATCTATCACCAGGACCCGATCAGACTCAATGTTCTAATACAAGTTGTGGGTAGTCGGGGAGACGTTCAACCTTTTGTCGCTTTGGGTGCCGAACTCAAGCGACGCGGTCATCGTGTCCGACTAGCTACACACAACGTCTTTGATAAGTTCGTCAGGGATGCTGGCTTGGAACACTACCCAGTGGGCGGTGATCCTGCGGCCCTGATGGCCTATATGGTCAAGAACCCAGGTCTCATTCCTAGCCTGAAGAGCCTCCAAGCCGGCGAGATCGGGCAAAAGCGCGAGATGGTTGGAGAGATGCTTGAAGGCTTTTGGGAAGCATGCATACGACCAGACACTGTCACAGGTCTGCCATTCGTAGCAGACGCAATCATCTCCAACCCTCCCAGTTTCGCCCACATCCACTGCGCCCAGGCGCTTGGTATTCCTGTCCATATCATGTTCACCATGCCCTGGACAAGCACAACGGCATTCCCTCACCCGCTAGCCAATCTGAAGAACGTTGGAGGCGACCGATCTTTAGCGAATTATATTTCTTATGGGGTAGTCGACCACTTGACCTGGCAAGGGTATATACTCTCCCTTATTCCTTTGCAACGGTTCATCTGCCGTTCAATTGCTTACTACATTTTGTAGACTTGGTGATGTGATAAACAAATGGCGCAAAACTCTGGACTTGGAGCCTGTGGCCATGTTTGATGGACCCATGCTGGCAGAATCAATGAAGATCCCATTCACATATTGCTGGTCTCCAGCTCTCGTTCCCAAACCTGGGGACTGGGGCTCACACATTGGTGAGGGCCCTCAGACAAACATACCTAAACACTGGGACGATTCTTGCAAGAATATGTCCATCTGCTAACACTGGTTCTGGCAGACGTTTGTGGTTTTTTCTTTCGCGACATGCCTCAGTACTCCCCGCCCGAAGACTTGGTCCAATTCCTTGCGGCAGGCCCTCCGCCAGTTTACATCGGATTTGGAAGTATTGTGCTGGACAACCCCGAGTGCATGGTCAACACCATACTGAGCGCAGTCACTATGGCAGGGGTGCGAGCCATTATCTCCAAAGGCTGGTCAGACTTGGCTGGTTCGCAAAGCGATTCTATCTACTGGATCGGCGATTGCCCCCATGAATGGCTGTTTCAACATGTAGCGGCTGTGGTGCACCATGGAGGCGCTGGTACGACGGCTTGCGGGTTGAGGAATGGCAAACCGACAACTATAGTTCCTTTCTTCGGAGAGTAAGTCTGTCTTCTGTTAGTACATGGTGTAATAACCTTGTAAGAGAGGTAACTCGTGCTAACGATTACACCACTTCTCAGCCAACCATTCTGGGGTGACATGGTCGCCAACGCTGGCGCTGGCCCCAGACCTATTCATCATAAAGAGCTCAACCCCAATAACCTTAGTGCTGCTATCAGTTATTGCCACTCGCCCGAAGCTGTGTCAGCAGCACAAGCTATAGCGACGCAAATGGCCGCTGAAAAGGGTGTACAAAACGCTGTGGATTCATGGTGGAAGCAGCTGCCCCGAAAACGCATGCAATGCGACCTTCTACCCAGTCAGCCCGCAGCGTGGAATTACACGAAGTTCAAGACGCCTGTTAAACTGTCAAAGATGGCTGCTGAAGTTCTTCTGTCTCATGATGTACTGCAACTGAAACAGCTTTCCATGTTGGTTACCCTTTCTTCCCACCCCATGGCATTCTGTCAAGGAGCCAAATGGTTTCAAGCGGCTGACTCTTCGTTTTGTATAGCTATCAGAGCAAACCCATCAACATCGATGCTACGCGGTGGGATCCTGTCTCTGGAGGAGCGTCTGCTGTCATGTCGACAGCAGTAGATTTAACGCAGTCTATAACGGGTATGGTAACGAAACCTGTTGAAGAGTACCGTAACGAGACCCAACGACGAGCCCGTGAATTGGAGAAGGAGCAGCAGCTAGAACGCGACAGTTCTGACCTTAAGCAAGATGCCTCCTTTGACGACCGCGGCTCGGTCGCATCCATGAGCAGCGGAAAAAGCAAGGGGAAACAAAGGTCAATGGCAGGTAAAGTTGCCGGCGCATCAGCAAAAAGCATTGGTCGCTTTGCACCGATAGCGACCAAAGGCATGCTGGTAGATATCCCTCTCGCCATAACAGAAGGAATGAGGACGGTTCCGAAGCACTTTGGCACAGATGTCCGTGACCACGGCCTAGTCACTGATGCTAAGAGCGGCGCCGTCGTGGCAGGGAAAACCTTTGCGTGGGGCTTCGTGGACGGGATCAGCGACTTTGTAATGGAGCCCGTTAGAGGAGGCAAGAAGGAGGGTGCTTTCGGTGCCGTCAAGGGGATTGGCAAAGGTGCTGCAAGCTTGGTGACAAAAAGCGGCGCGGGCATGTTTGGATTACTCGCATATCCAAGCGCTGGCATTGCTAAGAGCTTAAGGTCAGCGGTACACAGTGACACGAGGAAGACGGTTGCTAAGGAGAAGCATGCGGAAGGACAATGGCTGGTCAATAGCGACGCTATATGCAGAGTAAAGGCGGAGGACATCCTCGCCTCCTTCAACCGTTGTGTAACAGAGGTTACACAGAAGGCCAAGCCAAATAGAGGTTAGGTATAGATACGTAAACCAGCATCAATAAGTTCAACCCATAGTAACTCATGTGGCATCGCTACTGATCATTAACTCAAATAGATTGCGAATCACCTGTGGCTGTAAAGGGTGCGCTGTGATCTAAAATGCTTGTGAGAAACCCGTAGCCAGAACCGTGTGATGATCCAGGTGTTTTGCCAGGTGACCTCTTTGGTTTGATGTATCTCCCAGGCCGGCAATCACCTGGGTCGAGTGTTTAGACGCAGGATTCACTCGGACAGCGTGTTGATAGGCCTCCAATCAAAATACTCGCAAGCGGTTCTAGAACAAAAATGTAAAGAGCTGAAGGTCTGGAGTAGTAATTGTGTTGACGACGACCAGTGGATGCCCGGCTTTGTCTTATCTTCGAGCTTTAGCACTCTATAGAGTCCATGGGGTCGGGTGGTTAGCAGCACCCCATGCACAAGGATAAGAACACATCAAAACCCCCACTATCGGCACTGACACTGGGACATCTTGGTCATTGCGTTGAAGACTATTCTCATGCTGGCCAGGATCCAGAGAATGTCATGGCTAGCTAAGCGGACTGGAACCCTAATCGAGTAACCCATGATCCCACATCCCCCCAGGTACCTTAAGAAGGAGGCGCAGGAGGCGCCTCGACCTTGATAAAAAGATCGCGCTGCGTATCGAGATAATCAAACGCCGTGAGCGGTACGCCCAAATGGCGGAGGATGCAATAAGCGGAGCTAAGGTGGAAGTGGAAGTTGGGGCAGGCATACTGAACGACGTAAGAGTAGCCCGTAAAGCGGAAGGTGCCGGTAGACTTGGTTTCCATGAGAACTTCGGCATCTTCTTTACCCTCCATCGAAGAGGGGTCAATCTCAGAGAGGATGGAGATGGTGGCGTCTACGCGAGATTGGAGCTGCGGGAAGGTGGTCTCGTCGTCGGGGAAGTAGGTGTCCGGGTGCAGAGCGAGGCGAGTGGCGAGAAATTTTGCTGTATTGGATACAGATTGGACTTGGTAGTCGAGGCTTTGTGGTGTTAGATGGGGTATACTTTGTAAAGAAAACTTGACGTTGGATCGGTAGGGGAGGGGGTAAGGGGTTAGAGGCAGACCTTCGCATGTCTTCGATGAGTCTGAATTTGATCATCTCTTCTGGATTGAGGTTCTTGGTGACGCAATGTTGCTCGGCCTTTGCAAGAACGACTTTGAGATTACCCAAATACTTGATCATCATGGGGATGGAAGCATGGTAGAGGGAGACCATTATGACGGTGTTGTTGATAGATGCTGACTTCCAATATGGGCTTTTTTTTAAATACAAATTTGAGATACTGTGAAAGGGATTCAATTGTGAACAGCCATGGAATACATGAAGAACAGCTTCTTTTAAGCTAGTCCCTGGCTGCATGTTTTCAATCAATATCATCTCTGTTTCTCACGTAAGGCTCCTTCGAAACAACCCACTCTGGCCGCTAGCCGCTAGACCTATTGCGCCCTCCATGGCAGTATCCAGGGCAATGACCTCAAGCGCTGACGTGAGAAAAGCTTGGAAAAGACTTAGTCTTGAAATGCATACATGAGCAACGCTATCGTTGCTAGTGGGGCTCAAAGTCCGATCCTGCCATCTACCGGTAGCCTGGCGGGGTGAGAAGACGCCATAGAGACGGCAGCGGATGATCAACACCTGGAATCTGGCCCCACTACCCCGCCGTTTCTAGGTATGCGGGGAGGATGCGCCGTCCCCGTCGCACTCTCTGATTCGCAGTCACCACGACCTAGCCGGTCAAGACAGGACTATGATCACGTTAGATCGCATATCATGATCCGTCCTACCAGCCACCGTAGTAAAAAACCGCTTGCCGTCAACCCTCGTCCCATTCAAATCGCCCTCGACGGTTCCACGCACCCTTTAAAGAAGCCACCGGCATCATGTTCGCTGGGCAGTCCTCATCCTCATCAGCGGGAAGGAATCCCCCGCCCGCGCCGTCGTCGAGCACAGCCACAACGACGACTTCCGCGTCCCAGCATCTCAGCGCCTCGAGCGCGGCGCGCGGGCAGCACTCCCAGTCCTCCAACACATCCATCTCCGGGCTGCCGCAGGCCCAAGACATCGCGCATCATGCCCCAACTGCTCTCCCATCTTCGGCCTCACCACATCAACTGCACCAAACCCTCCCCGGCGAGGATCAAGAGCGCCACGTCTCAGAGGCGCGTGCGGCCGTCGTCGCCTCCATCGGGAACATGCTTGACGGCGAGCTGCAAACGCGCGCTCGCATGCTGCACTCCAACGCCGCGGCTCTGGACAAGCAGGAGCGGGACGTGGTCAACGCGACGGACGCGCTGCGCAAGGAAAATGATAAGCTGGCGCGGTTCGCGGGGGACGCGGCGCGTCGAGTCAAGGAGCTGGGTAACGTGCAGAACTGGGCCGAGGTGCTCGAGAGGGATTTCCTGGTGCTCGAGGAGACATTTCGGTTGGTAAGAGAGGGCAGCTGCGGGAGCGATTGTAAGAGCTGTGGGAGCGGAAGTTGGAGTGGAAGTGGGAGCTGGAGCGGGAGCGAGGCTGGCGATGGGGAAGGCGATGCAAGGATGGGAGACGACGGTGGAAAGGGGCTGGATAAGGGGAAGATGAAGCTAGGTCCGCATGGGCTTGATGCCGAGGCGATGGAGGTTGATGGTGGTCATGAGGACTGCTCGGAAAGCCAGAGTTTGACCGAGGCCGAGTCGAGTAACGGCACGGAGGGGCAGGCGAAGGGGTCCGAGACGACGTCGATTTCGACCTTGTGATTCACAAACAGCTGGGACGGACACATGATACCTCTTTAACGACTGGACGATGGTTACGACACTTCACGACTTGGTTTGGACTTGCGCAGCGATATGCGTTTTGATGATGATTGGAACTTTGATCCTCCTCCTTTAACGCCTTTCCGCAGTAGAAACCTCTATATTCTTTGATGATACAGTTTCCATGACCCTTATTCACCATGGTGTCCCTCGTGAGCGTCGGGGAATCCAAAGAAACGGTGCTGAGTGCGAACCGGTTGAGCTCAGTCCAAAACGAGTGCAAGCTCCAGTTGACGCAGCGCGCCCATCAGTAGATGCCGGGCAGCAAGACAAACTTCTTCTTCTTGTACGTCTCGGGGAACTCCTTGCGGTAGGCGCGCTCCTTGCCCTTGGCCCACTGAGCCATCTGGGCAGCGCCGATAGCGATGAAGACGGCAACGGCCCAACTGCGGCTCGTGATTATAACACCAATCCACGAGAGGATCTCGAACATGTAGTTGGGGCAGGTAACAAGGGAAAAGCCGTAGCCACGGGGGATCTGGCGTTCGGTGCCGCCGCGGGAGCGCAGGCTGGCGAGGTTGAGGTGGACGATGGCATTGGAGGCCTCACCGAAGAGGAAGATGATGGTGCCGAGAACGTCAACGGCGTCGTTACGGGCAAGGGCCGTAGGCGAGCTGGGAGAGTAGACGTGCCAGGCGCTGAGGAGGCCGGCGAAGGCCCAGTAGAAAAAGGAGTTTTTGAAGATGTTACGCAGGGGCATTGTGTTGGCCGAGAACTTATGTACGAAGAGCGTCTCGTACTCGCGCTTGAGGAAGTGACCGAGGAACATAGCGAGGGTGAGGAGCTGGGTCGGTGACAAGGGTTTCTTGGCCCCTGGCCCCGAGTAGATGTAAGGGCGCAAGCCGACGACGGCAATGTGGATGAGGATGGGGCCAAGGTACTCGATCACGAAGACGGTGCTCCATGCCAGTTGGGGGCCTGCGTCGCAGCGTTAGTTAGGAAAATTGCTCCTTATCGAATGGCAGTCATTTGGGTTCGAGGGGTTGCGACGCACCAAGGTCCTTGACCAACACCTGCCCGGCCGACATGACGGCCGGCTCAGAGCTGATCTGCGCTTTGCGGTTCTTCAGCGTCTTCTGTGTGGAAGGATCAAACAGGCCAACACGGTTGAAGTCGCTGATGCCGGCCTGACGAGCGACAATATGCTTGACCTCCTCGACGGTGGCATCGGCGGGAACCTCGATCGACTCGGGGAGCTTCTTGATCGGCTGCTTCGGTGCTGTTGGCATTTGTGTAAGTAATTTTTCCGTAATCTGAAGTTGTCAATAGCTGCTTACAGCGGTTGCTCAGCTTGAGCGTAATTTTAGCGGCCATTTTGTCGGAGTGTTTGTCCTGAATCGAAATGGAATGCCTGATGTGAGGTTTGAGCTGCGCTGATGTGGGCGAGCTTATACTTGGCCGTTTCCAAGAAGCTTGAGGGAAGGGCTTCAACGTCCTGGGTTTTTTTGGAGCAGTTGTTGAGAAGCTACTGCACGGTCGCCGGTTGTGCCTCGGTCGGGTAATGTGGGGACTGACATGCATAGATATGACAGATCTATCCTTGATAAGTCCATACTCCAATTTTATGCATCAAGGTGCATCTAGTCTCTTAACCAACTTGAACAACTAACATCATCTGTTACAAGTCTTAATAAGGCCTACGTCCTCGGTGACCCATGGCTTTCGGAAAGGTTCATTAAGCCGTAAACTGCCTGAATGCCTCAAGGTTCTGGAAGTCATGAGTCTCCCAAACGTGAGTCCGTAGTCTTCACTCAGGGACTGCCAGAAGGTTTCCAGGCCTTCTGGTACGTATGCTCGCGGTCTCGAAGACTTGGACTCAAAGGTTGCGATTTCCCGAGTTGTTGGTTTTTTTTCTCCTGTGAATATGGCTGATATATCGGTGCTCGAAAACTGCGGAGGTGTCTTGGTTGAAACCTTCGGCAGCATTGGACTAGCGGCGATCTAACTAATCGGTATATGGAACATCATCATCGACTTCCCAGAGTCCTCATAAGCTGCATTCAGTATCTCAGCCAGCTTGTAGACGTGTTACGTTGTGAGCTCCTCTCCATAAGGAGCGAGAATTCTCATATACATGAGCACCTAATCACGCTTCGTTAGAAATTCTCAAAGAAGATTTTTTTCCTTTTTTCTTTCTATGTAACGCTTCCAGTCTTTTTACCTGGTGTGGTGACTACTTACAACCTGATAATTAAACCATACTCGCTGGTTTCTTTGCATGATACTTTCCTCATTTCATAAATGCTCCCAAGCGGTTTTCTGAGCTTTGAAAGTGACAGAGTCAGATATCCGAAAATGATCATTTTATCTAGTTCTGTTGCTATTCAGTGTGATTCCCAGAACAGCTCATCGAGGTAAGAACTTTTTTAACTCAATGGACCACGTGGATCATTTAGTTCAATCCATTGAGAAACATTCACGCGTACTTATCTCGCAGCCTGTGAAATTGGTTAAAACGATCATTGGACTCTCGAGAAGCAGGATCATCTACGGTTTTGACATGCATGATTCTCCTGAAGAAACGTAATTCTTTGTCCAACACTGCACCTACCAAGGCATTCTGTAAAACGACCTTTCTTCGATCCTTCCGTGCTTTATCCATACGATTCTACATATACCTTTCCCCTTGATATCTTTTGGGGTTTCTCAACAAAAGCAGCGACTGAGATGTGCTTTGCCAGAGACTCATCATGCTGAATCGCAGCTAGAAGCATCAGTCAAATGAGATCCATTTAATCTTGCATTCAAAAGCTACCTTCAATCAAGTCTTGAGTTCCGCACCGAATTCAACTTTTGACAAGCACAAGCCCACTGCTATCTCTCCTCTCGGCGTGACTACCCTAACACTTATGCTTTTCGCTGCCCGAAGAGCAAGTCTGGTACCGGCGGAGAAATACCTTTGAGGAGCGCACCTGCCCCGTCCGCTACCGCCCTGCTTTGCCTTCCGTCACTCCAGCGTCCTTCGGTTTCATGCTGTCACCAGCTGGGCACAATTTTCTATCATCACTTGCTTGAGCTGAAGGACACAGGCGGCGCAGTTTTCGACCAACTTGCACAACGTCACCTTTCAGCGCGACTATATGAATACCATCCAACCAACCGAAGTATAGGCAACAAGCCGCCACTCGGTTCGCTGCACCACCTAGAAAGCAACATGATTCGAGTACATCATAGTCCTCAACCGACCAATACCGGCTCCTCTTTCTTTTCCACTCTCCTCGGAAAGGACGCTACCCCCATATTTATCCCAGGACGCACTCGCCATTTCATATTGATGGAACCGTCGTCGGATACTCTCAGCGTCATGCCTTCTGATCCACAGGTATTGGACTTGCATCGACAGCTCAACTGGGCACCGCAGCTTCAAGACGTTGACGCCCCAACGTCTCCATCAACTACATCGACCGCTACCAATCCCTCAGCAGCAACATCGCAGTCCGGCTTCGACGGTTACACAGAAGTTTGCAACACTCATAATCAGCCTTCATCGAGAGATTTGCCGCCTGGTGTGCCGACTGGCCCCGCAGCAGAGCGAAGCCGACGAAGTCGACCACACCAATATCCATGCCACTTTGGCACCGAAGATAATAGACCTCCTCCGAATGCCCCGACTGGCCCGGCATCACAGCGCAAGCAAGCAACGAGACTTGCCACAACACGCGGTCCACAGCCGTTGAAGAGACCGGTTGAGTCTGCTTCGTGGTCCCAGTCATTGACCTGGCAAAGCGACGCGGCACGAGCTCGGGAAGCTTTCAGAAAGGTGTCGGCTGAAATGCGGCACCTTGGCATCGACAAGTCGCCTGCAGCCCCAAGGGGTTCGACGAATACCTGAACACTAAGATGTATAACGTGCAACGCAGTCTTGCCCTGCAGAAGAGGCAACAGCAGAAGGCTAACGAACAGCAACGCCCGCTCAAGACCAAAGGGAAGGTTGATCCTACTCAGACACTCAGGTCCGGCATACTCCTACATTACAGTCTTGGCTCAGACAAACTCTCTCCGGTATTCGGCGCCGATCTGTGCTGGAACGCATGCTACACGGCGATGGAAAACGCACCGCACAACGAGCGCGTCGAATGGCCACCATTGGCAGCTTTTAAGGAAGCTGGCCGCAGGATTGGATCAAACGCTCCTGACCGAGCTCTACCGGCCCCCAGGCAAAATACGGTCCAAGAGTATGTACGAATGATCGAAGGTGATGGCGCAAACGACGAAGTAGGTACAATGGATTACCGTGAAAAGGCCGTCAAGCTGGATAGACTCGACCTCTCCCGACCGCAATCTCTGTTGGAGCCTGACATAACTGATATCTGCGACATTGATGTCGGGAGTCTCCCTGCTTGGACTCGCGAGATAATCGCCGAAATCAACCTTGACGAGGAAGAAAACCCGACCACACCCCGAGAAGATGAGGGCGGGGACAAGAAGTGCGTTGTAGGACGGCAGGAGAACTGACCGGTGATCAGGGGAAGCGTGTACGATGAGGGAGAAAAGGCAAAAGAGTCGATACTATAAGGATATTGTATGTTGGGTCAGGGTTTGCAGAAATGCGGAGAGTCGTCACTGGAAAGACTGGGAACTGAGCGGCATTGCTCTTGTTCTCTCACCGTTGTCCTTTGAATATAGGGAAGGGGAAACGGAAGATACACAGCATTCAGGGTTTTCGGTATCTTTCGATAGCTGCAGGCAGGATGGTGCCCAAACAGCCGAATGGTTTGGGTGAAGAGGGTCATCCTTAGACCTGATCATCAGTTGGCGTTACCCATGCCCAATAGCACGCGGATTACTCTTCTATACGTTAGGTTTTGTACTGTGCAAGTGATCCCGATGTTGGCACAAGTCATCTCGAGGAAGCGCTACGTTAAAAGGCATAAAGGGGGGGTGAACCAGGGAATCAATCCATGCTCAAAAGAAGTGCATTAGGCCGATCCGGTAGATGGTCCTGGGCAAAAGTGGATGTGTGTCCAGATCATGGTACAGTAATGTCCACACAGCCAAATCGCAGTATAGTGCACACTGCAACGGCGTCGGTAGTTAGAACATCGAAAAGCTGTCAGCCTGGAAAGCTAGGGAGGTGATTCTTGCTCTTCAAGCATCTCGCCTGGTGCCAAGTAAGAGAAAAGCAGTAGATGAGGTTAACAGCGATTGGTTCATTTGCGTGAGCTGTTGATGTGTGACTGAGCAGTAATTAAAGTCGCGCATGCCTCAGTCTGCTCTTGCTGGAGCTGAAAGGAGCTCTGCCCTGGCAGGAGCCGCTAGGGTCAGCTGTTACAAGCGCGAGAGCGCTCCTTTTATTTTTCTCACCCGAAGTTCAGCCGCGCAAGCTCAGGCAGGAACAGACTGTGAAAAGGTGGAGGGCTCCAGCCAGATGCGGTGAGAAGTGGAGACTTTCAGCCTTTCGCTTTCTTCTTGCTGTCCTTCCACCTCCACCACCCACGACCCGGTCTTCAAACCTTTCCTCCACACAAATACCTTACCTGCTCCCTCCTCTTCTCACCACCGCGTCACCCAACCACCCGAATTCCATCCTACTACTCTCTGCGTGTCCTCTTACCGGCATTGTATTTACTTTTCTCCAGGAGCGCATTGGTCTGCAGCTTGACTTGCCTTTCTTTCCTTTCATTCTTCCAAAAGTCGCAAAATCTCAGCTTGGTTGCGTGTTTTACGCAGCCCCCCATCCGAGATGTCAGAATTCTTAGGGTACGAAGACCTGGACCCTCTCTGCGCAATCTCGCTCGACACCCTTGCTGACCACAGACATATATAGATCTCGCATCTCCCTCATCTCCAAGAGCGACATTCGGTAAGGACTTGGAGGACTCTTCGTTGCTCCCCAGTCCCCTTGCTCATCGCCTCTAGATATGTCGGCGTTCTCCACGAAATCAACTCGGACGAGTCAACCGTCTCGCTCGAGAATGTTCGCTCCTTCGGAACTGAGGGTCGAAGAAACAGACCCGAAGAAGAGATAGCACCTTCCGACCAGGTCTACGACTACATCATTTTCCGTGGCAGCGATGTCAAGGACTTGAGGATCGAGGATCACCCGGGCATCAAGGAGAACAAGCCTCCTGCAATGCCCGAGGACCCAGCAATCGTAAACGTAAGTCTCAACATTCCCTGTCCCCCTCGCACCTCTTGACAACGCCTATCATGATGAAATACTGCGGATGTAAAATTTTATCGTCTTTGTCGGAAAAGCGCAACTTACACGATGTCGAAACTTTCCGTTGCCTTCCTTCTGAATCGAGGCTTTCAACCTACCTGTCTTGGGACATTGGACACTTTAGACTGGAACACAGCTAATCATGTCCTACAACCAGGCCCGCCCCGTCCTGGTCAGGGACCTAGCAATCAGCCGCCCCAGCACCTGGTTTCGGACAACCGCCCTTCCAGAATAACTTTTACCCTCCACCAGGCCCATGGGGCCCTGCTCCTGGGCGTGGCGGCCCTGGTGGTCCTGGCGGCCCTGGTGCTGGAATGGGCGGCATGCCGTACCCTCCGCCTCCCGGATGGTTTCCTCCTGGCCCTCCTGGCCCTCCCGGTCAAGGCTTCCCCCCGGGCCCTGATCAATGGAACAACTACAACAACTACCCTCCCGGGCCTCGTGGCCCTCCGGGTCCCCCCGGCCCCCTTGGCCCCGGTGGTGCACCTGGGCAGGTCTCTGAGAACCGCGGCACTCCCGGTCCTCATGACCCAAAGCCTGCGCCCACTGGCGCTGCTGGTGACAAGCAGAAGCCCTCTACACCAGCCGCTCAAGGTGCTCAGAGCGAATCCAAGCCCGCTCCTCCCCCCGGTTTCCAGCAGGCGCCTGCACCGACGCCTCCTGTCGATTCGAAGCCCTCTGCAGCAGAAGTCAAGGCCACTGCTGCTTCCTTGAACACGGCCGGCTCCTCAAAGCCCGTCGAGCTTCCCGTGCCCACGGGACCAAAGAATGTCGCTCGCGTTCAGCCAGCTATCCCTCTGGCTGGATCCATGCCCAAGGCGTTCCCTGTTCCCGTCAACGATAGCAACGCCGCCCAGGCCGCTCTTAAGCCTGCTGCTGCCCCACTGCCGCTAGTGTGCGAGATGCGACTGAGGCTGCGAAGGCTGCTGTCGCGTTGGCCATGGCCAATATGAACGCCGGCAATGCTGCTGTTCCTGCCGCGCCGCAAGGAAATGGAAATGCGATGGACAATTTGACGAAGAAGGTCAATGAGATGAGGGTCAACGCAGCCCGAACCACGCAGCCTGGAGGTGGCCGCGGCCGAGGCCGTGGCGGGAGACAAGGTCAGGCTAAGGTCGAGGTCCCTGATGCGGACTTTGACTTTGCTCAGGCAAACGCGAAGTTCAACAAGGACGACTTGGTCAAGGAAGCTATTGCAGGCTCGCCTCTGGGTGAGACTCCCAACAATGGACCCGCGATTGAAGCTCCTGCTCCCGAGGTTACTGGTACGAACCCGCCAGTCGCCTACAACAAGACCCGGTCATTCTTCGACAACATTTCGAGTGAAGCCAAGGATCGGGCCGACAACAATGGTCAAAAGCCTGGTGGCCGTGAATGGCGCGGCGAAGAGCAGCGCAAAAACATGGAGACATTTGGCCAAGGCAGCGTTGACGGAGGCTACAGAGGTTACCGGGGCAGAGGTCGCGGCCGTGGCCGAGGAGGCTTCGGTGGTCGTGGTGGCGGACGTGGCGGTTTCCGTGGCCGTGGTGGCCAGGCCGCCGCTGCACCTTCGGCTGCGAACTAGGTACATCCCGTGCCTCCAGCCCCTCGATCGATTCCGTTGCTGCAAGCAACCTGTCTTGAGATTTCACGATCCGGACTACCGAAAAGAACACGATTTTGATGGACGCTACTCTAGTTTTTCAACGGAGAAGCGTCTCTGAAAGGAAATCCTTTCAAGCAAGACTTTTTATGATGTATTATCACTCCCTCGATTCTCGATTTTTTTCGGATTCCCTCGGCGACGGAGCATTGGGCTGGCAAGTCCTGTGAGTTGGTTTGGCCAGACGGGCAGGAATCATAGGACTGCTATTTTGACACGCATGGAATCGGAAGGAGTTTGGCAGTGGTAGCCGCAAGCGACGGGAGCTGCGGTCTCATGATTGCGAAGTGACGACAAAGGGATTTCAGGCTTGGGTAGCATGCATTGCGTTCTCGTTTTCTAGTTGAGCTGGGCGGAGATACCGGATCAACACGACCTGACGGCAGAGACATGCCTACTCTCTGGCAGTCGACAGGAGGGATGAATGCAAAAGGAAGCGCTAATCCATGCGAGAAGGAATGAGGAAATGAGAAAAGAGGAGCTTTTTTTTCTTGGTGGTGAAAGAATCCTAGAACTAGGCGAGGAGGAGGACAAGACTCTACGGGTCATGTTCGCATATTAATACTACTACGCCGACCACCAAACCTACGTTGCACCTCGAAGTGATTGAGTGACATCAACTTGTAGTGCATCCATTGTGACATTTATGTACTCGGTTGGTCGTATTTATCCAACAGGGACGGCTTTGTGGTTTAGAGGTGGAATTGGTGAATGCAATTTGCTGCTGCTGCTGCTGCGCAAGGAAGGAGTTGGTAGGCGAGGTGGGCTAGAGGCTAAAAGCTGTGCAATTTTTGCCCCGCCAAACCCCGCCACACGTCATGCTGGTACCTTTCCGGCGTGACGCATCATTGCCGACTTGGTGCTGACTAGGAACTCTTCCATTCCGCAAAACAACTACCCTGCCGATTCTTACTTCCGCTCTCGAGCTCTACCTATTTACCTTAGTTCCCACAGTCAATCGAACCGACGAGCTTCACCATGTCGAGTCGTCAGCTTCGCAAACTGCAGAAGCAGAGAGAGCTCGAGCAGCTACAAGAGACCAAACCTGCCACCGAGGAATCCAGTGACGACGAGCCCGAACCCGCAACTATCAAACCTCGACAGAGTTTATTCGCAGCCCTAGGCGGCGGCGACGATGATGGCGACGACAACGATGACGAGAAATCCGACAACGGGCAAGACGAAGCCCAGCCGGAATCAGAGCCCGAGGTAGTGCCTCAGCCTGCCAAGAAGAAGAACAAGAAAAAGAAGAAGAAGGCAAAGAAGGCAGCGACGCAGGACGGACCTGCGAATGATCGCGAAGACGAGGATGACGAAATTGATCGGGCGCTCAAGGAGCTCAGCATTGCGCGCAATGCCGGCTCGACCGCCTCCGACAACCTCGCACAACGAAGCCGCGACATTGATGACCTCCTGCAAATCAACACCCAATACCTCAGAGCAATCAACGAGATGCGTGCCCTGTTTGGAAAGGAAGCCATTCAGGCTGCGCAGGAAGAAGAACGGGCCGAGCTGGAGGCTGCGCGCCGAGCACAAAGAGGCGCCAACCAGCACGTTGACCTTGAAACGGCACTTCGAGGGGATCCGCGCAAGAAACTTCCCGAGATATCTCTGCGCCGCAACGTCTTTATCCAGGGCAAGGATACATGGCCACGCGCCACTGCGGCAGGACTGGTCATGAAGGAGATTAGGAAAGGGTCTGATGGCCTCACTGAGTTCGCCTTTGTGCACGAGCAGGCATACGATAACGTTCAGGTCATGTTCTTCAGCTGCGTCCAGCTCGGGGACCCCATGCAGATGGTTCAGCTTCTGATGCGATTCCCTTACCACGTCTCAACCCTGCTCCAGGTCAGCAAGGTCGCCATCCAGGACCAAAACCAAGCTCTGGCAGCCGATCTTTGTGAGCGAGCTCTGTTCACGTTTGGACGGGCTACGACATCTGCTTTCAGACAAAAGCTAGAGCAGGGCAAGGCCCGCCTAGACTTCCGCCGCCCAGAAAACCGCGAGCTCTGGCTCGCCGGATACACATACCTCAAGAGCCTGATCCGCAAGGGAACTTACAGGACGGCACTGGAATGGGCGAAGCTGCTGTTTAGCCTGAATCCAAATGATCCTTACGGCATGAAGTACTTTATCCACACGCTGGCAATTCGTGCACGCCAAGCGCAGTGGCTCCTGGACTTCATGAGCACACACGAGTTTGTGGCCGACGAGACGGACGATACATACCTCAAGCAAACACTTGTTCTTGCGAAGCTCCAGGTGGGCGACACCGACGGGGCAAAGATTGCGGCGGTAGCCGGCATGGAGCGGCTGCCGTGGCTCTACTGCGCCCTCTTCCAGGCGTTGAACGTGGAAGCGCCGCCCCCCTTATGGGGTGTACGACCCGACACCAACGAGCGTGAGTTCTGGACGAACCTCTATATCCACCAGGCCAAGGATATCTGGAACAATACGCAAGCCATTGACGTGCTCAAGGAGGCCGTCAAGATCGCACAGAAGCCTACTCAAGCCCTCCCAGAAGACCTACCGGCAGACAATCGCACAGCCAGATGGACGTGGTTAGAGGATACTCCGACTTTGTTGAGCGGCATCCCGAGAGCGATGCTCGCACGGGAACCCAACTACGCATTTGACCCCCTCCCGCCTCCGAAGGAAGAGAATATCTTTACGAGCCAGGGCGTTCAGATGCCGTGGCGTCAAAGTGGCGAGAATGGAGAACAGGGAATGCTGGCACAGGAGCGAGCGCTCATCAACATGCTCCGGAGACAGCAGCAAAGAGCCGCGGCGCGAGGAGCGGGTGCTGGGGCTGCTGGGGGCGCCGGTGCAATGGGTGCTATGATGGGCGCGTTCCCGGATGACGACGATGAAGAAGAGGGCGGTGATTTTGGTGATGCTTGGGAAGGCGCTTTCAGCGATGGAGACGACGATGATCTGGAGGGCGATGGACGCCAGCCTCCTTCCGCCGGTGTAGTCCAGCGACTCGCCGATTTGCTGGCATCCATGATACCTGGCGGATGGCCGGCGGAGTCGACTGGCGGGGGTGATGACAGCGCAGGCCCGGACGACGACGAGGAGTTACCTCCTTTGATTGATGGTGATAATGACATCGGCGATGGTGAGGCACGGCAGCAGCAGCATGGCGGAAACCAGCCGCAGTAGATATGCGCGGTGCTTCAAAGGACATTCACGTGGTTACTACGGTTTTTTCTCTCTCTTCGGCACTCGTATATAGACGCAGAGCATCTATACCCTCCAGAAAAAGACAACCATTACATGCCCGACTTTGTAGCTCAAATGTTGTGCAGTCCGACACGCGAACGTGTGGCCACACACAGACCCCGGCCCTTGCACTAACTGGCTAACTGACGGGTTCGACCGCACGCAACATCCATGGACCCGATGGGCGGAGAGCACGGGGCGACCCTTGGAAACGCAGCTGAAGCTTGGGAACTACTGTGAGAAGCAACGTCGATCTGCGGTTCCTGGGACAATGCGGGTTCGAAGGTGCAGCAACGCGGCGAACATGGTGTCCCCAAAATGAAATGTGCTCACTCAGTACGGCAGGACTGGGTCCGTTTCAGGGGGTTGAGGACGAGAGAGCGCAGCGTTGGGGGAAGGGGGACTGAAGTGAGCAAGTTTCAGAAACGAGACCCTCGGGGGATGGTGGCCGGTTGCGTGGGCGCTAGCTAGGTAGGAAGGAGCTCTTGCGCCATCCACGGCCGGAGCGCAGCGATGTCTATGGCAATTAATAATGCGGTGCCGGTGTCCGTTTGGGACAGATATATAATCAACATCAGGTCCGTCTCACCCAAGCCCATGGTTTCTGGCTGCTTCCTGTCTGCTTTTCAATCAAGATACCCCCTTTTTCACTCTTCGTTTTGCGTAATACCGTGATTCGCCTTCCCCAAACGGCCGACTCTGATCCGTTAGCGAGACCTTGGGACATCGCCCACCCCTTACGTTTAAAAAAAGACGCTGGAGCTCGCTGCCCCTCCTTTATTTCTCTACCCCGCCAAAAACGCCATACCGCAAACTCTCCCAACTACACACAACTTCCTACGACACGCAACACCATATCTTTAAAAAAAAAATATGTCTGAGCACACTTACAAGTTCAACGTCAGCATGAGCTGCGGCGGCTGCTCCGGCGCCGTCGACCGTGTCCTGAAGAAGCTTGACGGTACGTTGTACTCTCCCCCTAGGCGCAATCTGTCCCTCCTTTCTTGCCGGTCCCGTCTCCGCCGCCGCGCAAACCCACCGAGTAGCTCCCGCATCCTGGGGAACCGGCGGTGAGCAGCGGCAGGCAGAATAGCAGCGACCAACCGCGCATGAATTCCAAACACAGCGGGAGAATGTTTTACTAACTTGCGATATTGCAACAGGCGTCAAGTCCTACGAGGTCTCCCTCGAGAGCCAGACCGCCACCGTTGTCGCCGAGGAGAGCCTGCCGTACGAGAAGGTCCTCCAGACCATTGCCAAGACGGGCAAGAAGGTCAACTCTGGCAGCGCCGACGGCGTCGAGCAGAGCGTCGAGGTCGCCGCATAGATTTGATACCAGATCAGTCGAGTCGGGGAGTGCCAGGCGTCGGGAACAAACATGAGCGCGCGAAACATGCTTTGCCGGTCCGTTTTTGGGCGGGGAGTTTCCTGCCTGGGGGTTTGGGACGTGTGGTATAGAACATAACGTCATGCCTAGGACTTGCTTTTACGTACTTGCGGAAGCCAATAAAAAAACCGAGATACATGGTTTGGTCTTTGTGTACCTTTGCGATTGAGGTCCTCACGTGCAGATGCTGGGACTAGGGAGATCAGTATCAGGCTGCCCATGTTACTGGCAATATCAATCTCTCGGGCTGTTCTCGCCATGAGGTACTACCGTTGGATGATCTACGTAGCGAGGCGGTCTATGGTGCTTGATGCTGTATGTTTTGTCTATGACAAATTGGCGCCGCGGACATATCAATCGGGGTCTTGGTAGGACTTTGGCCTGGTCTGCAAGACGCCAACCCGTAGCACAGTGCACCATCTGTCTACACAACCCGTTCCAGAGACTCCTCTGCCCAACTATCCATCAGAGTTGATGTCGCCAATGTCACTCTCGGAATTTCATGATGACATAACCTCGGTTGCACCCGCACTTCCCGAACCATCCTACGGAGCTTCTCTGTTCTTGAGCTAGGCGCAAGGCTTGTCGGGGCCCAAACCCGGGATACTCCCTTGGGTCTTTAGTAGATCCATGTCTGTTGAATGGCAACCGGGAAAAGACCGCCATCCATGCATCTCGATGTAAGTTACTCGCATGTAGTGTGACTTCTCAGCCTTCCGGGATATAGCCCTTGGTAGCCCTGTTTAACTGGCTCATGAATCACGCACACGGGTTTCCTGCTCGTTCTAGGAGACTTAAGGTTGCCCAATTAGAATCATCGCCGGTCCTGCTACAAATAGTCGTCCCTAGGCAAACGTAATGCGGCAAGGGAACAAATCAAGGTTACTGCAAGCCAGCACGGCCCGGCATTCGAGTGTCATCGAGCTGCCAGAAGCTTGTTTGGTCGAACATCAGACCGCCCGAATTCCATCCCTATGAGACTGCCCGTAGTTTCTGTGCGTTTTTACAAGATGGATATTCCATCCACACAGTTGTCTAGTGGTGGTAGGGTTACTGTCTAGACCAAGCTCGCTGCCGTCTCGTCAAGCGGCATTAGAGCAGTTTGGGGGCCGCACACCGCTGATCTTGATGCCTTGCCCAATGACACCCGTCTGATGCGACATGAGCCGGAGGGACACGTGAAATGGGGGACCCTGAAGGGAATGCAGGAGGCCCGAAAAGACAACGAACTAGAAACACAAGTAACTTAACGCCGGAGCTCGGTCCTGACGAGTACCCACACCCGCTGGATCGGTAGGTTGGGAACGCCACCCGGGGGACCGGGGAGGTGCGCCTACAAACGTCATATTGCGGCGTGGGGTCTCTTGGGAGGGCTAGTATCCGCACAAAGCGCCGCGGCCGTTACGGCTGGGTACTGTTTCGCGGCATCAACCCTCTTCTTTCAGCACCCGGATGCGTCGCATGATCTGTAATGGGCGCTCAAGGTGAAAGCCGGGTTACAGATGACGACCGGGCCGGAAGTGGGTGGCGGTGCTTATTCCCCGTTTCTCCCCAGGAGGTGCTTGCTATCGACCTGCGTGCCTGCCTTCAGATGTGTGTACATCGTACCACTCGGGGAGCACGTACCCTTACCCTTAGTACCTGCCTGAACCTCACAGAACTTCCCTGCATTGAGACGAGACTACTCTGGGTTGCAGATTCTCGACAACTCGATATTAATGTCCTTCCATCCCTCCTACATGATGCCACCCTGAAGTCGAAACATTGTCCTTTGGGATTTTCCGACTTTAGCCTAACTTAAAGCAACCACAGCACACCACTTGTGAGAATAACTTAGTTCCAGTATCGGTCGCACTGTTCAACCTATCCCATCTCGGCACGTCCAAAAAAACCCGCACAAACATTACGCCAGCCTCTCTTTTGGACTTCACCATGGGAACACCGTTTGTCTCACTTCTCGAGCCGACCCGGCTAGACGCCTTCATCCGCGGCGTGCCGCATGATGAGCAGTCGGCGGCGATCCCCAAGGAGTTTTGCGACGCCATGGAAGTGCGCGAGGCCGTCTTCGTCGAGGAGCAGAAGGTGCCCGCCGAGAACGAGTTCGACGCCGACGATAGCCGCGCGTGCCACTGGGTCTCGTACGCCTCCGTCAACAAGGTCGTCGAGAAGGAGGTCCTCGACGCCGCCGGCAACATCGTCAAGCCCCGCCGAAGCAGCACGCGCAGCACCCCCATCGGCACCATCCGCCTCGTGCCCTTCCCCCACGCCCCGCACCCCAAGAATGGGGGCGTCTACTGGGACGGCATGCTCAAGGAGGATCCGGGCGCGGAGGTTGCGCCGGACACCAAGACCGCACCGGCGGCGGAGAAGAACACGACGAGCCTGATTGATGAGATGCCGGCGGAGACTGCGGCGGAGCACGTTGGCGAGGAGAGGCGACTTTCGGCGACCAGGGTCTTTGTGCCGGACCACGCGACGACGCTGCACGACGGGAAGGAGCCCTACGTCAAGCTGGGCCGGCTGGCCGTGGTCCGGGAGTTTAGGGGCCACCGGATTGCGAGGCTGTTGGTGACGACGGCCTTGGCGTGGTTGCGGGCGCACCCGGGCTACTTCAATCCCAGCATCAAGGAGATGGGGCTAGAGCAGATCGGGGCCGCGAGCGCCGAGGAGGTGCCCAAGTGGAAGGGTCTCGTGTGCGTGCACGCACAGACGGGCGTCGTGGGTGTGTGGGAGAAGTTGGGGTTCCAGGTGGACGAGGGCATGGGGACCTGGTGGGAAGAGGGCATTGAGCACAAGGGCATGTTTTTGCGGCTGGATGTCAAGGAAGAAACGCCTGTTTTCTGAGGCGGGCGGTGGTATGGACTGAAGGATGTTGTCGGAAAGGAAAGAGGGAGAGGAGAGGAGAGAAGCCCTCGGAGTGGGTTGATGCTCAACCTGATGCCTGGATGGCCGACCTGCGGATCTTCATGACTTACGACTTTACCATGATGGTTCGCTGTTTACTGGACCACGGTCCCTAATAATTCCCCTTACTATTTTGTCGACAACAATAGAATTCATCTTGGCTATTCTTGGTGTTGACACTATCCGCGGCAGGACAGTCGGCGGGATGTGTCAAAGGGGGGCTTTGTCATGCGACGAAATCACGTAGAGGCAAGTCTCAGTTGTACAGGAGCAAACGTTGGAATGAGGTCGATTGTATTTCCTCCAGGGCGTGGTCATGATCATGATCGTTTCACGTGACATCGTGGGCCGGCGACCTTTGACTGATCTCAAGCGGGAGAGGTGGCGGGTTGTGTGGCATCCCCCCCCCCCTCATCGACATAACCAGGGCACACAGGTAGGGGAACGCGGGGTATTGATCATTCTGCTCTGACGAGCTTTTGGCTTTTATTGGGAAAAAACCACCTTTAGAAGCCGTTACGAGACAAGATGCCGTAGCCGCGTTCCCCATATCCCGAACGCGCAAATGCAATAGTTAGGTCAGCGCATCAAAACACCGGCTTCTTTTTCTTTGTTCGGAGGACGATGAAGAAAAAAGACGTTGATTTTGCCCTGTTATGTAATACCACGCCTCCGTTGATTTGTCCCCCAAAAAGCAGTTTTTTGACGTCTCGAGAGAGATGGAGACCCATTTTCTCAACAGGCCTCACCCCCCAAATCTCCAAAGCGTGATGGGGAAGAGCATGTATTCCACAGCTCCCCCCAAAACACAGCACAAAGTTCCCAGCCAACAGAGTTCGTCGTAGCCCACATGACGTTGTGGAAAAGAGAGAGGACAAACCCTTTACCGGTTGGACTTGGCGACACGCTCGAGCTCGTCCTTCTTCTTGATGGCGTACGAGTTGCTGCTGCCCTTGGCGGCGTTGATCAGCTCCTCGGCCAAGCACTCGGCAATGGACTTGACGTTGCGGAAAGAGGCCTCGCGGGCACCGGTGGTGAGGAGGGAGATGGCCTGGTTGACGCGGCGCAGAGGGGAGACATCGACGGCCTGGCGACGAACGGTACCGGCGGAACCGATACGGGTGGAGTCTTCGCGGGGACCGCAGTTGACGATGGCATCGACGGCGATCTGGATGGGGTTCTGGTCGGTCATCAGGTGGATCTGTGTTAAGGTGTTAGTTGTATTGTTCCTCGAGAGTAGCGGTTCCCGTCAGGAGGGGGGCCGCGGTGTGCGTGTGTGACGTACGATCTCGAAGGCGTGGGCAACGATGCGGACAGCCATGAGCTTCTTTCCGTTGTTGCGGCCGTGCATCATGAGCGAGTTGGTGAGACGCTCAATGATGGGGCAGTTGGCCTTGCGGAAGCGCTTGACGGCATAGCGGCCAGCGGAGTGGGTGACATAGACGGGGTTGCGGAGGGAGATGTAGTCACTGTTCGATTCAATTTCCGATTAGCCTCTGACTTTTTGTTTTTTTCTTGTCCTCTCTTGTGTGTTTTTGCGTTGGTCCTGTGTCCAGCTGAGCGTGTCCCCAATGTCGAATTCCAATCGCAGGCCTTGATGTTCCTTCTCTTTCTCCAATCGTGTTTCGCGCGCGCAGAAAATTTTCGTAGAGTTCTTTGGAGGGGGAGGGGAGAGGGACTCACGTCAGAGAGATGTCCCGGACCTCAACATCGTAATCCCACTTGTTGAAAAGCTTGACGTTGCCGACCTCCTTGACGACGTCCTTGGGGAGGACGTCGTAGGTGCCCACGTTCTCGACCTCGATATCGCCGCCGTCAGACATTTTCGCTCGACCTTTGGGGGGTTAGTAACCTTTGGGGAGGGAGGGAAAGAAAGTCGAGAAGCTTGAGTGGGAAAATGTGGTGGTCGTGGGTTGAAGTTGTCCAAGTGCGAAAGGGACGGCCGCAGAGTGGGTTTCGATTTTCCTACTCGGCTCGCTTTGCGTTGGTGAATGAGGAGCCCAGGGCTTTGTTTGTGGCCAGCTCCAGCCAAACGGCCTTCGCCAGCCAGCGAAATATTTTTTTCCCAGACTTGTGGTGTGCGGATGGACCAATGGGGGCGCGCCCAGCGTCATGGCGGGCTCCACCGCGGCGAGGGTTCCTGCCCTCGGGCAGCCGAAGGGCGGCCAGGAGGGGTGGTCAGAAGTGGCACCTCTTTTCCGCAACCTCATACAATTGAAATTCCTACTCCCCGACGACCTAGGTGCCTGTTGAATTCCGACCGACGACATCACAAATCAGACAAAATGGTACGCCCCGCGAAACGCCCTCTCTCCCGTGTGTGCGCGTGCGAAACACCGCGTGCCCTTTGGCGAATTACTTGTGCTGACTTGTTGGATGTGTAAAGGCGCCAGCTGCAGGAGCTAAGAAGCAAAAGAAGAAGGTTCGTTGCAACTGAGTCCCCCATGGTGTGTCTTGTGTGTGTGTGAAACAATCGCTGACTTGTTCGTGACAGTGGTATGTATAAACTCTGTTAATGCGCATGAGAGAAAAACACTTGGCGAGAATCCCGACCCATCATTGTGGCCTCGAACGACGCATGCCCTCTCCTATCGATCGCAGCCGACTTACCCATTCCACAGGTCCAAGGGAAAGGTTAAGGACAAGGCCCAGCACGCCGTCATCCTCGACAAGACCACCTCCGACAAGCTCTACAAGGATGTCCAGTCCTACCGCCTGGTGACCGTTGCCGTCCTGGTCGACCGTCTCAAGATCAACGGCTCCCTCGCCCGGAGATGCCTTGCCGACCTCGAGGAGAAGGGTATCATCAAGCCCGTCGTCCAGCACAGCAAGATGAAGATCTACAGTACGTCGAGTCCCCGTTTCAGCGCAAGCGCACCATCGTAAGAGAACTCGTTCAACTGACACATTCGCAGCCCGTGCCGTTGGTGGAACTGACTAAACCATGAACGTGGTACGCGTGACGACAAACAAAAAGCAATGGGGATCAAGGGACGGATTGGTCATATCTGCCTAGTCAGGAGGCTTTACAGATGCTCGATGAAGCATTATACCTTGGGCCTTAGGGATCGGATTTGCTTAACATCGCAAATGGAACGGAGTTGATACGTACATCTGCCGTGTCGTCAAATAGACCATGATCACGTCCAGACGTCCCCATGATAACAGCCCCAACCATCTCGTTTCCGGTGCATATATCACTTTGACCCCGGTGCTCAAACCCACAGACGTCATATCTTGGTGCTAGGGAAAACTTGTAATCCCATGTACCTACGATTGTGGGTTTGCCCACAACCTGTCTAACAAGCCAGCGGCTTCCTGTGACAGGTTACTGCGGCCGTTACAGAAAGCTCATTGAGCAGCTGGAGATCCGGGGACAGCGCTGAGCGTATCGCTTTGATGCCTGCGTCTGTTGTTGGACGGGTGGTCGTAATCGTCCATTACTGCAAACGAGGACTACTTGTCTGACAACAGCACCTCTGCAATTCTTGCCAACCCACGGACTGCATCTCCCCGTCTGAATCTGGAGGCCAGCTGGATCTGAGGCTATAGGGCTACGACGAACAGGTCAAGGTGACTTCGCTTACTGTTTCCCATTCGCGAAGCGCGGACGACGGAGCAATGATATGCCCTCAGCTTTTGGCATACGTTTGTGCTCGCCGTGGGAAAACCTGATGTTTGGCAGAGAAACGCAACCGATGGAGGGCTGATCCGGGCTGTCCGAGCCTTGAACCCATCTGGAAATAGTAGAGTTTCTATCCCACGAACTCCTAGAGGACCGAACGGTTTGTGCATCGTGGCATCCTCGGACGCCACTGAAAGCTTTGGCTGCTGGCAACCATGTGCTCAACCATCACAGGGCAAATGCACGAATGGCAGCATATCGCTCGCACTCACTAGACTCATCTTGTCGTAAAGTGCACCTATTGATCGCCTCCATATTCTCACCGGAAGAGTATTTCGCTGAGGGTAGCGTAATAATAATTTGTGCAGAGAAGTGGAGGCGGTTAATCTGTCACTCGCTTGAGGAATTACTCGCGCCGGCATTTTAACGGAGACGTCGGCAGCAGGGTAATGGGCACTTGCGTCGTTGCTATTCATTGCCGGACTTTGGCCCGCGTCTCAACTTCAATGTCATGATGCCGTCCCTTGACTTTGCGTAGGCGGACTCGAGGGAGTCAGAACGGGCTGCGAGGTGCAAGGACGGGACCGGGTGCGGAGATATAGTTGCGAGATTCTCCCGGGGCCCAAGCCCGGCGGCCGAAGTGTCGGACAGGTGACACATCGAAACTCGAGTGAAAAGATTCGGTAGCGGTTCGGGTTCGCGAGATTAAATACATTGTTGGCGGCTGGGCGGTACGGCGGGACTTCCCAGACGCTTTGGTCAAGTTTGGGGTGTTTGACCAGGAAGTCAAATTGATTAGGGCGCTCCGAAATTTGATGTCATGTCGAAATTGGCACTGTCGCGAGATGCCCCCTTTTTTTTCCTCCCTCGTACAGGGAGTTACATTTTGGAGGGGTTGACAGAGATGAGAAGTGATGAGCCCGGAGGTTGCACATGAACGCGTAGGATAGCATGGTTCACGTGCAGCAAGCCTTGGAAGGTCAACGCTACGGCGGGACGGGCAAGCGGGCAAAGAGAGTGAGCGACTTTTGGGTGTTGGCGGACAGGGGGGATTTCAGGGTCTCATATGAACAAAGGAACGGCACATGATGCGGCTGCAAGCCAGTCGCGAACGTCATGTGGTGGCCGACGAATGACAGGCCAGAGAGACCGCGGGGCCATATGCCACCGTCCAGCAACACACAGCTGACTGGCTGGCTGGGGTCGGAAGGGAGGGAAAACGAACACCTGGGCGGGCCGGATCTCTTGGTTCGTTTCGGATGGGAGCGTATCTGAAGAAAGCGTAATTTGCCGGCATGACGGAGGAACGAGGTGGGATGAAATGGGGCTCAAGGCATGTCGAGGGCAGAGTGTTGGTGGGATGGTTTGATAGAAGAAGGCCGCGCGCAGAGGAGGAGTTTGTGGAGAGTGGAGGACCAGAGTTCGTGATGCCCATTGCCTGGTAGGTGCACTAATGCAATCGTAGGTCAAGCCCCCAGGTACGTACGTAGTCGTTTAGATAGTTCCAAGTCCACAGTGTCTACCATGCCGTGTTGGTCGTAGCGACGGATGCCCGAAGTGTTACAGGACCCCCGATATGCACATGGATAGGAGGAGGGAAGTTGGCGCCCACTCGATGTCGTCAGGTACAGTGCTTCCTTGCTTCCTTGCTTGCTTGCTTGTGCTTGGGTAGCCGTGGTGCCAGTCAAATCTACTATACTAGGTAGGGTAGGGAGGGTGGTGTAGGTAGCAATCTCTCAGCGCACGTGCAGTTGGTTGCGGAAAGATGCAGGTGCAGATGCAGAGGGATGCAAATAGATGGATGCATGGGTTCCGTTCCTTCCACAAGGAACACTTTGTGTCTTTCCGTCGTCTGGGAGAGATGGCCAACGTCGCTGTCTTCCCCCATGTGGCACAGTGCCTTAGCGCCGAGTGCACTTGCAAGTAAAGCAGCCGTCGGGCCCAAGCAGTCAAGTCAGTCAAGGAAAGGACCCAAGCATCAGCACCGGTGTATTTAAAGGTCAGTGGTCGCAAGAGTTCAGCGTTGGACGAGGCTGCTACAAGGTCTCAAACACGCCCCCTCCATTTCATGCTATGTCCAAGTAAGGTAGATGCCGCAAGTGAGGTACTAGGTATCCTACCCAGACAAAGGCTTGACAGCGAGGTGTCAGGAGGGCTGGTTTATGCGCTTCCATGCGGGCCACTCTGTCCACCCGGCCACCGTCACCTCACCTTGCGGTGCTTTTTAGATTTGGATCGCCTGTCCCGGTCAGGTCGCATGAACACTCGCTCTGCGCCCGATTGACTGGGCCTCGCGGCCTTGCCCTTTGCAGCTGATTACAGATGGCAACCTGGTAATTGCACACTCCACCGCCGCACCCCAGGGTACATGATTTCCTGCAGCCCATGGGTGGAGCGACGACGTACAGTACGGTACCTACCATACCTACCTTACCTTACCTGGTGGGCTTCGTCCCGAAGGCAATCGCAACCCGCTCCTCTCCTGCCCTCGCTGTCGCAATTCCAACCTGAAGGTGGGAGGGGGGCGGAGAAGATGAGAGACACAGAGAGATAGAGAGAGATGATGGTGCGGGACGCAGGGCAAGCATCAACCACACTTTCACCCACACACTTGATAGCAGGTGGCAGGAGCCCCGTCCATCGGCATCGGGTACACCGTCTCCAGACATGGCACCTCCTTACTGTGCGCGCCGCCGCCGTACCTGATCCTTTCCCCTTCTCGGTCTGTGATCTCCAAGCCGGCCAACCAAGTGATGTGCACCATCTGGCCCTGATGTCAGGCACCGCACCCGCCTTGTCTTACATCTCGCTCCTCGCCTGCTCAGTCCTCTTGATTCCCTAACTGGCACTGTCTTTTGGTCTGGCTGTTGTCCAGACCTTGACCGGGTTTGCCCACCTCCTGCTCCTCCTCCTTCTCTTGACCTCCGATTTCCAGTACAAAGTCCCAAGTCCATCCCGCATTTAAAACCTCCGGCCTTCTTGTCCCGACCTGACTTCCTTGCTCCTCCTCCTCTGCTCCCCTTCCCCCTTCCAGCCTCCACCTCTCCCACCATCAGCGATCCCCTTTTCCCTGCCGCTCGCAGTCTGCAGACGAAACAAATACTCGCCCGCCTCCGCCCTCTTTTCTTTCTTCTTCTCGGGCGCAATAAAGATACCCCATCCTTCTGTGCCCTTACTCGATCTCCTCTTCTACGGCGACAGACCATCGTCCTCCAACGTCTTCCAACTCGCTCATACAACATTGCCTACCTGACTGACTGCCTTATCCACCGCATATTGCTACCTCTTTCCGCCTGCTCGGGCTACGACCTGGATTCTGACAAGCACCCTGTTGATACTGTCAACCACTAGCTGCCGATCATCCTCCCTTTTTGGTCGCCCGCGAACCCAGCCGTCTCCAGTTCCTAATTGCGAGCCGTCCTTCCTCCCAACCACAACCCTCTCTAACCTGCCTTCTGTCTCCTCAACGGACCGAACAACCGACGAAATGGCACACAACATGACCGACGCCGAGCTCGACAACGACTGGCAGCCCAACGGCCGCCGCCCGCAATCGTGCGTACCAATTGCTTGTCCCAGGCTAACACAGTTTCTCCAAGCTGCCGTGCTGACTTGTGCCGTTCAGCACTATCGCTCGCTCCTTCTCCCAGGAGCTTGCCGACATCTTCCGTCTTGACGACCCCGTCACCGATCTGGATGAGAAGCTTGACCAACGGTATGAAGCCCTCTGATGCAGACTAGGCCCCCGGGCAGCCCACTTGCATTGTCATACCCAATGCCATTCAATCAGTTTGCTGACGGCTTCGCCCGCAGAAAGCAAATCGTCCAGAGCCAGGCAAGCGAGCTTGAAGCTCTCGAGCGTCGCATTCGCGAAATGGAGGAGCGGTTGAAGAGCAACGGCATCGCCAAGCAAACATCATCCAGCCAGCCGGCCGCTGCTGAAGCGGCCGCGCCCGCGCTGTCAAAGGATGCCCAGGAGAAGGCCAGGTCACGACCAGGTACGGCGCGCCAGAACCAGCCTCATGCCCCGTCTTCGGCGAACATGCCGCCCACGCCTACTGCCAGCGAAGGTGAATACGAATTCGTCGGCAAGGATGACCTTGACGACCACCCACCCCGACACTGAATCGCTGCATTTTGACACTTCCAGCCCGCACAATACCCACAATACCACGTCTCGCCTGAGTTTTCCTTTTTCTCCAACATGACCGCCTGCACCGAGCAAACCATCACAGTCATCTGATTCATGAGACCACGAGAAATGCTGACTGTTGCTCGTCAGACGGAGACCGCGACCAGGAATGAGGATAGACGTCCCTCTTTAGACTGCTACACCAAACTCTTTATATACCTGCTCGAGCCCATCCCGCATATACCCGCACTCTGCGATACCACGGCCCTACCAACCTGTATCGGCAACTTTAGATTTCCGAGTTGCTTACACAGAAAGGTCCTCATGTTGTTTGGCAGAGTTGCTCTTGGCATAAGCCCATGCCGAGCATCACATTACGTCATGGGACGTCGCTCGCTACATCCGCCGCAAAGCTGCTCTTTTGGGCGTTGAGAAGAAGCATGAATTCCTGATTCACCACGATATATTTTGTAGTTGGTTTTTCTTCGTTTGCTAGCCTGATCGGTTACGCACTGCTTTTGTTGCCAAGTCAGTGGAGTTATAGCATGCATGAGTGGATCGTCCTCGCGGGACCGATGCCCTTTGGTCATCCATGTCATGTCAAGGAGCGAAATGGGCTACCTCTGTATATACCAAAGGAAGGAGTGGAATTCATCTCTGATTTGCTTTGAGCAATTGGAATGCTCGAGAGGGTATTCCTTTGGTTGTCGAGTCGAGTACTTATGTTGGGCCGTCGAGACACGTTTTTATGCTCACGGCGTCTGCTGGTCTAGTATAAGGACCTTGACAGAAGGTCCTCTCACACTTGCGCCGACTCTGAGACTGATGCATCGCAACGGCCCTGATGGAACGATTTTGATGTCACTTGAAAACAACAGCTACATGGGCCCGGAATACCTGGAACCGACAATCCACCGTCAACGTTCTAGATCTCTGAACTCCCTCACCCGAGTCTATTCTCGACTCGCTTCTCACGCATCACACGCCGATGTCGTTGAGCATACATCGAGAGAACCCTTGTCGCCAAAGCCGACATAACTGCCTTGTGCGCCGTAGTTGAGCTGAACATACATGCTCTTGAGCGCCACCCCACCAAAAACGGCACGATTGACGTCGCCGCTCTTTTGGATGCCACCATAACATTTCTCGGTGTTGCCAGGTACAGGTCCGAGGTTGATGTGCTCCTTGGGGACGGTTCCAACATATCCACCTGCAGATATGAACTGGAAGTCGGGGATTCCGGATGCCAGAGAGCACGGGAAGATGTACTGTTGCAGGTCCGGGTCAAAAGAAGAGTCGGGAATCTCTGAATAGTACTTGGCCACCAGTGATGAAGGAAGCAGTAAGAAGCTGCTCCCGGTGTCAATCGTTGCAGTGAAAGGTGATGCAAATCGGAACCACACCCCGCCGCTCATGGTGCTCATACGAGTCTTGCTGACCAGGAAACTCCAGTCTTCCTCGCCGTCCATGGGTTGCTCGTTTATGCTCGCAGTACCCATCGCGTAGCCGAAGGAAAAGAACCCCTTTTCCGACTTGTGCCGCAAGTCGATACCAATCCATTCAAAGTGCAGTTCCGGCTTGAGACGGTCGAGCATAGACGGCGTGCTTGGCTGGACACTCGATGGGCGATTCTTCGCGATCCCCAAGACGCCGCTGATCTGAGGTTCGACCGCCCAACGCTGGTCGACTTTGACGACAGACTGGACTGTGGCGTTGATGAGGGTGAAGCGATTGTTGTCTGTCGAAAGGCCGAAACGAACCGTGTCGAGGTATACCTTGCCAGAGTTGGTGACGCCGTCCGCTATGGAGGGCTGGTCAGTCGCTTTCATGGGGCCATGGCCGGTAAGCAGTGACGGACCGTACGAGCTCGACCAAGTGGCGCCGAGCACTTCTTGACTCGACGTCGACTTTGAGGGGTCGTACAGTGTTGGCTTGCCGTTGGCTGCCTTGTCGCCAAATTGGGTGTCGGTGGTCATCAGCCAGCTGTTGTTTGTGTGAGTTGGAGGCTTTGCCGGGCGCACACCAATGGCATGGAAGGGGAAGGGGGGGGGGGGGGGGGGGGGGGGGGGCGGGAACGTACAAGTCAGAGCTTCCGGTGTCGATGATGACTGGGATCTTTTGTGAGTTTTCGGGGTTCCCGACGAATATATCCGTCAACCAATAGTTGCCCATCTCCCTGGCTGCAACAATGGAGGCTGGACGACGTGCACACTACAGTCAGCTTCGGAATCCTATTCAGCGGTCCTCTCACAAACAAGCGGGGGAAAGAGAGAAGGGGAACTTGCAGGAGTATCCAGCGCGCCGGGCCAATGTGTGTTTCGCGAGGGCCTCCGGAACGGGCATGTTCCACTTCTCATAGGCGGCCGCGAGGGCGGCTCCGTTCGGGACGTAGTCCGGGTTGGCGCGCATGGGTATCGTGAGGGTGTTGCGCGGGAGAGATTCCGGCTCGAGTGCGGATGCCGGGGGCGCCGTGGGGACGGCCTGCGCCATCGCCGACCAGAGAAGCGGGACGATGAGGAAAGGGAGCATGTTGGCGACTCTTTAGTGAAGGTTTCTTGATGACTTGAACTGATAGTGAATCCTAGAGACGGCCCTTTTCGATCCTGAAGCCTGGATGCGGTCTCTAAATATATCCCTCTCGGTACTACTCCCACCGACCCAGCTCCATTCTTCCAAGTGAGGTTTTAGTCCGGATCAGGAGCCAAAATGACGACAAGGCTCGTCAAGCTATGTTTGTTCCGCACAGGAATCATGTGCTGCATGCCGGGCTAGGCGACATCGCAGCAGAAGCAACGCGCTGTTTGTCTCCTCCTTTGTTGTTGTCGCCCATCGTCCCCCTGGGACAACCATGTGTCATTCGGCGCGGATCTGGCGGAAGCTCTTGTCCCGGTGCAGATACCCGCTGGCTTGCGAGACACCGGGAAGGAAGCCGACGGGCTGAGCCTACCGAGCTGCTGGTCATGGGTTCGGGCATTGTGTGCGAGCGGTACGAAGAGAGGCTGGGGGGAAGATCCGGAGGGAAACCGGCGCAGCGCTGGGCTCAGGTGTGTCTTCTCGTCACGGGGGTCTCACCGTACACCGTACACCGAAGGTGAGGGGGGTGCACAAACAGCATGCGAGCCTCGCCACGGCAGGCGGTCATGAGTTGTCTTGAAGGGGTCGACGGCTAGCTGGCAGGCCACGCGAATGGGGGTTACGCGACTGCCAAGTGATACTTCGCGGTATTACACGGCCAATATCCTCATTCCGGAAAAAAGAAAAACGCCCGAGGATTCTGCCGGTGTTCTGCCCTCGAACGAGGCTGACGGACCGGAAGCGTGGGCTCCTCCTCCCCGGGGAGGTATTCAGGATACGTTGGCGAGGGCGTGGTAGGACGGAAGGGGAAGGGACATATGTACGGCGCCGATGGGCGAGGCGGTGCTGCTTGTGACACGGACGAGATGGGATGGATGGCTAGACGAAGAACAACGTTTTGCTGTCGTAGTCTTGGGACCTCGGGCCGGTTGCGCGGTGAGGAGCCTGAGATCATGAGACCACCATCTTTGGACCGACGTGCTGAAGACGGGGGCGGACGGTGATGAGGTGTTGCTTCCTCTGTAAAACCATTGTGTTGGGAAGGAAAGGAGATGATGGAGTGTCCCTTGACCTTTGTTGGTAGCGGTGCTTCTCTACGTCACCTCGACCATCCAAACATGGTGGAGGCGAGGTGGTCGATGTTTGCTTCTCTTCGAGGCATCCGGGTTGCCTTAACTCGGGGGTTATCTTTAGATCGACATCACGTAGCACGCACGGCTCGAAATTGTGGTGGAGGAATGTGTCAAAGGCCACTAACCGGATCAAGAAGCATGAAGAGGAGCTCGAAGCCATGTCCGCGATGGACTCATCTGAGGGGCCAGGGTAGATACACTTAACGAGCAAAGAGGGTGAATGGACTTCCATCTAGAATTCTTTTGTAATTTCATTTCATCTGAAAAACGCCTTAGGTATGGGTTATGCTCAAAACTTCAAAGCTGAATCTCCTCTAATCCGATCCAGACTCTCCATCACCGGAGGGAACTCTCAAAGCTCATCGTGCTCCGGCGCATCCTCCTGGCCCTGGCCCTGCTGCGACTGCGAGAACTTCCTAATCATCTCCTCAATCTCGGCCTCGCTCGGGGTATCGTCGCCGTTGCGGCCGAATTCGACGTAGCTCCCGCCGTCGGGGAGCTCAACAGTCCGGCCGGCAGGCTCGGCGGTCGTGCTCTTGGAAGGGACAGTGGTCGTGGATTTCTCCTTCTTGGCATCCTTGGCAGAGGCAGAAGCGGTCGACGAGGTGGACGCCGTGGCGGTGGACTTGGTCTTCTTGGACTTTGCGCTCTTGCTGGCCTTCTTGGTCTTGCCCTCAAAGTTCTTGACGCCCTTCATGGCGAGGTCCATGCCGACCTTGTCCAGCTTGTCGCGCTTGGCCTGGAGGTCCTTGACGAGGAGGACGGGGTCCGCCGTCGGGGGAGAGCGTCTTGCTTCTTCTCCATCTCCTTGAGCCACTTGGTCGTCGACTCGTACACTTCCTCGACCACCTCGACGTCCTCGCGCTTGTACAGCGGCGGGACGGGGCCCTTTTCCTTGACGACGTCGTCCATCGTGCGCTCCTTGCTGCCATCGTCGTCCTCTAGGTCGTCAAAGTCGCTCGGAGGGGTCGCCGAAGGAGTCTCTGTGGAGGCTTGCGCGGATGCGGATGCCTGCCACGCGTCGTACTCGTCAAGCTGCTTCTGGATGGTGCTGACGAAGGATTGAGTCGAGTTGAGGGCATCCTTCAGAGCCTTGACAAGCTCGGGGCGCTTTCCTGCCTCCTCACTTCTCTTTTGGATCTTGGTGACGGGGTCGTTGAGCTCCTTGTACCTCTTCTTGAGGTCGTCGCGGGTCGCGTCAGCGCCCTGCTCGTAGAGCCAGTCGCTCGCCTCGTTGTTCTTCTTCTCCAGTGTGGCACGCTCCTCGGGGGTGGAGGCAGCGATGAAGGCTTCGTTCTCGAGGAGGTCGCGGACCTTGTAGGTGAAGCCTTCGAGCTGGTTGAGGGCCTCCTCTCTCAGGCGGCGGGCCTTGTCGGACGCCTCGAAGGCACTGAGACGGTCCTTGGACTTGATGAGCTCCTCGCGAGACAGCTCTGGGCGACCGGCCTTCTCGAGAGTGAAGTCGACGTTGATGGTGACGAGCTCCTTCTTCTTGGCGGGCTCCTTGTCATCGGCAGCAGCGTCACTGGGAACGGGTGACGACGAGGCGGAGGTCGTCTCGGTCTCGGTAGAAGCCGTGGTCGAAGCAGAAGACTGGGATGCGTCGGTTGACGACTCGGCGTCCTCCTCACCGTCGAGAGGCTTCTGGTCCTTCTTGCCGAAACCGAACAGGTTCTTGACTCCATCGACGAAGCCCTCCTTCTCAGGAGCCTCGGCCTCGCACTCGACACTAACCTTGGTCACCTCGACCTCGCCGTTCTCGGCACTCAGCTTGACACCGACCTTGAAGTGAATATCGCTGTCGGCGCATGAGTACTTCTCCTTGAGCTCTGCGACGGAGGCAGTGAGGTTTTTGGTGGTCAGGATCTTGGTGTCCTGCTCAGCGGAGCCGATCTGCTGGTAGAAGGTGACATCGAAGTCCTCATGGTTGTTGAAAGTGACCTCCTTGGGAGCACCACCCAGGGGGGAGATGGCGGACCACAAACGCTGGTGCTGGACCTTGTTCTTGTTGTTAGTCCACTTCATACCAGAAGGGTAGTTGGCGCCATCGGAGATGCGAATCTCCTTGACACGGAAGCTGGGGCTGAGCTCGGCGGCGCGGAAAGCCGCACCAAAGACGGCGGCCTCATCCGAGTTGACGTTGCTGCGGAGCTTGTCAGCGGCGCCGACAACCTGCTCCAACTGCTTCTGGACGAAGGGAGTGCGAGAAGCACCGCCGTGAAGGATGACGGAGGTCAGGTCGGAGAGCTCAAGCTGGGCCGCCTTGAGGGCGTTCAGGATAACAGCGTCGACACGAGCGGCGTGGCCCTCGGCCATCTTCTCAAAGTCGGCGCGGGTAAGCTTGTACTTGAAGTCGACGTCCTCATACAGACCCTCGAAGCTGGCGCTGGCTTGCTGGTTGGCGCTGAGGACGTGACGCAAGCGCTCCGCCTCCTTGGTCAGCTTCGCGATGGCACGGCCGTGGGCCTTGACCTTGTCGGCGTCGGCAGAGATCTTCTTGGCGCCCTTGGACTCGACGAACTGGGCGACCATGTCGTCGACAATGAGGTAGTTGAGCGCGTCACCGCCCAGAGTCCTGTCCCAGCCAGAGCCGATGACGGCGACCTCCTGGACGGTCTTGTTGGACTTGCCAATATCCTTCACGGTGCGACCTTGGAACTTCATGACGGTGGCCTTGGTAGAGCCAGCGCCCATGTCGAAGACCAGATGGTGCTCGGCAGCTCCTCCCTCGTTGATGTTGGGGAACTGGCGAGAGGTGGCGTAGTTGAGACCAACTGCAAGACCGTCGCTGATGAGGCTAAGGACCTTGAGACCAGCGAGTTCAGCGGCGGTCTGAATGGCGCGCTTCTCCTCGATGGTGAAGTAGGGAGGGATAGTCAGGACGATGGAGCGGACAGAGGTTCTAGAACCAGCAGTAGTCTCGGCGTTCTTCTGGATGCTCTGCAGCTCCATGGCCAGAAGCTCCTCAACCAACCATGCCTCTTCCTCCTCGGTGAAGACCTTGCTCTTGAAAGCAGCAGTACCACGTTCCTTGTTCTTCTCGAGCTGCAGCGCAGGGTGTCGGGCAGCGTATTCTTGGACAATCGGGTCGTCGACGGAGAGACCCAGGAGAGTCTTCAGGTTGGGGTAGACATCGTGGGGGAAACGGGCCGAGAGCGCGATGGCGTCGGAGCCGTAGAGTCTCTCGGGGTAGGCTCCGGCCTTGGGGCCGCTCTGAAGAGGCTTGAAGGTGACGGCCGAGATTTCCTTGCGGCGGGAGTCCTTGGTCAGGACGATGTCGAGAGGAATACCGGGCTTGACGAGGGCGGCCTTGATGTACTCAGTGCCGAGGTCGACACCGAGGACAGCGGAGACCGCAAAGACGTGTGCGGAAAAGAAGAAGACGCAGCCGAGGACTATCGTCAGCGGCGAAAAAGTGCGTTGCGCCATGGTGTGTGGTTTGCGCCCAATGGCGCTGTTGAGGGTGGTTGTGTTTAAGCCGGGCTCGTGTGCCGAGAGAACGAGGGCGGTACTAACACGCGCTCTGTCAGACAAGTCCCGGTCGTCAATGGAGACTTGGGAAGCTCGAACGTGCTATGAATGCAGGAGCCAAAAACCCAAAGACAAAAAGAGGCGAGGGGAGAAAGAGAGACGGAAAATGCTCGAGGCGATTGGCGACCCAGAAATACAGAATGGGAACAACGGAGGGTCATTAATGAAGATTCGTGAAGGTGTCCTCTACTGGATTCGGTGCCATTCCCCCAGTTGGGTCAGTCTCGGCAAGGTACCTTCTAGTGGATTACCTGTCCTGGCGAAGAGGACAGCTGTAAGGAAAAAAAAAAAAAGGCCGTGGCGCTCTCCTTCAGTGTAAGGTCCCCTGGCAAAGCTGCAAGGCTGAATCAACGATAAGTCTACAATTGGTCAGATAAGCTTAAGCGACGGGAGTTGGTGGCAGTTATTCCGGTAGAGTGGGGCCCCTTGGCCCAATAAACGGCATCAAGCCACCTAGCTATTAAGGGGCCAGCGCATATTCAACTGTTGTTTGAAATGACATTCGTTCGAGCTTTCCACAGACTGCACATTACCTAAAGGTTACGTGAAAAATGACACCATGGCGAGAGCGGTCAGCCACCGCCGACCCAACATCTCACAAACGACTTGCCTACGTCTGTCTTTCAACGTGACAGTTTTGGCTGCGTGATTGTGGCCTTGAGAAAGTAGTGCAGTTGATGTTGCAACCGGTCCAGCTTGCCAATACCAGCCGGCTTACTTCCGCCATAGGCATTGCGAGCCGCGTGTTGCCTAAGCGTTGAGCTGTCATCAACCCAAAGGTAAAGACACATTTCATCATGTCTGTGTATGTGCAAGACCCAAGAGGCCAGAGATCCCACTTAGGCGATCCAGGTGGCATAACATCCATCGATGATGTTCCTTAGTCGACTCTAGCACGCAGATAGCAGAAAGGTAGGGATAGCCTGAGGTCTACGTGCATATACCATCTCTCGATACTGCATTTTGTGTCTCTGTCGCTCTTGTCCTTGGCCGCTTCATTGCCTACCTGTTTTGGTGTTGTTGAAGGCTGACTGGGAGAAGAGAGAAAATTGCCCTTGTTTTTATGTTACTAATGTATCTGGCCCCTCTCAATCCTAAAGGTTACGTCGACCCATTGGCATCTTTCAGCCTCAACACCTACTACTCTGATCCGAAGTCGGGCATCATCTTATCTGTTCCATCATTTGGAGATCGCGGGGTAAAGAGCTACATAGAGTGGGGCGTCATATGGCGGGGTACCTTACAACCTACAATACCCTCCCAGTATTCAATCCATTTCATCCGACCCTCAAATACGAGACCGCATGTTGTCAAGGATAATCTTTAAACGTGGTCAATTTGTGTATAAATAAAACTCAATTCCCTACCCGTTTTGAAGCGGCGAGATTCGTGCCCCTCCGGAACTGCCAGGTTCCATACTTTAGCCATGGCTCCCGTAGACAATGAAGTCAAAGGCAGACTAGCTTTGGTCACAGGTGCTTCTGGAGGGTAAGTAGAGAGGCTTCTTCTTTGAATTGGATTTTGCTCATGCGGTATAGCATTGGAGGAGCCTGCGCCAGAGAGCTTTTTGCCAACGGCGCTCGTTTGGCTCTCACTTGTTCATCCGAACGTACTTACAACAAGATCACCGAACTCGCTTCGGGATTGAAGAGTGCCGCAAACGAAGACGTCAAGATCTCCTGCCATGTGGTAGACATGTCCTCCACCAAAGGCATCGAGAAGCTCTTCGAGCAGATCAAAGCCGAACACGGTCAAACTCCCGACATTCTGGTGTCCAACGCCGGCACAGCGGGCTTCGGCAACAAAGCCAACCCCTTCCTCGAGAACATTTCCCTCGAGGAGTTTGACTTCACTATCAACACCAACCTTCGGGCCTCGTTCCTTCTGTGTAAGCTGGCCGTCCCGCACATGGCCGCCCAACATTGGGGCCGCATTGTCTTCGTGTCGTCCATCTCTGCTATTGGCGGCGGTATCAACGGCTGCCACTACGCCGCCAGCAAAGCGGGTCTGACAGGCATGATGAAGAACCTGGCATCCAAGCATGCCAAGGACGGAATCACTCTGAATGATGTTGCGCCGGCGATGATTGGTGACACTGGCATGATTCCTGACGAGAAGCGTGTCGAGGGCACTCCTGGCGATGTGAAGAATATCCCAGTTGGAAGGCTAGGAACACCACAGGAGTGTGCGAATGTTGTCATGATGTTGTGCAAGACTGGTTACTTGACAGGGCAGAGTATTTTGCTGAGCGGCGGACTAAAATGAAACCCCGACATGTTGGCCGTCGACTCATGTCTCTTATAGTACCAACATCGCTATGGCCTTTGGCTAGCCGGTACATCGCAAAAGGCTCTTGTGGCGAAAGCATGGGGCTGGTTCTTCAGTAATAGCTCCCTTTTCTTCGTCAATACGAAGTAATGTAGCTATCCCCTGTCAATCATGGAGCAAGTCACGTAACCAGTGAGACTGCGGTAAATACTTCAGTGATGCCCAAGTTCGCTTACGATAAACCCGACTGCAAAATTTCCTCTTCTTACCAACGTCTTTCAATCACTTCACAAAGCGCCCATACATACAAAGCTTGACGATGCTCGTACAATGTTCCGTTTTTATAGAAAGGTTTAATTACTAGGTTGAAAGCATAATTATGTACTGTAGGTGTTTAGAAACAATTAGTCCTACAACAAACCCCAAGGGTATTCTGAACTCGAGTTTCTTCGTTGTTAGAAATATTTATACCTATGAATACGTTATCTGACCCTGCCAATAGGTGGTTTTACTGTTATTGAGCTGTGTTATTGTCTTAACAATCGCAGAAGTTACATTCTGGGTGGTGCTTCAAGTTACTCAACGGCCAAGATATCCTAGAATTACCGCTTTTAGTCTTGTCTCAAGCCAGATTTGCAAGGTACACACATAGCTTTCGGCAATCTTGTGCCGGGCAGTGTCTACTACGTAATATTCGCGCACTGCATATTACGAGTCATGCACCCAAGAAATCCAAAAGTATTTCATTGCAAAGCGCAAAGCCGAGCTTAGTTGTTGCTTGACCCGCGAGTCCAGGTCTTGGCATACGGAGACCGTCGAGCAAGACTATCGCTCGTGACAATGACTTTCGATGAAGCCATTCATCGACCCCAAGAGATAAGCACCTTGAACCGTCAGACGCGAACCATGTTGACGACTTTATTTCCGTCGATTAAATGTCGTCTCTCCGGGAATAACCCCGGATAAAGGACTTTGGAATCCTTCAGTCTAATTTACGTGGCTTTTTGGAAGAAACCACGAATTGAGGACAAGTGTTGACTCGGCACCGCTGCCGACTCCATCTAAGTGGCCTTAAGCCTTTACATCTTTTGCTTACATCTCGCACCATCTATCCATCGAGCCCAAGTTTCTTCCAAGAGAACAGATTGCAGGTAATTGTTGAATAGAAGCAGCTCGGAAATATTTAAGCACCGGCTATCCTTGGCATCTGATATATTGAGAGTCGCCCAACGCTCACTACAGCAACAGCTTTACCAACTTTATGCTCTTTTAGCCTTGAGCCATTATCTCCTCGCCAATACTTCATCAGCCATGACGACCTGGAAAATTGAGCCCTGCACCGTCGCCGACGCCCCGGCCCTAGCGCGCAACAACATGAGCGCCTTCTGGACGAACCCGAATTGGAACCTCCTCTGGCCCAAGGACACCAAGCTCGAGTTCCTCATCGAGCAGGTCACTGAGCGCATGCCCAACAATCTCATACGAGATCGCGCGACGCTGCGCCACCAAAAGGCCGTCGACCCGGAGACGGGGGCGCTCGTCGGCTACGCGCGCTGGGAGCTGCCGGCCGGGTACGAGGGGGCTGCTGAGTGGGCCGATTCGCAAATAGCGGACGTGAGCGAGGAGGAAAAGATGGCGTTCAAGAAGCGGTCGGACGCGGCGTGGTGGGAGCCGAAGTCCATGGATGGAATTGACGATTGTGTGCCAGAGAAGACGCGCATTCTGGCCGAGAAGCCATACATCAGTGAGTGATTTTCGTCAATGGCGAAACGGGCTGAGAATCACTACATCCGCTTCCATGGTCTGGTGCTTGGAGAGCCAAAGTTAACCCTGAAAAAAGGTCTCGACTACCTCGCCGTTCACCCGGAAAACAAGGGCAATGGGGTCGCGACTGCGCTTGTCGAGAACGGCATGAGGCTGGCGGAGAAGACGGGCGTCGACGTATTCATCTTGGCCTTCCCCGCAGGCTTGAACGCCTACAAGAGACTAGGGTTCAAGGAAGTCCATCGTGGGTATCAGGACGATACCAAGTATGGAGGCGAGGGCTACTGGGTGACTCTGTTGACATATGAGGTGAAGAAGGCAAGCTCATAAGCATGCATTGCCATAATGGCGCGGCTCGGTGACGAATGAACGACTTACAAGCGTCTGTAATTTTGCATGTATTTCAGCATGAGTACCTAAGTATACATAACCCGTCACGACATGTACATCCTAGAACCGTGCCTCAACCTTCTCCTCCGTATCCTGCAGCGCCCAGTCACTTTTCTTCGTGCGGCTCCTTACGGACGCCGCCTGCTGCGCCGTGAACCCCTTGGCCTCGACCGCCGGGTTGTACCCGAGCTTGTTGACCTTACCCACGGTCGCCGAGTCGACCTTGGGCGCCTCCTTGCCGTCCGCTCGGCGGTACACCGTGACCACGACAGCCCCGCCCAAACCCAGGTTGTGCTGCAACGCCGCCTTGGTGGCCGGGACGGCACGGTTGTTGGCCCAACCGCGCAGGTGCCAGACCAGCTCTGCGCACTGCGCGATGCCCGTCGCGCCGAGCGGGTGGCCCTTGGAGATGAGGCCTCCGGAGGGGTTGACGACGTACTTGCCGCCATAGGTGATATCCCCGCGGCGGACCAGCTCATGCGCCTTGCCCGGCTCAGCCAAACCGAGGGAGTCCAGCACAATCATTTCGTTGGCGGAGAAGCAGTCGTGCAGCTCGACGACCTGAACGTCTTTGGGAGTAAGCCCGGCCTCACCCATGGCGGTGCGGACGGCGATCTGCGTCATCTCGAAACCCATGAGGTCGATGGCGGAGCGGGAGAAAAGCGAAGGCGCGTCGGTGGCAAGGCACTGGCCCGCGATGAGGACGGCCTGGTCTTTGAGATGGGGCCGCTCGTCGAGGAAGGCCTGGGAGACGAGGACGGCGGCGGCGCCGCCGTCGGAGGTGGGGCAGCACTGCAGTTTGGTGAGGGGTGCGAAGATCTCGGGCGCCTTGAGGATCTGCTCGCGCGTGTAGACGTCCTGGAACTGGGAGTAGGGGTTCTTTGTAGAGTGCTCGTGGTTGACGCGGGCAATCTCCGCAAAGTCCTCCGCCTTGGCGCCGTACCTGCGTCTTGTTAGTGGCGTTCTCGAACGAGCTCAGCAGCCAGCGGCCATACTTCTCCATGTACTCCCTCCCGGCGTTACCAAACATCTGCGCAGCACCTGGGGCGTTGGTGAACCCCCTGGTCTCGGCCATCATCCTGATGGTCGTCCCCGTGGGGTTCTCGCGGTCGTTGAAGAAGCTCTGCAGCGACCCGGGCATCATCTTCTCGAAGCCGACGACGAGGACGCAGTCGGCGGCGCCGGACGAGACAAAGTTGCGGGCCATGGCGAGGCCAGTGGACCCCGTGGAGCAGTTGTTGTTGACGTTGTAGATGGGGATGCCCGTCATGCCGAACTGGTAGAAGACGCGCTGACCGCAGGTGCTGTCGCCGTAGCAGTAGCAGGCGACGCCCTGTTCGACGTCGTCGTAGTTGATCTGGGCGTCGAGCATAGCTTTCACGCCGGCCTCGAAGCCAAGCTCCGTGTAATCAACCTTGCCGCGGGGCTTGATGAACTTGGTCATGCCGACGCCGAGGACGTAGCACGGCGCCTTCTCGCGCTTCTGTCGGGGCGCCATGCTGTGCTGTTTATTCCGGTGATTTGGTGATGTGTCGTTGAGGCTGGGATAGCTTGTGACAACGGGCTGCTGCTCCTGGAGTCGACAAGTCAGATGCTGTGGATTGAAGGACGAGAGCTGCACAAAGTGGTAGAGCGGGCCGGGCCTAGTGATATATGCCCACGGCGGCTTGTCAAGACAAGACCAGAAAACGTACAACTCTATATAATGTGCTTTGCTGAAAACACCAGGTGAAGTTGCAACCTTTCGCCTCCCCCTCCTCCCATCCTCGCTTTGCCCCCGGGCCCCCGGGAAGAGCTTCTCCAGGTTTTCCACTCTTGATGGCACCCCATTTCGCCCCTCCGCGTTGCGCCAAAACAGCGCCAAAACACCACCCAGAGTGCCAGATCCAGTGCTAGCTCGGTGCTCCAAGGGAGCTTCGAGGCGCTGTTTGAGCCTGTTTCCCCGCATTGAAGAGTCTCCAATGCACCATCATGCCGAGGCCCTGGCCGCCGGGCGACGAGCTTGACGCAAGCTCCTCCTAGATTTCCGACCAATCACGTATCTTGCCGAGGTAAAAATCGGTCTCAAGTGGCAGGGGCAGAGGTGGCCCCTTTTGGTAACCTTCTCGTCGGACCTTTAGTAACGAGATGCTGACTCGAATAGGTGATTCAACGTGGTCAACTTCACATCTGATTTGGAGTCTGACCGACAGCTCCAGTAAGGGTCGTATTCGAAGTTGGATTCCAGTTAACACCAGCCACAAGTACCAGAAAACTCTGTTCACATCACACTGGGCTAAATCTGGGCAGGTACAACAAAGATACAGTTTGACTCGCTGAATTCCTATATTATTCGACATTAGCTTCGTACCTCCTCAGTCATTGCCATTTACTGTCCTAAAAGGGTAATTTCAACTAAAGTCTTTACTGGAAGCTTATTTTCTTGTACAAACGTTAGGCTTAACTCCAGTATCGTTGTGGGGTCCTGGCTAGGCCCTATAACAATACTGGACTATGAACTGGAGCTTGGTGAGTCTTCGTTAGCATAGATACATGCTAGCACTTAGACTTGGACTGGCAGCCCTCAGCCATCCACCTCACAGCAATTAGCTCATCAAAAGGTCACATTTTCAGTTATCTTAACTGCAATTCGAATCCTACTAGAGTTGTCGATCAGGCCCTTGGTGGTAGTCCAGTCGTTGACTAAACAACATTCGTTGACATAGGAAGAGCCTCATCAGCTTCACCCATCTTGACTCGGTACGGAAACTCATACAGAACTAGGTTTCCTCACTGCGTCTTCCCCTTCACCCACTCCTCGATTCGATCCTCAATCTCGGGCACATACAGCCACTTCATCTGGCCTTCTCCCTCTTCGAACCAAACTTCTTCTCTCGGCAGCTCCGCCATCTTGTCGCTCGGCAACCTCTTGTTGTTCAACATCTTTGTCAAAACCACCAACGCCCCCAACCTCTCCCTCCTGATCCCCTGCCAGAACCCAACCCCTTCCTCCCACCCAATCTTCCCCTGACCCTCTATCATCCTTTTCATGATAAGCGCCAACGTTGCCGCATCCTCCAGTGCCATCGATGCGCCCTGCCCCGTCGTAGGCGGAACCGCGTGCGCCGCGTCCCCCAACACCAGCACCCGCCCCTTTTCCGAGGCCCACCTCTCCAGCGCAGGCAACATGAAGAACGGCCAAACGTTCATCGTCTCGTCTCGTATCTCCTCGAGCGCAGACCTCACCACATCCGGCCAATTCTCCTCGTCTTTTCTCAGCCGCGCCTTCAGCGCCTCCTTGTCCGCCATGAGCGCCTCCCGCCCCAGCGCCGCCCGCTCCGCGTCGAACGGCACCTGCGTCCCCGCCAGCATCTCGCCGCCGTCGGCCCCCTGCGGCGCCAGCACGAAGACGCCGTTGCTGCTCGCCACGCTGACGGGGAACTTGTAGTGCTTGTCGGCCGGGACGCGGAGCCGCGCCGTGGGCACCGCGTACGTCAGCGCCGCGAGCCCAACAAAGTTCGGCTTCACGTCCGGCGCGACGTAGGTGCTCCGCACGCGGGAGTGGATCCCGTCGGCGCCGACGAGCAGACCCGCCCGCCGCCTGCCCCCGTCCTGGAACTCAAACTCCACTCCCGCCTCATCCTCTTCGACAACGCGCACGAACCGCTTGCCGTACTCGATGCTGACGCCGCGCTCGCGACACGCCTTGGCGAGGATCTCAATCAGCTCCTGACGGAAGATGCGCACGGCGTCGTAGCCAAACTCCTCGGCGCCGCCGAGCGGGTACCGATCGACAGTGGTCTCTTTGCGGTCCTTGTAGTAGACGTAGTCGAAGCTGTAAGCCTTGCCGAGGAGGGGTTTGTACAGGTCCAAGGAGTCAAGGATGCGCAAAGCGTTGGGGCAGAGCATCATGCCGCCACCGGCGTGGTGAGGAAGGGGCACCTCGTCGCGGGACTCGTAGATTGTGGCGGGGATGGAGTGCGTTGCGAACGAGAGGGCGAGGGCCATGCCTGCGATGCCGCCGCCGATGATGGCGACGTCGTCGTGGGTGGCGGGCATTGTGAGGGTGTGGGTGGGCCGAAGATGAAAGTGAACAAGTGCTGAGGTAAGGCTAAAGATTTGTGAAGCCGTACGGTATATGTGTGATTTTGGATGATGATGTGGGACTCTGTGTCTTTGTTGTCAATGAAGATGAACCTCGATATCAAGGAGCCATCTTCGTCCTTTATACCCGTCCGTCTCTTACTCTCGTCTCCCAACGGCTCACAAATCACTCCATCCTCCGTAAGCAATACATATTATCAACCCTCTCAAATGGTTCAGATCTACCAATCTTTTTCATTCAGTAGCATCTTCTCTGAAGCCACACATCCGCCAAGACGGCGCCGGGCGAAACCCCCTCCTCCTCCGTCTTACCGGCCCCGCTACTCGGCCGAGTGAAATACGAAATCCCTAATCGAGCATAGTCCCACCCGACCTCCGTGCCTCCGTGTCCGTGCCCCTCGCTCTCCTCTCCCCCGAGCGCCCAAACCACTACACTCCCACCGTCCCATTCCTGCTGCTTACAACATCCGAGTAAGCACTATCTCCCCGGCTGTACTTGTCTTATTCTTACTACACACCTCGTCCTCGTCCTCGTCCCTCCCAAACACACACCCGCCCACCCACGCGCGGAGAAACTCAAAGTCATTTCGTGTTTAGCCTCTCGATTCCGAGGTGTGCTTAGGTTCGCAAAGTAAGAACGAAACATCAACCTCGTGAACCCATCCTATCTCCCATGCGACGGCACCCCCTCCTCTCCTGCTTGATGTCGAACTTTTGCCCCCCCCCACCTTCAACTCGGCCGACTTGCGCGATGGTTTCGGGAAAATGCCGCAGATCCCGCTTACCTTTTCCTTTCCGTCTCCGCGCGCGCGAAATCAGAAGCCCCGGGCGCAATGCGGACGACGTATCATGTTAGTAGGGTTGAGAACAGAATCTGTACCAGACAGTGGAACAATCATACCGCCATTCCGACCGAGGGCGTGACCCTTGGCGGTCAGAACGTGTCCATAGTTCGCCAGGATCGCAGAGTACTGCTGTCGGGACGGTGGTGGCAGCCAAAAGCCACAGATACCTACCAGGGAGGAGGTTCTATTTCCGCCGGTGTGCCATAGTAGATGCCGAGCGTCCATCGCCTTTCACTGCTGGAGAGCATCGAGCTACTGGGCCTCCGGACGTGTCTCCTGTCGGCTGTTCCCAGCGTGCCCCCGTCCAAGCCCAACTCTTGACGGACCTTCGCATCGAAGAACCAAGTTGAGAGGTGCAGAGCTCGAGGGTGGGGGGGGAGCGGAGCGCGGCCCACGGGCAGTGAAACGTACGGCTCAACCAAAGCACGCCGACTCCTATCGTGCGTCGTGCTCTTTCGTGCTCGGTGAGCACCAAAACACCAAGAATAATCTGTTGTGACTACTTTCGCAGCCTGAACACACGGGCTTTCGGAAACTTGCGTGCTTGCGTAAGCCCGCCTTAGCGCCGGTCGTGGGGGCCGCAGCCCGGCCGAGAAAACTAGTCGCCCTTTCGGCTCCGTGAGCCCTGATGCTTGGGGGGTTGGTCAGCGATGCGAGAAGGATTGCGCCGACTCCGTTTTGCCCGTTCGGATATGAGGCCATTTCGGCCGATACATGGACAGTATGGCTGGAAGACACGATGGTATGAATCTTTGTTCGGCCGGTGGCGAGATCGTCCATCCATTTTTCGGGGGTGGTCAGCTCGTGAATTGGACAAGATATAAGACACCGTCGAGTCGCCTTGAAGTTGTGTTTGATATCCCTCACTACCAATTCACATTTTTTACGGATCCAAACCGCAAGAGTCTCTCATTACATCTCGAAACAGCTTCTGTACAGACCGCGCAGATACGGCATCTGAACCTCCGTCTCCCAAGATGCACATCCTGATACTTGGCGCATCAGGCCGCAACGGCGCCCTCGTCCTCGCCGAGGCCCTGGAGCGAGGCCACACTGTCACCGCTCTCGTCCGCGATCCTGCCAGCACAACTCTGACCCCTCACGCCAACCTCACTCTCGCAAAGGGCAGCCCCCTCTCGCTAACCGACCTTCGCGCCGCGATGCAAACCGCGCGCGGCGGCCCAGACGCCGTTGTCGTGGCCCTCAACGGCCGGCGCCTGTCTGATTCCCCCTTTGCGGCCCTCCACCCAGATACCCCTGCCGCCCTGATTCACGACTCGGTACGAAATGCCCTCGAGGTCATGCGGGACGCCTCGCCTCCGACCCGAAAGCTCGTTGTCAACAGCATGCAGGGCGCCGGCTCCAGCAACGCGAGCCTGATTTTCCCGCTTCGAGTGCTTATGAATCACAGCAATATGAAGCACACCATCAATGATCACAACGCCGTCGACGCACTCGTCAAGGGCGAGGAAGGGAAGGGCGTGGATTGGGTATTGGTCCGGCCGCCTATGCTCACCGAGGGCGAATCGTTGCCGGTCAAGGTGTATGGCGATGATGGCAGCGGAGTCGGTTGGATGCCCAAGATCACGCGACGGAGCGTGGCTGGGTTTATGGTGGACGCGATTGAGAAGGACGAATGGAACCGCAAGGCTCCAGTCATCACCAACTAAACTGGCGTGTATCGTTGAAAAGAGTTGGACCGGAATCTGCCCATGTTAGCCTGTCAATTGGGAAGAAAGAGGCCCCTGGTCCTCGGAGCCTTGTGTGGCAATAATAAGCATGTATGGTCCACCCATCCATGCCCTTCTTTTACATTCCTCCGCTGCTTATTGGTATCGTCGTAATATGTTTATATGTTTTCTTTTCGTATGCTCCTCCTTCATTTACTTTTGGGCCTTCTTGTTTACTCCTTGTGCCAGCATGTCCTCAAAACCGTCGGTCCCCAGCATCACCTTTCTTTGCTTGCCAGGCGCAGTATCTACACCTGCGAAATCAACGTGCTGCCCTTAACTGGCAAGTCGATAGTGTCGGTTTGCTTGTGCTTGGCCAAGACTCCCCGCCATGGACCGAGTTGAATGACTTCAAGGGCCATGGCTCTTCTCGTCCGCGAAAGACCACTTCGAGCTGCTGCCGCGGTATCGCCTCGTATACCTGTCAACATAACCCCGTCCGGCTACTTCAAGCAATCATGGTGTGAGGTCCAGGCGGTATCCGGGGCTGTTCGTGTCGCTGGACCGATGGATCAAAGACATCCTCTGCTCAACCCTGTGCATTAGTCGGAGGACCTGGGAGCATTGGATTCCAGGAATCCAGGTCCCAGTCCGCGTAATCATCCAGAGTCTGCCGACCATGCATCAGCCCAGTCCCATCCGTCCCACAGAACCCAGCCGCCGTAGTCACTTACCGCAGCCGCCGACGCATTCGCATGGAACATGAATGGCGCTCTCGTCTGCATGTAGGGATCCATCGAATCGGCTGGATTCTGCAGGGACATCTTCTCGGGGTTCGTGTTGGTGGAGGCTTTGCACGCGTCGAAGACGCCCTGCAGGCTACGTCGGATGTCCTGCAACTTCTGCTCCTGGTTCATTGACTGCACGGAGGCCAGCACAACAGCAAGCGCGACGATGTCCTTCAGATCGTTGCCGCCGACGTTGCGGACAAGCAGGTTGAGTGTCTTCTCGACCGTCTTGATCAGGCGCGAGGGCGACCAGAGCGCAAACGTCTCGGTGCTGAAAGCAACGCCGTCGTCCATCGGATCCGGAGACATGGCCACGGTAGAGGCGATTCCAAGCGTGTTGCCGTTAACGTGCGATTCGGTGGCAGCCTTGATGTAGAAGCACACGCTGAAAGCTGCCTGCAGAATGTCCTTCTTCAGCACCATGTGGTACATATCGCTGACGTCTTGGAAGTGGCTGAGCAGCGGATCGAGTTCGTCGAGGTACCTCATTATGACCATGGAGGATCGCAGGTAGGCCCTCGATATCTGTGACGGCGCATCCGGCAACCCCAAGGCGAACGGGCGGTAGAGGGCCAGCAACGGCCGTCGCACGTGCATGTCGAGGATGACCCTGGACCTCCACTGCTTGCTCTTTTCTACCTCGTTGAGAATGCCATGGCGGGGGAAGAGATAGTTAATGTCTTCCAAGAACCGGTCCAGCTTCGTCCCAACTTCGATGACTTCGCTGTAGTCCCGGATGGAATCGACGCGGTTGATCAGGTGCGCCACTTGCATTCGGACGCCAAGCGTCATCGCAGCATAAACCTGCATCTGGTTGTCGGTAAGCTGGTCGATGGGCTTGCTTGGCGGCAATTCCTTCATGTCGAAATAGAGATCGCTGTCGTCCAGGTTCCGGGGCGGCCTGCACGTGAAGTCTCCCTCGCGCACAAGACAAGAAAGGTTGCAAGCCAGCGACAAATGCAAATCCATGTCGAGGATAGTGAACCACAGCCTTCTTCGAAGCTCCCCAAAGAAAACCGGTACTCTGGGCTCGAATTCAGACGGATCTCGGTGCAAGCCCATGGTCATGGCCATGCGCACGATGTACCCCAACTGAGCCCACGAATCTTGCGGCCGCGGGGTAGTCATCCTCTGCGCGTGCACCAGCAGGATCTCTGTCTGCAATGTCGTCAAATCGACCAGCTGTTTGCCCTTGAGGCCGTCCAGCCACGACCTGACAAGCGCGCAGGCTGTTGGGATGTGCACGCCTTCCACACGCTCATGGCCGAGCCCCTTTGATTTCGTCTCGAACCTCGAACCGATAGACAAGACCGCCAGGAGCTGAGGCAGGAAGGCATCGCCCGGCAACTTTCCTTCCCAGAACAGTTCGTGTTGTTCCTTGAATGTGGGTACGTGTATCATTCGGTAGATAGTTTCGGATGTGTCGATGTAAGAGGCCAGTAGCCTGTCGCATACCGCCTTCTTCGGAAGGATATCCTGCATGCGTTTCTGAACCGGAATGACAGAGTCGGCAAAGACAGATATTGGGGACAAGGACTTTCGGTACTCTTCCTGAACCCGCTTGTGGAGTATTTGCAGGCCGTACATGATGTCTCGGATACCCTCAATCTTGGACTGATTTGCCATGAAATCCTTGGCGTCATCGAACTGGGAAGGGTGGGTTAGGGGTGCTATCTGAAGGTATTCAGGGCCTGGGAGAGTTACCAGATTCAGCAAGACGCGCACGCTGTTTTGACCAAAGAACCGTGTTCGTAGGGCGCCTCTCTTGACAGTCAGCCCTCGTATCGTTTCTGCTGATAGCGGCAAACGCTGACCAGTTCCGCTAAATTCCGTGCCCGCAGGGCTCTTTATCATGAACTGCTTCTCCAAGCGGTCCAGTCGCGACGTCAGTTCCTCCAGAGCAGCATGGCCTGTCGGCTCTCCATTGCGCAGGGGAACAAAGGAGGATTCCGACGGCTGTGGTCCCGAGGGCGTTGTCGCAGGTAGGCAGTTCCTCTTGGGGGGTCGCTGAACATCAGCGATCTCGGCATCGGAGCCGTCTGACAGCATGGACGAGTCGTGTTCTGCCGCATACTTGCAGTTGCGGTGCGACTTCTGGCACTGCGAGCATGGCAGGTTGCGGTCACATCTCAGCTTTCGTTTGCGGCATTCGGTACACGATTTGACGGGGCGCGGCCTCTTGACGCTGCGCGATGCCGAAGCTGCCGCCGCCGCTGCTGCTGCTGCTGCCGCCACCGCCGCCGAGGCCGCTGGTCCGCCAGCAGCGGGTGGTACAGGGATTGGCGCAGATGCAGGCGTGGGTACCGGCGCACCGGTAGCAAGAGTATGCGGAGTTGGTTGGGACGGGGATGTCTCGTAAGGACCAGCGCTGGGCATCGGGCCCATGGGAGCAACAGCAGCCAGGTTGGCGTTGGTGTGTAGAGTGGTGGTGACTGCGCCCATATCCGGGGCGGAAGTGGTCGCGGCGGCCATTTTTTGCCGTGAGTTACAAAAGTTCCAGGAAATCTCCGTTCGGCACCGGTGTGGGATATTTGCGGGTAGCGGGAAGACGGGCGACCAAGCGAAGCGAAGGTCACAGTACGACACAGCGCGCAGCGAGCACGCTCGGCGGCACACCACACAGCCTATGCGGCGGCGGGAGCGGCAGTAGCTGGCTTCGAAGGACCGAAGCTCCGGAACAGCCTGTTGAAGCCAAGAGCCAAGAGTGCGATTAGCAAGCTGCTTCTGGCAGTAGCAAAATCAACAGCTGCAGCTGCAGGTCGGCGCAATGGTCAACCTCGTGCTCATCGAAGGTTTCGTGCCTGGCCCGGGTTGCCTCTGTTCTGGTTCGCGGTGCGTGATGCTGACTCTGACTGGTGTCGAGTCGTTCGCGGACCATACATGCTGTGACTGTGGGTGAGGACAGGACGAGGGCGTGGCGTTGCGCAGGCGAGATGGAGCGGTGGAGCAACGAAGCAAGCTGCAACGGCGATGCTCTCTGTGTTGTTGGGTTTGGAGCTGGTGACTTGACCGTGGTAACAGTGGTGGTAGTAGTAATAGTAGTGGCAGCCCGTCACTATGCTCGTGACCAACGCGGATGGTGGGGGAGGGGACCGTTTGCCAGATCGATCTCTGAAGTGGTGATGCCCGAAAAGTGGTCTCGGCAAGGTCGTCAATGAAGAAGTTGAAGCTTCAGAAGAGATGGGAAGCAACAAGCGAGGAAGAAGGGGAAGGACGGGAGAGAAGAAGGGGAAGATGGACCAGGGAAAGGGAAAAAAAAAAGAGACCAAATTGCTAGTTGCAATGATCCAAGCTTCCTCGGGGCTTTGAGAGTGGTGCGGCGGTGCGGTGCGGTGCCGCGCCGTGTGGTGCAGTGCCTGCCTCGTCCAAGGCAAGGTAGACAAGGTAGGCAAGGCAAGGCAAGGTAAGGCCAGGTACGGACGGAGTCAAGACGGTAGGTAAGCAAGCAGGATGCTGTATCTGGGCTGGCGACCTTGGAGGTAAGGTGAGACTGGCGCGCCTCTGTGGCTCCAGCTTTAATACTCGTGCTTGTTACTGATACTGCCCGCTGACGGCGGATTCCCTGATCTCAAACCGCCCCCAAGCTGCGTGGTCTTGCGGCTTGGTTTGCCTAAGATGGAGATGAGGTTCTTCTCTGCTCTGCTCTGCTCTTTGCTGGCTCTGGTTCTCATGAAGAAGCATAGAGGTCGGGGAGCTGGGGTTGAGGTGAGGTGAGTCGAATTGAGTGAGTGGATGAGATGTTCAGGATACCCCCCAAGAAAGGAAAAAGTGTCGAATGTGCAGGGACACGGTGCCCTGGTCAGGTCTGGGCCTGGTCTGGGCTGGTTCGCGGTGGACGGGACGGGAAGTTTGGAAGGTTGAGGTAAAGGTAGGCCAGACAAAAAGAAGGCCGAAGTGGTGTGTTTAGTGATGGATTGGTGATCCTACACCCCCCTCCTTTCCTCGGTGGTTGTTCCAGGCCCCGTTTAGATTGGGGGTGAGGGAGGTCGGGATCGGGCAGGGTACCGAGAGGGTGAGGGTATCCGTACACACGCTGCCGGTACGCAGTCGCCTCGAGGAGGAGGGTAAAAGGTGGGATGGTGAAGGGCGGGGGTGAGGGTACGACTATCAAGCCGAGGGGGTGGATGGCGTGAAGACTTGCTTGTATCCGAACCAGAGCAGAGAAGAGTAGTGTATACTGAGCGTTGAGGTGAGGGTCGCTGGCTGGCTGGAGCTTGTAGGTAGGGTTAAAAAAGCGCCAGGCTCCAAGATGCTAGCTTCTCCAACTTTCAAGTCCTCAAAGTACTCTGTACACACTGTTCTCTTGGACTCCGTTCCTCCGCTTCCTACCTACCCCCGTCGCCCTTTTAGCTGGTGCACCACCACCGGGAATCTGGACAGGGGGTGCGATACTGCCGTCGAGAGGACAAGACAGCCTGAGCACAGAACACAGTCTGGGGGCGTCTTCAAGTTGACTTGGACAGGTCCAAACAGCGGGCGATGGTTCCTTCGAGCGCCATCAGTGCAGCGCAGATACGGATGCGCGTCCAGCGAGATGCCGGCAATAGCAACAGGCCTCGGTGCGAGATCGGATGGAGGGAGAGGACATGGGTCCAGCAGGTGGGCTGCCGGGGCCACAATCTTCGGGAGGCTGGGCAGAAAAAGACGTTCGAGAGCAGAAAAAGAGAGGGAAGCTGGAACCCGACGGTTCGACGACGGCCACTACCCACCGTGGTAGGCGGGGCGCCAGGCCAGAAACGCAACTAGCTACTGTCCCTGTATGCAGAGCGCGCCAAAGACCCAGAGACAGGACGCCGGCTGAGGGGCGCAACAGGGCCTGGAACGAAGCTGCGAGAGGGATCGGCGTGCTGGGTGTATACCGATACCCTTGCCACTTGTCCCTATTCGTGGCTGTATCCGTCGAGTTTGTCTTCCGCGTCGTCCTCCATCGGCTGTCCCATCGACATTGCCTTTCCCGATCCTTGATCCGAGCCGACGGGCCCTCTTGACTTTCCCCTCGAGCCTTCGCTTAGAAGCGCTTGGGTGGGGTCCGGAAATTTTGGTCGTTGCTTTTCCCACCGGGCGGGAATCCCATGTCTCGATGTTGCTGCCTTCGGGCTATATTCCAGGAGGATGGGCACGCCCGTGGAAGAGGACTGACCTTGCAGGCATACCTGAGGGCGGTTGTACGTGGAACAGACGTGCGTAATGTTGGGGCTTACCTAAGGCATCCTGACGACAGGAGGTACCTGGACAACGCCAATGGGAGCTGTAGTGTAGTGTAGTGTACTGCGCTGCAAAGCGATGAATAGGTAGCTGAGCCGATGGGCGCGCGGTCGGCATGTTCGATACATGCCTCTTTGTTTTGCTTTGCATCGCAGGCCGACGGCGTGTAGTCAGGATGATGCGAAAAGTCAAGCCGACTTACTGACATCCAGAGACAAACACAGCTCCGGTGTCAGTCAGTGCCACGCCCAGTTTGCTACGTAGGACGACTGTCAGGACTCGACAAACCTTACCCCAACAAAAATGGGCGTACAGTACCTACCCTCATCGCCTGGCTTGTACGACGAACGGCTTAAGCGTTCCCTGTCGGAGGACTTCCAAGAAGAACGCCCGCACGTGACATCCCAGGCAGAGAAGAAGCGCGTCTCAAGAGCCACTAATTGATGCCCGCAGAGGGGAAGACGGCCCACACTTCTCGGGGCTCACCAAGTGTCACCAACCGGGGTTTGACTGGCTTCGTGCAGTGCAGAGCCCGGATGTTCTCCCTGGCGCCCTTTGTCCACCTACTCCAGCTTCCCTCTCTTCCAGTACTTACCTAATGTGTACTTACGACCAAGCCGTGCTGTCTCGTCCCCCCGTCTTCAAAGTTGAAGGATGGATAGATGGATGTATGGCCAAGATGAAGTGCCAAGAGTGGGTATGGGCATACCTCGCAGTGGGCCTACTGCATAGCGTAAGTGGAAATCTCCCCAAAGTCGTCCATCCGTGTGCGCGGCCAGTCGTCGCCGTTTCCACCGGTGGCAGACCAAGATAAATGACAATGAGCCTGACAATGTCGCGCGACACGTAGTGTAGATGCCATGTCTGAAGCATCTCCATATTTCAAAGCTTGGATGGGCTTGTCTTCCCGTTTTCACTAATTGCAGGGGCGCCATGGGGCCGAGTAGCATATCCCGATGCTTCTCAAGACGTGGTGCTGTGCAGCAACAAAAAACAACAACAACAACAATAACAACAATAACGGCCCGTCGACAGGCAGTGAGAGTTTGGCTTTGTCGATCGTCGATTCGGCTATCCATTTGTTTGGTCGAACCGCCCGCCCGGAAGCCCCCTTGCTTTCGTCTTCGCGGCGCAGGCGTCTGGCAGTGCGCTGGGTTCAGCATGTCTGTATCATGTAACCTAACCATGGTGCGCGGGTTGGCATCGGCGTGCATGCATGTGCTGCTTTGCATCTGAAAAATCCGATTCCTGCAAGTGAGCTTCCAGATCCAAAGTCAAGCCACAAGCCAATGGCGACGAAGCATGCGTAAGTGTGGTGCGTCTAGATGGAGGGTGGTAACGATGATGAGGTGCGTCGAGGGCGTCATGCCTTCGGCCTTTGCGCTGATCAGTTCAGGCCACGGAGTCTAGTCCGGACGGAGCCCACTCACCCGCTCTGTGGCCTCATTCCTTTGCATCGTACGCTGTACCTCCACTACTCCTCGGTAGAGACAGAGAGCCACAGCTTTCGCTGCCCCCCCTCCATCCACTTCCCATCCCGTCTGGGAGACTATGATGGAGCACATACCACACCACTCATCACTGACAGGTCCAACCTTGAATGCATCACACCTCCAACTCGTGACATGATCCTTACCTAAGCAACTCAAAGTGAGCTACGTGCGAGGCTAGTCGTCGCCTCGCTGCACCGCACGTTCTGTCACTAAACCCTTCCCTGGAAACATTGCGAGCGCTTCAGGATTAGGTCTTTGGCCGGACCGTCCTGCGCGCTGTTGCTCATGCCTAGCGCCGGGCTCCTGTACGCTTGTTGTTCCAACCGCCAAGCCAAGCTTCCTCATCTGTCTCCTTCTTTGATCCATCCGTCGTCGACTGCACACTTGTCCCCGGTCCCATGTCGTCTTCGACAGCGGCAAACAAGACCCCCGGAGTGTGTCTGTAGCCGGGCGGTTGGCGTGCGTGTTCCAGACAGATTCATCCTTGTGGTTCAGTTTCTGCTCAGGTGGGGTATAGAAAGTTTGATCGTTTCCCTTCCTTGCCTTCTCGCCTCACGAGATCGAGTGTCGCGCAATACCAGTGCCTCGTCGGGGAAATCGTACGATAAGCCGGTCCTACCACCAGCGTTTAAGGCCGTGCGAACGACCAGGTGGTTTGGATGGCAACCTACAGTCCCATCCCAATTTCTGTACACTGACTAATTCTGCGATAATCAGCTCTGTGGACCACATCCACGAGTCTGTTTCCAGCCGCCCAGAGCTTTTGCGAGAGTATCGCGCGTCAACGGGGTCTAAAAATTCTGCCCCGCGATGCAGGCTGTGCATGCAGGCAAAGTTTGCAAACCAATTTCGGTCTCGCCTGTTTCTATACTGAAATAGCGCTCATGATCTCGGCTCCGGCCCAGGGTCACCTAGGGCTTAAGGTCGATCAATTTCAACCGACGGTTCTCTGAAACGGCCGCCGGCGCGGTGGGATGGATATCTGGATCTGGGGGATGGGTTTCATTTAGATAGCTTCCAAGGGAAATAAGGTGTGTCGGCTCCGTGTATTAGCAGTCCTCTGTTAAGACCGGCGACGGGAGACGGGAGCGAACCTGTGCCCGATCTGGACTGACAATCAAGATTCTCTGAACTTTGCAAGGCGTATCTGTGTACCTATGGTGCCGATGCCACCAATCGCTGTCGTAGAACGGTCTGCTCGAGACATGCAAGAAAAAGAGCGTCTCTCGCTCCGTGTGGGTTCACCGCTGCCGAATCGGCCGGGACTGTCTGTCTCTTTGGCCTGGCAGCAACTGGGGCTAGGCTTGGTTCGGTGTCATCCCCCCAGTCGACTCAGTCGGTCGGCCGGAACCCAGGGACGTGTGCCGTTAACGAAGAAGCATCCTTGTCGTGCACGCGCTGAAGACGGCAAGGCCAGGCCATGAAACTGGCACAGTGGCCAGGTCCAGCACGGCATCGGGTCGTAATAAACTAGTGTACCTACATAGGACCCCTCGAGGGTCCCTCCTCAGATTCAGTGTCAGCGACCCCCCATCTCGTAATGGGCAGTTCGCTACATCGGCTCCGAGCAATCTCCTCGTGAAGAGGGCACACGCACTGGCGTTGACGCGCACCGAAACTCCGGACGAATATCAAACCTTGAACCTGGGCTCGCAGCGACCTCGGTTCCGTCGTCGGGTTCGCGAACCATATCTGTCTGCAGTGTTGCTCCGAAACACGAAGGGAACATAGGTATTTCCAGAAAGGGGCTTTAGGCCAATGGGCAGTCTCCGGATTGTCTGCAGTGCATCTCTCTGCATATCTGGGCTCGCGTGAGACCCCTCGCTCCGCAACTCGGCCGACTAGCCGCGATGGGACGCTGCGGGTGCCATGCCAGTCGGGGCAGTTTGTGCGATGGGGTCAGGCGAAGTGAAGGCCCGATCATAGTGTAGGTAGGTTATGGGGCGATGGGCCGGCGTGCAGTAGGTTCTGTCGACGTCAAAGAACGTTGGGAGCCAGCCATCCCCATTCGGTCTTTTCCCGCAAGCAGTCCATGCCGATGCGGCAGATGCGGCATGCATTCCTCTTCGGTCCCGATGAACTCTAAGCGACGAATGGGTGGACTGCGCAGGCGAGACATGGAGGCCCGCCGCACGCAGTGATTGTCCCCTGAGCATCGTGTACGGCAGCCTGCCATTAATGGAAACATGGCTATTATGTCGGTTTGCATGATTTGGAAGGTTTGTTACCGCGTGGGTAGGGCTTTGGCTGGAAAGCTTCGTAGCACGGAGAAGCTTGTCATTTCGGCACAGGCTTTGCCGAAATGGAGGAAGACACTGCCTCGCCTGTGTTGACCACCTCAGAGGTTATTGACAGCGTCGTGTGGTTGTTGAGGGCGAAACGTCAAAGTGCGTCAGACGGCGACGCAGGCGGACCCAGAGTATACTATACGTGGCGGCAGTATGCGGCAGCAGGGTCGCATTCCAGAAAGCAGCGCCGAAGATGAGACTCGGAAGGCAAATGCTTGTTGTCGTTGCTGGCGTTCTTGGAAACGGGCACCATGCTGCGTCCATCGCATCACCAGATACCCTTGCGTGCGTGCTATGCTACCCCGGACCGACAAGGGCCCAAAGACAGGCTCATTGTCTGCCAAACCCGTGGGTGCTGCGTGTGTCAGGTCTGGAAGGCCAGTCTTTGAATTGAAATCTTTTTGTCATATCGAATGATGCGTAGAAATGGCAGTGCGTAGAGTCAGTCAGCTCGACAGGACTCCTCCCCCCTGCAGGGACGGCTTCCTCGACAGCCAAGACCTGCAGGCACAAGTCCAAGACGATGTCTAGGATGGTTGCTTTTTCTGGCGTAAGCTTTGGGGAAGATGATGACCTCGGAGCCGAGGAGGTGCCACGGTGCCAAACGATCCAATGACGGATGTTGGTGTTGGATGAAGGATTCAGTCTCATCTCCGGGGCGAAGACACGAGACGGAGAAGCATCTTGCGAAACGGAGGAGGTGCTGTTCAGCGTCGTCTAGAGACCAATAAGCAGATCGAGAAGGAGAAGGCGCCGTCATCGAAGATGCAAGGTGCACGGCGTAGCACAGAACAATCCACTTACCACCAAGGTAGGTAGGCACTGAGCAGGCAGGCAGGCAGGTAGGCAGCTGCTCGTTTGGCCGAAACGGGCATCGCTTCTCGCTTAGCCAGTGCCAGTGCCGTCGCTGAACATTACGAGCCTAGCGCCACGGGTGCCCCGAGCGCCCGGCGATGACAGAGCATGCAGACGCCCCCCTTAGCGCGACCTTCCTTGGGCGGGAATAACGGCCCCCAATCTTGGACGAAAGTAGCGTTGCATGCGATGCTCGGTGGCACGGTACATCGACAGAAGCTTCCATAGTAATCCCGCACCCCCTAATTCGTCCTGCCGTCGTCCATTGCTTACCAGCCACGTTTTCCTTCCCCGAATCTGATCTCCCAAGTAGTTTACGGTACATCCAAGACAGCAGGCGGAGTTGCGCTTGTGCGGCTGCGGCTTGTGCCTGGCCTTTATTGATACGTACAAATCTCCAACCACGTCGTAAAAAAAATTAAAAAATAAAAAAGAGTTGAAAGTCAAGCTCCATCGAACCCCGGCCGATACCTCGCGCCGTTCGAAGTACAACCCCCTCCCCCCGGTCGCGAACGCAAACCAGCGAATCGCTGAGCTGCGTCGGCACCTTATCCTCCTAAAGGTTACTTTCGTACACCTCGCCGTATCACATCACGGCCGAGGGGACAGGACGGACAGGACACGGCCAGCATCAGATCGAGGAACGCTCTTCTTCCACGGCCCCCTCCTACCCCTCGCGCGAACGTCCCAGGTAGCATCAGCACCCTTGGGTCACGTCGTAGTTGGATGCTGATGTCTCTGATCTGTGCTTCGACAACGCGCCCTAGGGTGACTAGGCTCTTCGCAAGCGTCGCCCTCGTGTAGATCTAGTCTCGTATACCATCGGGCATTTTTCGTCCAGCAGCATCCCGGCAACCACGTCTCCATCCCCCAGCGTCGTCTCGTCGCCGACATGTCGGTCGCCAACACCAACAACAATGCCAAGCCCCAGCCGCCGTCCAGGAGTCCCGCGCCGCGCGACGAGGCTCAGGTCGCCAAGATCCCGCACATTCTTCCTCACGAGCGCGTCTTCCCCATCCAGATAGGCAACGAGCTGTTCAAGCTTTCAGGCGCCTCCATTTCGTCCGATGGTGCGTTCACAATCCTTGCTATCCTCACCCGATCCTATCGACACGCGGCGGAACCATCGGCATTGCCTCGCGGCCCGTCCAAGACGCTGCCCGTCCGTGTGCGCCGTCTACAGCAGGCGTCAGTCATGTTTGCTGCTGTGCTGACCAGTCGCTAGCGCCGTCCTACTTCTCCCAGTACTTCTATTGCCAGGTCAAAAAGGCACAAGAGACGGGCGAGGACCTCTCCAACGCCATCCGCACCCTCTACATCGATCGCGACCCCCAGACCTTCGCCGACATTTCCCTCCATCTCCAGGGCTACCATGTCAAGCCTCGGGACGGCACGCACTTTGTGCGCCTCTTCGCCGATGCCCAGTTCTACAGCCGTACGTTCACCGAATCCAGCTACCATTCTTTTGCAAAGCCGGGCTAACACCTGTGGCAGTACCCAAGTTGATATCACAACTCTACGAAGAGTCCATCTTCATATCCATTGGCCACCGCGAGTTCCAAATACCCCGCGACATCTTCACCGATCCCGGCAACTCTCCCAACTTCTTCTCCCTCGGCTTCGCCGTCTTCTTCTCCAACCCCGAAGATCTGTTCCCTGGCCTCGAACGCGAGGGCCTCCTCCGCCCGCCGTCCATCTTGCCGCCGTCCGTCCCACACCGCTCCGCCGAAACCTTTGCCGAGATTCTGCACCTCCTGCGTGGATACCCCGTCACGATCCGCAATGAGACGCACCGCGCCGAGCTGCTGCGAGACTGCCGATACTTCAACTTCAAGGGCTTAGAGCAGAAGCTCATACCGCACCACATAAGCTACAACCAGAGTCGACGCCGTGAGGAGATTGTCCTGCGTTTGGAGGACATCTTGAAGAGCGGCATAAGCGTGGCAGCCGACGTTTTGGCCTCCCCGGGTGACCATCTGTCAGGCTGGGTCAACTATGCGCGTCCCTACGTCGACGATCGCGCGGCGGAGCTCGTCCTCGAAATCGGCGGCGAGAGCACCCGCATCCACTTCCAGGCCGGCGCCGTCCGCGCCGAGTTCTTCAGAGACACCCGCGCCCGCGTTGCACGCCTGTTTGAAGTCGTGGCCACGAAGCTGAACCTGCCGCCCACCACGCAGCCCCTAGGCCTCCTGATGGCCTCGGGCGGAGCCGGTAGCCAACCCCCAACCCCCGGACACACGCCGTTGAGCGAGGACCTCGTCCGCGTATCCGTTGACTCGGACACGTCCATCACGCTGGACGGCAAACCGTACACCCTCGACGCCGACGACCTGCATATCGCGAACCCCATGTCCGCGGCCTCGAGCACAGGCCAAGGCGGCGGGATCGAGTCCCCGACCGCCTCGTCCGCATTCCAGCCGAACTCTCGCAAGCGGAGGCGGGTCGACTCGCAGGGCCACGCGGCCGCCGGCCAAGCAGCACTGGCGGCCGACGAATGGGTTGTGCGGACGGGCCAGTGGAGGCTCAAGATTCAGGGGTCCCGGGGCGGCAAGAGCTCTGTCGAGGTCGTGCTCGTGGCCGTCAAGCTTGACGCGTACAGCTCGGAGAATGCCAGGAATGCGGCTAGGGGCTTCCTGAACGGGTGAGGCGGACCTGTCCGTTCGGTACATTGCTGGTCCTGTTTGCACGTTGGAGGAGTTGCTTTCGGACCTTGTTCATGGAAGCGACGTGAGGGGTGGGAGTGGTGGTCAACCCTCCGTGTCGCATGACGTTACGACTCGATATTGCTGTACATACCTATACCACGATTGGAAGAAGGAAAAGAAGAAGAAAAGGGGCGAGGCCGGGATTACATGATGTCCCTGGCGAAGACCAGAAGGAGGGGGGAGGTCATCTTGCTCACTTACGGTAATGTGTACATGCCTCTAACGAAATTTGTTCATTTTGCATCACCCACATGCCACGCATAGCTGTCGGTCACCTCGGCGTGTCTGTGAGGCCGTCTGTTGTCATGATGATTCCCCGTGAGAGGAGTGCGGCACGTCTATTGGTACGGCAGAGAAGTGCAGATTAAAGTAGCAATGAGGGAAAACGCATTAAAATGGGAGTTAGAGTAAGACGGCTCAGTGACGCATCGACAGAAGCCAAAACACCCCGAGCCGGTGAAAACAAAAACAATGAGACTTTCTTTCTTCCTGCCCCCCATCCCTAAACCCCTCATTTTTATCATAATGCAACAATCGCACAACCCAAAACCGGGCCCGTGGTCTGAATAATGTATGCATGTGCTCGCAATCGTCATGGTTTGGGGGAGAAAAATACAAACTCCTCATAAAAAGCAATTCCCCTCCCGGAGAGTCGGCCGTTGCCCCCTTTCCAGATCCGAAGCAAGAGAACGCCGTTAACTATGCAGACAAGAGGGTGCCGGCCGAACGAGGAAAAAGAAAAATAGCAAAAAAAAGGGGGCCCCAAAAAAAACTCCTGAGCAATGCGAGAAAGCTCCCGGGTATGTCAATCCCATGCCCGCCCGCTTGAACGCCTGCCCCGTTTTCCGTGTCGTTGTGCGCGTCTGTTGTTTATGTACGTGTCGACCAGCCAAACGAGCTGCGCGCGAGCGAATCCCGTGTGAGCCTCCAAAGACGGTCCCGCACCGTGTTGCTATGCCGTTCAGCCGACTGGAGGTCGATGTTACCGTTGGAGTCGTGCGGGACGACACCCTCACGGAGCCGAATTGTGCCAGTGTGGTCCTGTTTTCCGCTTGGCGAGCCCGCCCCGGACAAGAAGGAACTCTACGCCTTCACCTTGGGAATCGGCTGACCGGCAGGGGCGCTAACATCTCGCCGTTCGCCGGCGCCCTCAATCATCTTCTTGCGGGGCGTCGCGGTGCCCTGCGCGATGGAGCGGGCGCGTCCTCGGCGTTCACGGATGCGGGCCAGGGCCTCCTCGCGGGTCATGGTTGGGGTCATGGCAGGGTTGTTGATGTCGAAAGACATGTGACAATCGCCGCCCGAGGGCGTGCGGCCGCGTTCGAACTTGGGCTGCGGCCTTGGCTTGTCGTCACGGATGGGGACCGTTGTCGTTGTCGTCTTGGTGTAGAACGCGGCTGCGGTGTGTGGGCGGACGGTGTCTTCCAGAGTCGGTGACGGACTTCTCGAGGACCGGGATGCCGGACGTTCGTCTGTGTCGGGCATGGTGGGGATAGAGGGGAGAGGTGCGGTGTGGACTTCGCCATCAGTGCCGCCGTGGGGAGCATTGAGGAGGGATGCCAGCGACATGCGCTCCTGGGCGAGGACGGCAAAATCAGGGGGTTCGAGCGAGGGTGTGCGCGAGAACCTCAGAGGAGCATCATGTGGAGTGGGAGGCTCATTGGGAGACCCTACGCTAGACTCATGCTCTTGTCTCTCCTGTTCGTGCTGAGCCTCGATCTCGTCGGCTTCTTGTTGCGACACGGTTCTGAAGATACCCTCTCGGGGGCAGAAGATGGTGCTCCGGCGCTCTTCCCTTGACCGTCTGGGAGCCTCGGGCTTCTTGAAGGCTTTTTCCTCGACTGGGGGGCTCCTTGAAGCCCTGAGCGACGGGCGACCCTGAGAGGACTCCCTACCTCCGCGAAGGATGACCAGGTCACTGGCGTCGGCGATCTCGGCCGGCGGCATCAGCCTGCGCCTCGGTGACATGATGCTTGGTCTGTTGGAAGCCAGGCTCTGTCTCGGGGAGAGTATGCTTTGCCTTTTGTGTGTTTTGGCGCAAGGGCAGCATCGCAGTTCGCACTCGGCCTGCAAAAAGTCGACCAGTTCGTATGCGCGGTCTGCGCGTTGGCGTTCCCAAGAAACTTGGAGGGAAAGCTCCTCAATTTCCCCCTCGCTGGCGGCGGAAGAGACAATGTCGACCGTCGAAAGCGAGAACCGCGGTCCCTTCTTCTTCTTGGGTGACGCAAACTCGTCGTCGGGTGCAGCGTCGAACGCTTTAGGCAACGGGATACGACCCTCGGCGGCGATGCGAGCAACTTCCTCCTCCTTGGCCAAGGTCTTGTAGGCGTCACGCTCCTGTTCAAGCAACTTGATGCGCTCAAAGGCCTCGCCGAGCTCCTGCTCCATACCGACCATCTGATAGCGGGCCTGGAAAGCCTCCTCTTCACGGGCCTTGGAGCGCAGCTTCTCGGCGTCGAGGTTGTCCGAGGCTAGGCGCCAGCCTTCGCGGGCCGACTTGAGCTCTTCTTGGAGTTTGATGATCTGGGACTCGTTCTTGAACGTCTTTTTGCGCGCAAGCTTGATTTCCTTCTCCCACGCTGCTTTCGTGTGGGCGTAAGTTTCTTTTGCGCGGCCGTATTGTTCCTTGAACGGCAAGTCAGCAACTTTTGGTACCCCTCGGCGGCGGCAGAGGCAGATGGCTTACCATGACGGTCTCGAGACGCTCGCTGACGCGCTGCTCTCGTTCCTTGCCCTTCTCCAGCTGAACCCGCAGCACCTTGGACTCGTCGCGGTAGCGGCGCAATTCCGTCTCGGCCTCCTCGCGCCCCAGCATGGCACGCTTGAGGGCGGCGTCGGCAGTCTTGCGCTCGAGTGTCTTGGACTGCATGGCGAGGTTGTTGAACTGGGAGATCTTTTCGTGGACGGAGCTGTCACGGCCACCGGGGCTGCTGCGAGGTGATGTGAAGAGGTTGCGGGCCTGTTGCTTCTGGTTTGCGCGGTCGGGAGTCATTGGGCTAAGTGGCCCGCCCGGCGAGGGCGGTTGGTCGGCGCTGTCGGCCATTGTGAGAGTGAAGGTAATGCTGTGTTTATCGAGCGGTGCGCGTCATACAGGATTGGAGGGCTTTTGGGATAGGTAGTGGCCAGTATCTGCTTCGGGTCCGGAGGGAGCTCGAAGGCAGCTTTGCGTGTGTCGTGAAATGCGATGGATGACGGTGGTAGCGTCGGAAGAAAAGGAACCCTTGATGGAGACGGTATCATGTAAGGTAAGTTAAAAGGTGCATGTAGCTGTCTCCCGGTCCAGGTTGTAGGGTGGGAGCAGGTCGACGGATGTTTACAGTGCGGGCGCTGGTCCTGCTGCAGGCGGGTTGTCCAGGTGACGCGGATGGATTGCCCTAGCGAAATGGTTCATTTGGTGTCGGATATTGGGGCCGTTGGCGAATGACATAATCATGCCCACCTTTGGGCGAAAAAAAGGATGGTGGCCCAAAGCTGTAGGTAAGCTACTTGATGCGGTAAGCAGCAACTCTACACAACGATACCCCCGAAAAATCGCAGAGCTAGGCGGTGCAATTGAGCTCCGTCACCTTTCGGCCTTGGTACGCTTGGTGAGATACCTTAGGGAGCTGGGGATATGATACAACGCTGCATAACCATGCTTGCCAGGACTGGAAGAGACGATGATGGATTAAATGACCATGAAATCCATCTGCGACGGGCTTCGGCGCCCGGCGCAGAGATCAATGGTTTCTGCCTGTTCCATCTAAAGATTTCCCAACCTGCATTGTGTCGTACAAGTGGGTTTCTGCTATTTATCGACCAGGGTCACAGCTTCTGGAAGCTCGAGGCAAAAGAACAAAAAAAGGCAACCCAACGATGGCCTGTAAACTCCAAATCTCTCATAAGCGACCTCAGTTAATTACACTTTATTTGTAACTGGTCCTTCTCCAAAAAACCCTCCTGCATGTCCCGACTTGTCGAGGACCCAGAAAGGGGGACGTCCCCTTCGGACGGCCTGGATCCGCCGCGGCCAATCACACGCCGTCTAAAAGTCACTTTTCGCCCTTTTGGCGGCTTTGCGCCCCCCGTCCTCGCTTTCGGCCTCCACCTCATCACCGTTCCGGCCGCCCACCAGTCTGCCGCCGGCGGAGTGCAGAGAAGACGCAAAGTGCTTGATTGTCCGCGTGTCCATCCACTTGCTTTTTCTGGTCTTTTCCAGAAATGTGTCCATAGCTGCCATCTAAACAGGCCACATTGACACCGTTACGGTAGACAGGGGGACTCTCCATGTTTAGCGCAACTGCGTGCCGATCATTCGAGTACCGGTGACTTAGCTTTTCAGTCGTGCCTTTTGTAGCTTCGGCATCTTCGCCAACTACATCTCCAACTGTCCCCCTTCCCCCTCCCCACCGAACAGACACGACCAGAGCCATGGCGGAGGACACGATAAGCGTGCGCCAGCGCAAGCCGGTGCAGGAAGTTGAGGACGAGGACAACCTGTTCGCGGGTACCCCGGCCGAAAACTCGCGGGGGAAGAAGAGCAAGAAGTCCAAGAAAGCAAAGGGCGAGACGGACGTGTACAGCCCCTACGTCGACATCCTCCGCGCGCTGAGCTTCTTCTTCCTCGCCTCGTGCGCGCTGAGCTACCTCCAGAGCAACGGTGAGAGCTTCTTCTGGGGCCAGAAGAATAAGCCCTGGTACATGCGGCCCGACTACTGGAAGGCCAAATGGGTGCGTACATTCCCCTCTTCCTGCAGACAAAGCCAATCACTTCAGACGGCCGTAGCTGACGCATACCTCTCCCGCAGAACGGGCCCCTCTACCTCACTCCCGAAGAGCTCCTCCAGTACGACGGCTCCAACCCCGAGAAACCCATCTACCTCGCCATCAACCACACAATCTTTGACGTCTCGGCGAACCCGCGCATCTACGGCCCCGGCGGCTCCTACAACGTCTTCGCGGGGCGCGACGCCTCGCGCGGCTTCGTCACGGGCTGCTTCATGGAGGACCGCACCCCGGACATGCGCGGCGTCGAGGAGATGTTCCTGCCGCTCGACGACCCAGAGGTCGACCGCCACTGGTCCTACGCCGACATGCAGAAGCTGCAGGAGGAGGAGCTGGCCGCCGCCAAGGCCAAGGTCCACGACGCGCTCAAGCACTGGGTCGACTTCTTCTCCAAGAGCGACAAGTACAACATGGTCGGCAAGGTCAAGCGGGACCCGGACTGGCTCGAGAAGGAAAGCAAGAAGAAGCTCTGCGACCAGGCGCAGAAGGGCAGGGTCAAGAGGAAGGTTCCCGGGCAGGAGAGCCAGAACTGAGAGAGGGAGAGGCGCATTGTGCTCTGAACGGTATCTCTCGTCCATTCATATAAGAATGCGAATTGTGGCCAAAAGGCTCGTTACCTCAGCATGGCTCCGACTCTGTGCACCGAGCATACGTGACTTGTTACCTTACACTTATAAGGGTGGAACTGCCTTGTTCCGTATATGAGCATGTCTTTCGCCAGGCTTCCTGCCGAAGAGGCTTGCCAAATGCGAGACTATGGCTTTTGTATTACTGATCGACCTTGAAGTTGGCAAGACCCTCAGGGTCAACGGATCCCTCATTCACAAGCGTCCCAGTCCACGCGCGGTTCACCTAATACAGGGGAGGCACAACAGGCAAGCTAAGGTGAGCCGCAACTATCAAACGCATCTCAATCAAAGCTACTCAGTCAACAAGGTGGTCGATGGCCTCTACTGTGTCTGCTGCCTGCCCGATGGTTGACTAGGGAGTTGGCACTAGCCTTATGTCTCGTCGGCCGATGTTACTGCCTACAGTTTCCCGTGTCAGAAACATTAAACTCTGATATCATATCTCTCATCATCGGCAGTTTGTATGCTTACGACTAGGAAATGCCATGTCGCAAGCAAGTGGGCGGCACAAGTCGACCTCGTCGTCTCGCACAAGCGCGCGAGGGCCGAACCCTCGGCGAAGAGACGTTCGCTTCGAGTTACAAGGGCTTCCTCCAATGCCACACTTTTCATACACTTCCAAGCTTAAAGCATTTACACAGTGCCCCTATAACTATTCTTCAAAGTGCCTTTGGAGTTCTTTGCTGGCACGCGCACGATAGCTCCGTGATGGTTAGTCAGTATGTCGATGGTCTCACTAAAAACACTCGATTACCGGAATCAAAAATCTCGATTTAGATGCTAAAGCAAGATGTACAGTTCTCACTGTTTTCAGCGTGAACCTCATATCCAGAGGGAAAAGTCCCGTCTAAGTTTTTAATTTTCTTGTACGTCCCCCCATCCGCCCAGTCCGAACCGGCTGATCCAACGTTCCGAGAACCTCAAGATCCAGCGCTAGAAATATGCATGCCTCCATGAAAGTAGAAGAAAAAGTGAATGGTATTAAGTTTCGTCGTCACAAGTGTACACCGTAACCAGAGCCCAACGCCCGGCTGAAGACCAACCCCCAAAGTCCTTGACTCTATTGTCGCGCCAGAGACGCTTCTTACAGGAGCAGGAAGCCGGCACCGAGGGCGAGCAGGAGGGAGGCGGGCGCGCTGAGGGAGACGGCGCCAGCAGTGGGAGGGGAGGAGGGGGTGGCGCCACCAGCACCACCGCTGTTGGAGCCACTGCCGCTGCCGGAACCGCTGCCGGAGCCGGAGCCGCTACCAGAGCCAGTGCCGCTGCCGGCACCACCGGTAGGAGAAGCAGAGCCACTGCCGGAGCCGCCTGCAACACCGCCAGCGGGAGCCTCGGCCTTGGCGACGGTCTTGGCGGCCTTGGCGTAGTTGTCGAGAGTTCGGGTGGCATTAGCCTTGGAGCTGTTTTAGGCTGTTAGTGACAATTCTCTAAATCGTCTGTGGCGATGTGGTTGCGTGGCCATGCCCATACGCCTCTGGGTTGGCCATGTCTCATCGTCCGAAGGATGAAACATGCCATGGTCCGAAGGCGGCACACGTGTCCAGGTGCGGGCCCCGACTTGACAAGTTGACGTGTGCGGCCGGCCAACCGAAGAGACCAGCAGGCAGAAAGCTTTGCCAGGAAAACCCCATGATTCCAGCAGAGGAAGGGAAAGAGGGAACAAAAGTGCCACTTACTTCTCGTTAATGACCATAACCATGCCGTTCTGGCAGTGCTTGGCCTGGGAGCAGTACAGCCACATGGGTGCGGTGCTGCTGACCATGACGGTGAAGACGGGGATCTGGCCCATGGCGGCAGAGGCCGCGACGGGCTGGTAGCCCGAGTAGAGGCCCTTGGCCGAGGTGTTTACGCTCGAGATGGGGATGCACGGGTTGTCGAAGGTGGACTGGACGACCGAGTGGTTGCCGCCGCGGAACTGGAACTGGACCATGGAGCCGACCGGGGCGTTGATCTTGTCGGGGAAGAACTTGAGCGTGTTGTTGGTCGAGGCGACGGAGACGACTTGGACGTCGACGGCTGCAGGTTTGCTGTGTTAGTCTCCCGTATCCGGCCCTATCCCCCTCTCGCATCTCGACTTACCCGAAGCAACGGCGGCCAGAGCCGAAACAACCATAGCTGAGATATGCATCTTGATCGAGTTTTTGATTTTGATAAACCGGTTATAGGAAAAGCTTGTTGTCGAAGACGAGTCGAAAGAGTGACGGTACTAAACGGTTGGAAGATCGAAGAAGCGACTCGCGCTTGGTAGGGCTAGCCTGTGAAGAAGTTGAAGAATTAAGAATTCGCGAAAAGAGGTAAAGAAAGGGAAGAAAATAGGAAATCCCGCCTCAAAGTTGTTTGCTGATGGAATCTCTAAAAAAGAAGAGGGTCGGTCTGAGAGGGAGGGGGTGCGAGGGGATGGCATGAATTTAAGCAGCCTTCGGGGATCGTCCCAAGAATCGAGTCCAGGAAAAAGTCTCGACAAGCGCAATGCCAGGCACTCAGACCCCTGGCCGCATCCATCGGGCGGCCTGTCGTCTGTGTCGTCGTAGTCGTCCCTCATCGTGCATCCGAAAAGAGAGGGACCCCACGCGCCCCCGGCCGCCGCGCGACATCGATAGACAAGGGGCGAGGGAGGGAGGGATGAAGCATGGGTGGACAGGGCCCCTTTCGGCCATTGACGTGTTGCACCTGGGAGTTGAGGCGAGGCGAGGCGAAGCGAATGGACGTTGGGCGCAAAGGGGGTGAGAGGAAGGAGGAGGAGGCTGATGCAGCGTGGTTGAAACACGTTTTGACCATCACCGCCGGGGTCATGGGTGTGAGAGCCTGCACTGCATCTGGACCTGCGTACCCGCCGTACCGTCTCTGCCTGCCTTGGGCGCATGGTTTTGGCCTGTTGAGTCTGCGTGCCCAGGACAATGAGAAACACATGAGAACCCGGCCTTGAAGGAGATTGCTTGTCATTTCATTTCCCTGGCCAACAATATTTTTTTTGCTCTATTCTCTCTTGCCGCTGCGGTGCCATGGCTCTGCTTGCATCCAGCATACTGTAGCCGTCGGTGGTTCCTGATGGTTTTTATTTGGCAACCACTTTACGGATTTAACCTATGTGGACTACTGCGTAGCTTATAACAAGTACCCAGTTCGATGGGGTTTCTGCAGGGTTGCCGTGTAAGAAATCCTTGTCTGCCGAGGGGGCTTGTCAACAGCAGATGGGTATGGGGAAGACCCCAAAGCCGAGCGCCCCAAGCATAAAATACCAGCATGGACGATGGGAGCCGTCATACCCGAGTACGGCTCTACCACCGTTTCTTTCAGAAAGAAATGAGAGGGAGCTGGATGCGTAGATCCGAGAATGCTACGACTTGGACGGTACCCGACGAAGAGACAACCTGAATTGAGAGAGACAGAGTGAGAGAGAGCTTGACTGACGTCGCGGGGCGTGCCCACCACGCCACACCACACCAGGTCAACGTCAACTAGTGTAATAACGGCCCGAGAGGCCTTGAGACAGGAAAAAGCAGAATGGTTGAACCGGCAATTGGGTTTTGCGACGCTCAACACGTAGTTGCGGCGCACGCACTAACCACGCCGATGTCATGAACTATAACGTTGATAGAGTTGGGACCAGATCAGTCTTGACAGGAAGGGATAGAGACAAGAAAAGAACACAGGCCGTAAGCGTGGTTCGTCTGCTCGTGGCAAGGTTAGAGAAGGAAGAAAGTCATCTCATGATTGATATCCCGCCCGTCAAACCCCCCCCCCCAAACCACAAGCGCAGTCACGAACGCGCACACCTCCGTCCCCGTCCGCAAAACCAAGGCCCGTTAGTTAGTCAGTCGCCCGTCCAACATCAGGCCAACAAGTGAAGAAAGTAGAGTGCTTCACAGCCGAGAGGGAAGAGGCACCGGGCGGACGGCACAAGCCCCGCTGCAACTCTGCAACAAGCCCAAGACGGATCACGGGGCAACTTGGCTTCCCCCAATATCCCTCCTGGCCTGGCGGTACCGTCTTGACTTGGCGGAGAGACATAGAGAGAGACAGGAGAATGGGAAATGTTGAGACTGGTAGCGCGTGTCAAACCAAGTCGGAGGACCTCGAAGCCGAATTAAGGTTTTGGTCCGCACAGCGAACCAGAAGACACGCAGCGACCCCCCCATCCCCGTCACTGTCCCCAGTAGCAAGGCCTATACCAAAATCCACTGGTTCGACGTGCTCCTCCCGTCATTGGCCACAGGGCCACCGGTGGCCGCCCAAAGAGGCTGGCGCTCGGATGTGCTTCATTCCCCTTCAGCCCTCTGACACTTCCGTAACGCACCCTGTTTCATCCACCCACTCTCAGTTTGTCCGTCTTCACTGCTCTTCCTCCATTCACGAACACCACTGCGACCACGGATTTCCCTTCCATGGCAGCAGACCATCCGTCCCGTCCTCCGTCCTCCTCCCGGACCACCTTGCGTCTTGGCCCCCTTCTCGACCATTTGCCCCCCTCCAAATCCTGCCCGTTAGCGCAGGCTAGTCGCCCGTCATCCGGTGCACCGCGTGTTCTGCCCTGGCGATATTGCCTACCGTCTCCGCCACCCTGGGGCTCCAAGGAAAATTGTCCGACGATACATTAACTGCCCACCCAGAGTCGACATCAACTACCTAACAGCACACACCCCTGTTGGTCCTTGATTCCAATTGCGGCGTCGTATCGCCGTTGCTCGTCGTTGCTCGCCCGCTCTTTCTTTTTGTCAGCCCGGGCTCAGCGAACCCGAACTAGGTAATCCCGTCCTAGATACCTACTCGACTCGTCCAGCAATGCACCCGAACGACGTCATACCCTCGCGCTGCCGTCGCAGGAGGCAGAATAGGACAGTCAATGGAGAGACATTGGCGTCTGATGTTCTCGTCCTTATCCCCTGCTGTCGTTCTTCTCATGCAGTCCCCTTCCCTGTCTGGCCAACGGTCGCCTTCCAGCGCGTGGGAAAGGAGAGCTACCCTGCCACCGTTGCCTCTCTCGCTCGTTTGCTCTCTGTGCCCGAGGAACGCCGACGCTGTCACGAGTAATACCAGTCCCATCGGTCAGCTTTGTGTCCGCAAGATTCGCTTTCCAGAGTCCCGATATCCAAAGATATCATCCACGCGCCCACACCAACGTACACACCGCCCTGGCTTGATCCTTCTTCATACCAATCAGGCACCTCTTCATGGCCCTTTTCCCCTTCAAATTGGTTTCTCTGATCGACGAGCATGCCTCGTCTCGTGATTCGTGACACCACTGACTTACTCACCCATCACAGCCCGCAGTCCTAGAATAACCCTTTCCCCAGACGAAACCAGGATGCCTTGGATCTGCAAAACTTGTCACGTCTGTTCCGTCCCCCTTCCGCGTGGATCTCTCATTTCCCCCTTCAACCATTAGAGCGTCCTTGGTAACCAAGCGACCCTCGGCCAGGGGTCACCGCACGGAATATACAGCTGCTTGCGGCCAGCAGGGCCAGGACCATATAATCGCCTGGTGGTATAGCCTGCAGGACCCTCTTTCGCTTGCCGTCTATCCGGCCAAAGACTGTTTCTCACCACAAGTATGTTGAAAATCCTTTTGCATGGGGACGACTCGCGGTATGTCGAAATCTGTTCGCCACCCCCCGTTGGGCCGCAGAAACGAAACGCTCTGATCCTCATCAATGAAATACACCTGCCAGAGCAACCGCCAATCTTTCCGACTCGAACCAGACTCCTGTTGGACTGAAGAAAATGATCTAAGAATAGCGGTAGTCGCTTTGGGCAGCCTGGAGTCGGAGAGTTCAAACCACGGATGGAAATGGCAGGTCCTACTCGCCCCCGTTCAGGAATTACGTCTCGCACCGTTTGAACCCATCCTTTGCATGTTCTGAGCGTCATCTGATCTTTGCCATATATGTCAAGAAGCGGAAAACTCTCCTGGCGCACCGCCACTCCCGCCTTGATCTCGGCCATCATCCCGCGCCCACCGCCCATCTTTTTGCCTTCTCCCCTACTCGAACCTACTCCGTTTTGGCACGCCAGGTGGTCCTGGAGCAGAAAGGACCCCGAAGCATGGCAAGCCCGTGCCGCCAACGAAGCTCTTGACTACTCATGTCATGTAACGCCTAAGAGAAGGCGAGCAATCGGGCAGCAGAAGATGGGGCCAAACCTTCCCCCAACACACACTTACCTGCAAGCGATCGCCTTCCCCGAACGCTAGTGTTGACATCTGGGTCTCCACAGCTAGGAGATGCTCTTGGACAGGTGAGGTGACGGAAAACATTGGATGATGATGGCTTCACGACTCATTCCAGCGACTGCCAAGCCACAAGGGATGGCCAATACTGCCGTGAGGCTCGTTTCCTCAGTCTCGTCCCGCCAGACACTTGGGAAGCCGTCAAGTCCCCAAGTTGGCAATACTTGAGAAAGCGAACACCGCTTGCTATATGTAGGACAACCAAGCAAACTAATTGCCTTTAGGGATGAGCCTGCGTCGACCTCGCGAAATGCAACTCTGCACGGCTTTAACACGGAAGCATCTTGAGCAGTCCAATGACTCCCAAACGAAAACGCCGCAGGAAATGCTATGCGTGCAAGACGCCTCGGCTTTTCATCTGATGGCGCAGCCGAACAAAAATATCATCACGGAACCCTCGACGGGTGTAGCCTCGCAGAAGCCAAGAAGAGCCCAAGAGTCGGCGTTTCATGGAGTGAAGGAGTCTCGGAGTCAAGACTGGCTTGAAATGGACCACCTCAGAGGCTGCGTCGAGAGAGCCGTGCCGTGCTTCTGCCTTGGTCCAGTGTGTTGAAGGTCTTCAACGCGTGCCGAGGCCTCTCGCGATCACAATGTTGGCTTCTGTTTGGCGTGGGTTTGGGACATGAGATGGCGGCTGCTGGCCTGCTGCCTTCAGCAAACAGGGAGGAACTTGGATGCCTGGCCTGTTGCTACGGCTTTTGCAGCACGCCGAACGGCACCGATCATCAGAGATCATGTCGCGATTGATCGAGACGAGCAAGGAGACGCAGAGCTTGTCTGTTCCTTGGCGCAGATCCCAGATGGCTTTGTTTAACCGCGATGGGGGGTCCGTCATGGCTAATCACTTGTAGATTCAAACTGACCGTCTACTTGAAGGCTGAACAGACCTCTGCTGTCGCCAAACTCATGTGGCCAAGATTTCATCCTGAATCGCTCGATATGTCACAAACAAAGTTTCTGCTTTAGACTAGAGACGAGGCTCAACCATCGACGACCCTCGAGAGACCGAGCGAGAGGGCATGATGCGCCGGAACGGATTCTGCCCTGTCATGTTGCTACCGACCACTTGACTAGAAAAACAACTTCCGAGATGTGCCAAGTTCATCATGTTGGCCTCGTGTTTCGTCCCAAGATCCACCCAGACACGAGGAGCCTCATCCCCCGATGGCCGGTATACGCCTGCCGAGGAGCCGCGAGCAGCCAGAAGCCTCCCGGACCTCCTCTGCCGTTGAGGCCCTTCCCCATCGCACACCCTGCAGGCTCGTGCCCACCCTGTTTTGCTGTTTCGTCTGAACAAATATTCGATCTGAAGCATGAGAAGTGCCAATCCTCTCTGTTTTTCGAATGGCAGTTTTATCCCGCTTGGTTTTACTCACGTCGTGTCTTGGTCTGGACGGCGCCTCTAGTTGGCCCGAAGACTATGATAGGCCAGGGTAGACTGACATCTGCAAAGAGAGAGAGGGTGCAGGCTTTGAATGGCCTTGATGGCGTCGCGTTTCTCTGTCGCGAACGGCCCGGATATCAATGCTCGCACAGATCAATGGCCGACACATGTATCCATCCCTCGACCGGGCCGGTAGCGGCGACAAGCCTGCAGATCGCGGGTGATGGGCACTCAGTTTGGTGTTTTGGTGCTGTCTGTCATGCACATACACATTATGCGGGTCGGTGTTTGCGTCGGGCCAACATAGATTCTGCTACCGCTGTGCCCATCCTAGACCGCTCTGCTTGGAAAACGGCCGCATCGTCGCGGGAAATGGTGCTCCTCCACCTGATCGATCGGAGTGAAACTGAGGCTCGTCCCAAGAATCATGATTGACAACAGTGTAAATGCACAAGCGACAGCCTGTTCGCGTTTTCTTGGCCATGGGATACCTGCCTGGAGCAACTCGAGACGAGGAGTTACGCCGTTTGAGGTGGCAGATGAGGCCACAGCTCCTGGAGGCCGGCGAGTCTCCGAACAGTTCACTCAAGACACCCGATGTCTTACCTGCTTGTGTGTGCAATGTTTCGACGTGCCCTCCCCTACTGCTGCTCACCAAGCCTTCGAACAGACTGGCTGAATAAAACGTATGGACTCCGTCCAAGCGGTTGGGAGCTCTTCATGTTTGCAAGGGCGGGGATAGAATATGGTTATTCACTCGGGGAAGAAGCGCGGTAGTCGAGAGGATACTGTTGCAAGTCCTCGCGCCCGGCTTCATCCTCTCCCCAAACGCCACGGGTGTATAGTGTTCATCCGGTACCGTTCGTCGTGATGCCGTGGTCGCCAAAGGCGGATTTCCCGCCGCTCAAAAGTCCATGAGCAGCTGTGGCGCAATCTTTTCCAAGTCCTCGACCTAGACCGCCGATCAGTTCCTTCCTCTGTACACAGCACAGCCGCTGTGGGAATCCACGCCCAACTCACCTCGAGGAAGCCGCCGGGCCTCTCGTGAACACACCGAGCAATGGCCTCCCTGACAAAGATATCCATGTACTTGCCCGCCGCCGCGTTCGCGTCCTTGCTCAGCCTCGTGTCGTCCTTCTCGAAGAACTCGTGCAGCAGCCGCGTCAGCAGCTCGGGCGGGATGGTGTTCTCGGGAGCGTCGGCGTCCTCCTGCTCGTCGTCCTCTTCTGCAGCCTCCTCGGCATCTTCCTCGTCCTCGACGGCTCGGGACGCCGCGTCGCTGTCGGAGAGCTCAAAGGGCCCGGACTTCTTGCCCGCCGGCTGCTGCGCGGCCTTCCGCTTCGTGCCGGCGGGGGCGGGTTGTTGAGATTTGGCGGGTCGACCGCGTTTCGCGGGCTGAGTTGACTGCTTCGGCATTCCAGTGTTTCGGTCTGCTGGCAGTAGTAGCGGAAGAGTGTTTGCGCGTCGTCGAGGAAGATGGGAAGCTGGAAAGTCTGGAACTGCACAGGTTGTTGCCTGCTGTCGTGGAGTAAGGAGACTGACTGACTGGATTCCGTCGGCAATCGAAAGCGGTTGGACAAAAACAACAATCCCACGTGTTGGCCACCCGACAAATGCACCTTCCAGAGTGAGCCCAGAACGTCAAATATCAAGGGTGCGAGATCTGATCCGTCTTGGGGAATCAGGCGATCAGGGCGGGGAGCATGTGGGGGGAAAGACGGGAAACTTGAAGCGAGACGCGACTGCCAACGTCACTGCAACTGCAGCAATGCGGACGCGCGCGCTCCTTGGCACTAGCGACGCCATTGACCAATCACGTCAGTGCGGCTTGGAAACTGGAAAACTTTCCAGGCCACGTCGCATCAAAACAACCAGAAAATCACGATCACAACTGCGACAGAATCAGACGTCACCAACTTCAATCATTTAAGGGAACCATCGAGTTTAGAAACAAGGAAATCTTCCTATTGTACCACGGAAGTCTATCGAGTCATGCAATACCAAAGAAAATCCACTCGAGGATAGACCAGAAGTCGGTCGAGTCCAGCGGAGACAGGGTTGCGTGAATGAATGCAATCGGGAATTGCTTTAGTGTACAAATTACAGTGGATTAGGTAGCAAGCAAAGCTCTTCAGATCATGTAAGAGAACGCCTTGCCAGATGCCAGTCTAAACCACGAAGGACTGGCCGACGCAGACAGTCCACCGCTTGTGGTGTCCGCATCCAAAGTCCCTCCGCAACTTCCATCTCACCCCTTTTGTCAACCGAATCCTCATCTGATCCCAGCCAGCCACGAATCCCCACAGCCCGGGTGTTCGCCAACTGCCAACCCGCCACCGATGAAGAGTTTATACACGAAGAGGTGTCAAGGCATTTAGCCAGAGCCACCCTTGAAGGCCTTGCCGAAGAGCAGGACCTGGAGCTGGTCGTAGATGGACAGAACACCAGCACCGGCAACACCACGGAGGATGTTGGCACCGGCACCCTTGAAGAGAGACTTGACACCCTCCTTGGCGATGATCTGCTTACCGGCGTCGAAAGAGCTCTTGTACTTGACGGCCTCACCAGAGGTCATCATCATGCGACGACGGATGGTGTCAAGGGGGTAAGAGGCGATACCGGCGGCGGTGGTGACGCACCAACCGAGAGCGAAAGAGGCAAGGAAGTTGTTGGCGAGGTTACCGGTGAGGACGACGGGCTTGATGGAGTCGTAGAGACCGAAGTAGAGACCACGGTAGACGACGATACCGGCAACGGAGGGCATGAAACCACGGTAGAGACCGGCAATACCGTCAGAGGCGAGGGTCTTGCGGTAGACGTCAACGAGACCGTTGAACTGGCGCTCACCACCCTTCTTGGCGGACTTGGCGTCGTTGGCCAGACGGGTACGGGCGTAGTCGAGGGAGTAGACGAAGAGGAGGGAAGTGGCACCAGCGGCACCACCGGAGGCCAGGTTACCAGCCATCCACCAGGCGTAGCCGTCACGCTCCTTCTTGAAGCCGAACATCTTCTTGAACTTGTCACGGAAAGCGAAGTTCAGGGCCTGGGTAGGGAAGTAACGGATGACGTTGGCGGTGTTACCACGCCACAGGGACATGACACCCTCGTCGGCGGCGGTGCGACGGAAGCAGTCGGCAATACCGTCGTACTTGCGGTCGAGACGACCCTGCTTAAGCATCTCATCCTGAAAGACTGTTAGTCACGGTTCAGGTAGACGGCCGGCTGTGACAGGGGGCCAAGGTCACGTGGCATTGCGTTTGACAATACACCGGGAGTACCCGACCGGACCTTGGCTGGCCGTCTGTCAACACCGAGGGTGAAAACTGTGCTCACTAACCTGGTTCTGGATGAGGAGCTTGATACGCTCGATGGGGGCAGCAGCAGTCTTGGAGACAGCGGCAGAGACACCTCCCACTGTAGGAAGTTGTTAGCAAGTGTTCGACATGATTGTATATCGCGCCATCCCAATCAGCTCGCCTAGGCCGGGTAGCTGATGGGATGGAGGCAGCGATGTCGATATTGATGGTGAAACATACTGAGGAAGTCAGCCACGAAGGGCTACAAGATAGAAGTCAGCATAATTGTTCGATGAGCATGGCATTGTCCCAGCCTTGCAGAGAATTCCCCAGCCCGGCGCGCCGATCCATCCATCGGCGACGATAAGCCGGATCTTGACCATTGTCGCATCGGACCTCAGCCATCAAGTCGAGGCAGGTGTCGTCTCGATGGAGCCATTGGTGAAGTCGATGGCCACTGAAGGCAGGTCGACGATGGATGGAAGCGACGTCGCCGGCGCGGGAATTTTCGCGCAGCCTCGGGTGAAAGGGGAGGAGGGAGTGTGGTAGCTTACCGGCATGCCCAGAACCTTCTGGTCGGTAGGAGGAGACATTTTGGCTGTGGGTTTCTTCTCAAAAGATCAACCTCAGAGAAAAGAATGAGCGGAGATGGACGGAGGAGTAGAAGGAGATGTGAAGACGGAAGGGCGAGTCGAGAGAATTTAAGTGCTCCGACGGTAGCAGGTTTGAGGGAGGGAAAAAAAAATTCCTGCAGGGTGGCCGAAGAAGGAACAGCTTTTGAGCGAATCTTTCCGGGCCGCGCTAAACAGGGAGCACCGACCACCTCGGACAGGGCCAGGGTGCGTGAGAGGTGGGCGTAAAAGCGGGTCCCCTTTCGCTGGCGGTCCTCCAGACTCCAGAAAGTCCAGCGAGGTTCAGTGTATCCAGTGTGTCCTCTCTCTCTAGTACTCTACCTAGTACTCTGTACACTACTCTCTATCGGGTGGGCAGGAGCTGGGTGGGTCGCCCCCTTCCAACCCCAAATTCACTGGGAAGGTGCAGCACCGGCGCCAGCAATCGGGGGAGGTGAAGTTTTTCTCTGGCCCGGCAACTGTTGCCTCAGGCCGGAGCGCTAGTTTGCCATGGAATTGAGATACCGGTTCACCCCGAGATTTGCACGGGGACTCCGCCGTCTGTGTTGCTCTGGCTTCTTGAGGGATGTGTCGGCTGTCTGGCGGGAAGACGACGATGCGTGTTTAGTGCTCGTTAGCCAGGCACCTTGGTCTGTCCTTTAGTGAAAGCCCGAGTCTAAGCAGCAGCTACTGCGACCAAGGGGGTTTGATGAATAGGGGCATTGGGCTGGCTGTCTTGGGTGAGACCGACTCGTTGTGGAGGAGAGACGATGGCACAGGGGCATCAAGGTGGCCCATCAAGCCCATATACGGCTAAGCAGAGGGTGCCAAACGGCAAACGGAACGACGGCCGGCCTGGCTCTGGTTAATGAGATTTCATTCCAAGCCTCTTTGGCTGTCCAGAAGCCACTGCAAGATCTCACCCTCCGTTGTTTTGGAGCCACCGTCATTGCCAATTCATCCCCTTGTCATCATCATGATTGATGTTTCTTATTGAAGCGTAGCCGCAAGCGCGGAAACACAAACTTCAAAGCCGCCTGCCGTGGCAACCGCGTTGTTATGGATGGGTATCTCTTCCGGCCCAATGTTATCAACATCCCTCCTTATCCCCTCTGGTCGCTTTCATCCCGATCAGAAGCCTACCATGTTCCCGGTGCCAAGCCGCCCAGCTTGAATGGCTAGGCCGGGTTACCTCTGGGGTCTCGTCAGCCTGCAGGAAATGCAGCGTCCAATCCTTTGAGCCGCCGCCGCTAATTCGCAATCCGCTATTGACCTGCATCCAGACAACCGAGCTTCTAAAAAAAAAGGAAAGACGAAAAACCACACGGGCTCCAGAGTGCCAGGGGGCAGGCCTGGTCGGCCGAGTCACGTCTCTTCGCTGGCCTCGGGCCAATTTAGCGAGAACCCGTCATCCCCTTGGGTATGCAACGCAAGGTACGACAAGACTGACATTCACTCGCATGCCCGAGGATAACGGACAGCGTTCAACAGGCAGTTGGGTAAGCGGCTCTCGGGTTAAGCGTGGTACGGGGTACAAGTTGGAGAATTGTTTACATTCGCTTCGATTCGTACAGGCTGGATGCAAAACCGCCGTATGGAAATGATGAAGCAGATCTATGGATACGGTCCACGATGCCCAATATAATTTTTCGCCATCCATGAAAAGGGAGGGGGTGTTATTTGCCTTCTCGAACGCCGCTAGCAAAGCGGCAACTCCTATTGACAACATGCATGTCAACGTTGCACCCGAGCTGAAGCAATTGAGTTCTCCTGGCAAAGGACCGACCGAGCAGAGACACACTGACCAGGCACATGCAACGAGCACGGATAAGTGGCCACTGTCTAGACGCATTCAACGTCAAGCCTCAGAAGTGTCACGTATTCCTTACTCGTACACGGCAGCATCCCCAGACGAGGCGGCAAGCCCGGTCTGGGAAATTGCCAGTTGTGTCGCCTTGATACAGTCTCGAGCGAGTCGCTCTGTTGATCCAGCATCGAGATGACATCTTCGCAGCCAGACAGACGACAATCTCTCGGGCGAAGCTGGCTGGGATGCCATTTCGCAAAGCCTCGGAACCCCAAGCGCGGGAGACCGGGAGAGCGGGAAGAAGGATTGATGGAGACCATTGGACGGATGGCTTCGATGTGGACTGCCCACTCTGCCAGCTCAGCTTCTCCTTTCTTGACATGGGACCCGTGAAAACAGAGACCGATCGGTCTGACTAAGGAGGCCGCAAGCTGGGGTTTGGCTTCAGGCCTCGCTCCGTTTTCTGGCTAACAGAAGCGCCCGCGGGCCGCAAGCAGCCCCATTCTCTTTGCTCTTACCCGCAGGCGTTGCTGTTTTCCGTAGATGCCTTGGCGCCTCGTTTCAATCGGATTGGATGCCGCAGGCTACCTATCCTAGGTATTTATGAGTAGTATTACATAAGGCAAGCTAAGGCGCAAGCAAGGTGACGCAGCACTGGCGCTTTCCCATAGCCCACGTGACAGCTGCAGCTCGGACCCGCCCTGGCCAATTTTTTTCTTCCCTCAGGCTTCCATTCCACAGCACAGCACCCTCACGCGGCCCCTCGCCCCGTGTTTGAAGCTTGCCCGTGCTGCGCCCGTGGTTCATCTCGCTCGCCGCGTGCTCCAGATTCCGTTCTCAGTTCCCCATCCTCTCTCCAACCTTGCCGACCGACCAACAAGAAAAATTCATCGACCGCCCAGTGGCCCGCCTGCAGAGAAATAAACCAGCGAAATCCCACACCTTCGAACATCTGGCATCACGTGACCCACTTCGACCAGACGAAAAAAAACATCACCCGCACGACACGACTTTGGACGCGCGACGACGAGTGGCCCCCGATAGCCACCCTTCCCACCTTGAACGCGCCCAGATAGATGCCTCAGCCCACCCAGTGCTCCTCGTAGAGGCTGCCAGTACGTCCCGCGACGCGACTTTCAGCCTTGCGACGCTGTGATAAGATGACACCTGTCTAACGTCTGAGATGCAGACCCTGGCGCCCATCTATCATCTCCCCCCGAGACCTGACGGCTTCCTCGATCACTGGCGAGGTGCATATTGGGGCATGAATAACCCGGCCGCCTACACTCCTCTCGAGTCCCTTTTCCTGTTCCAAGCCATCCTGAAGCACGGCGTCGAGGCCGCCGCGTTCGCCAAAGTCTCCGATCTTCTCGTCAACAACTCATTGATCAAGGATGACAAGACCTATGACGCTAGGCGACTGAGCCCGGATGCGCTCCGACAACTCTTCCTGCACCTGTTGCAGGAGGAGCTCCGGAGCGAGAATGCGATCACCGATAAGCCCGATGGCACTTTGTCGCCCAACTCGAAGAAGCGCAAGCTCAACCGTCCGCCGTTGCCTACACTGAAGGAGGTGAAAGAACAGCTGCACAAACTCCCAGCGCTGGTTGATCGGCTCTATGCGAGGTATAAAGATCACGTCGTCAAGAATGTTAGGGACGACGAGCGGCGCATCGAAATACTGGCAAGAGAGATCCAGGTCCTCGAAGCGCAAGAGGCCGCCGACCGAGCCAAGGCAAACGCGCCTCGCCAAGTAGGTCCCAACGGCACCTCTGGCCCCAGAACGATTCAGACACCCGTCCCGATACCATCACCGATTCCGACTCCTGCGCAAGCTGCTGCGCATCCGCAGGTCAAGCCGCCGACGCCAACACCGCCGGTCGAGGTACCGAGGCCGATCCGGCCTGCGAGCGGGCAAGCTTCCGCCCCCACGCAGACTCCTGTGCCGATTCCGACACCTGTACCCTTGCCGCCCCAAGCGCATGCCCGGCCGCCAGCAAACCCAGTACCAACCCCGCCGACTGCCCCGCAACCTACACCGGCAAGGCGAGATGTGGCTCCTCCTACAGGCGCGTTCCAACCTCCGCCCGTGGTGCCTCCGGCGCAAGCTGTGTCGACACCCGGGGCATCTGCTACGACGCCTGCCACTGCTCCGGTAGCCAAGCAACATCAGCCCCTCAAGCCTCCCAATAGTGCTGGCCAGGTTCTGCAACCTCCCAACAGCGCTGGTCACCCGCCAGTGCGGCCCGGTCAGTCGACATCGCCAGTTCCATTACCGGCGATATCACCTCGACCAGACAACGTTCCAAAGTCTCGTACGCCGGGGCCGGCAACACCTACGCAACCTTCGACACCAGGAACCCTCAAGTGGGAGAAACCATACCAACCAGCCGCTCCAGCATCGCAACCACAGGGTCGTCCAATGCCACCACACATCCCTACGACATCTGCTCCGTCTACCCCGGGCCAACCGCATCATCCTTCACAGTGGTATCCTCAACCGGCAAGTCAATACCACGGGCCTCCGCAACCGCCGCATGTTCCGATCCAGCCAAATCCAGCGCAAAGATATCCCCAGCAACCGCAGTCGGTATTGGTGCCGCCTCAACCTCAGACTCAACCTCAGGCCCAGGCTCAATCTCAGCCTCAAGCTCACCCGCAGCCTCAGGCTCATCCGCAACCCCAGGCTCAACCCCCAGCACAGGGCCCGGCCCAGTCTCAGTCTCAGGCTCAACCGTCTCACCAGCCTCAGCCGCCTCAACCGCTTCAGAATCAGCCCAAGGGTCAACTAGTGGCTCCAATGCACTCCACACCGGTCAAAGGCCCTTCAGAGAGATCTGCGATCCAGCCTCCACAGGGTCGTCCGTCATCGACAACTCCGATTGCTCCTCCTGTGCGGCCGCAGCCGACTCAGCAGCAGCCCCACTCGCCGGCCCCTCATACCTCTCAACCTCCTCATCCCCCACAACCACCAGCCGGGTATCAACACCAACCGCGACCTCTCGCTGCAGCTTCACCTACCCCTTCATCTGGGCCCTCGGGACAGACTGCGGTTCCTCCCCCAAGATGGCCCCAGTCTTACCCATCACCTTATGCGCAACAGCAGTTTAGCCCTTCGCCAGCGCCGGCCCAGCCCCATGTGAAGCCGGCTGATGCCCAACGGCGCGTGAGCTCTCCGTTGCACAAGCAGCAACCCCCTCGTCCAGCAATACCTCCCCACCTCGTTCCACAACTCGCAGCCACCCCTCAACCGGCACAAAGAGCCGCGAGCACGCCTGTTCCGCCCCCACAAACGCCTGTCACGGCACCTCCTACGTTCCTACTCACTGGCTCTGGTACCAAATGGACACTAAAATCCACGCCTTCCACCCCTCGCCCGTCCGGGGCCGGGAAGGATGTTGCTAGCCCCGCGTTCGAGCCGCTGAGTCCGGTGCAGCAGCCTGCACCTTTACCTGCGCCGACACCGTCACAAGCACCGCAGAAGGCGAGCCCGAAGCCGACACCAGTACCTATCCCGGTATTGAAGACGGAATCGAGGACTCCCGGACCTCGAGGTCGCGGCCGGCCACCTCGCAGTGCAAACAAGGTCCGCGCTGACAGCACTCCATCGTCGGTGGCTGGTATGCGGAGGAGTCAGTCAGTCGCATCTCAGACGGACGAGTTATCAATGGACCACCATGAGTTAGCGCCGAGAATTAAGGATGAGAACGCTACTCCTAGAGCGACTCCAAGAGCGACACCAAAACCTCAGGATGAGACAGGCGATACCACTGCTGATGAAAGCGTGCCAAGTCGAAGGAACATGATTACTCCTAGCAGCGTATCGTCACGGCTGGCTCACAAACGCAAACGTCAAGATACCCCGACCGAGCCGCTGCCTCTGCCCACGGCACCCACTCATGTACTATGGACGAGACAGTTTGGTCGTGTAAGCGCCGCCGCTCTCGATCAAATCAGCGCCCACAGGTTTGCGAATCAGTTCGCAAACCCGATTCGCGAACGAGACGCACCTGGCTACAAGACGCTTATTCTGCAGCCGCAGGATATCAAGTCCATCCGCGCAGCCATCACTCATGGTAATCGAGCAGCTACTGAGGCCGCCAAGGCTCTACCTGACGGAGATCCAGGCACTGGCTCTGTTCTGTTGCCAATCAGCGACGATTTGGTGCCGCCAAAGAGCATCATCAACAGCGCCCAACTTGAGCGAGAACTAGTTCACATGTTCTCAAACGCGATCATGTACAATCTTAACCCCAGCCGCGGACCGGGCCCGGCCTTCATGAAGGGTGGTACTGCAGCTGATGGTGCCGATGTGGTGGGATACGAGGTCGACGAGGACGCTGTCGTCCGTTCTACAAGGATGATGTCCATGGAGGTTGAGAAGATCATCGGCGAGCTCCGTAACGCAGAGAAGGAACGCACGGGTCAAGCGCCATCCAATTCCGGCAACACGAGGCCGGCGAGTGTCGCTACCGGCGAAGACACGCCGATGGCGGAGGATGATGTTGACGAGCTGGCGGGTGATGTCGATATGGGGTCGACGACGAGGAGAAGACGCGTGGGCACGAGGAACTAGGTGTTGCCTCGTATTGCGCGCGGTTCTGATGATTGAAGTGTGTTTTTTCTGCGTCACAAAGGTCAGATGGAAAGGGACCAAACGTCTTCGCCCTGAGGAGTGTAGGATACTTTGAGCGGACCCGAGGGTCTGCCTTCGTACGATAATGTTACCAATAAGCCCAGTCGTGGCCAAAATCTTACCTTGAGCGTCCAAATGCTCGTGTTCGTGATGTGCAGGAACCAATCGAATGTATGTGCCAGATTTTGCTATCCAGTCAGACCTACGAGATGAAGAGGACCTGCTCGGCAGGATCGGGTCCGCCATTGCTTTCGTTTCCTCAATCAGCTACATGCTGTTCCACTCCACGTTACCGATAGCTATCCGTCGGGCAAAGGTTAGGGCCCTCCAACCTTCCCAGAATGACACTACACTCTAAAGTAAGACCGAGAAATTGATGAACAGACTTTGTATATCAGACAAGAATCTTGATTTCCAGTAGAATTTTGGGTTTTACTCGCAGTTTTTTCTGCCTGCGTGGGTTTGCTCGTGAATGATCCTCGGAATATCATGTCACGAGCACCCACCCGCCTCGGACTTGGAGATCCGATGTTGACGACTGTAGACAATCCGGGCAACATTCGGTAATACAGAACACAAAAGTATACACAAAGTGTCGATTTCCGAAGAGGAACCTCGGGGCCCTAGGGCACGGTTTTCCGTGTGCTCTCAATCACCAGGCATGTCGTGCTTTGTTTATTTGTAAAACATGCGAGAGGACTTAGGGCGTTACGGAGTGGACATGATTTTAGGAGGGACGTTCAAGAACCGGCTATTCTATCAATTCCTAAGCCCTTGGGATGTGTCTTTTCACTTCAGCCATGGTCTCAATGGAGGTAAATTGTGATTGTATAATATTCAACGGATGTTTCAGACAGGCATCATTATGTGAGTGAGGATTTCTTGTCCCCTAACCTCTGTCGACATTTGGTGTTTGTTCAGAGAGCTGTATCAGTTGCTTGACAAGTAGCTATGATGATGCTACTTTTATTATTAAACAGAGTTGGTTATGAGAGGGCACTTTTCTCAAACATTTTTCGGTATATAATTCCGGTCACTAAGTGATATTTTTCGTTCTTTGCCCCAAGCATAGTCCTCCCCCCCTAGTTTTCCCATAATGGCCGTGAAGTGCATCAATGGCAGAGGGTATACGGCGCTACTCCATCCCGTGTATCCTTCCAGGAGTTTACCAGGGAACTATTGTGGGATGAAGGTTTCCAATGTATGGTGCCAAAATACTCACTAAAGGAACATCAGCCTTGTCTCATCCCGGCGAACAAGTGATCTATATATGATTAGGCCACGTATAGACATTGACTGTTTGCTCTGTCTCCCGCGGCACATCCAAATTGAATGCTGGTTGTCATTATCAAAAGGACATTGGCTACTTATTTTTAAATAATTTAACTTGACACACTACATTGGTTTCTTAGCAGCATCATGGTCATGAATAGAAGTAGAGATTCAAAAGGAGCAAGAAAAGACTAGTCACACGGGGGGGTTCATCAATAGGATCCAACGGTATGGGTTCGATGCGGGCAGCAGTAACATCTCAGGCAAGTGCTTTGATTGTTGTCGAACAAAGAGGCTCGCCATTTTTCATGAATGAAGATCCCCTGAGAAGAAGAGAAAAGGGTGAGGGCGAATATTCTGACGACAAGTCCATCTGACTTGAGCCTGATACGACTATTTGTAGCAGAGTGTAAACGTCAGTTACATGAATATTGAAGAATACTTATTCCGTTGAATGCTAACGACGTCCGATATGTGTATTAATAATCGGAGTCTGAGACTGACAGCATGCAGAACCAACAAGCCCCTTTTGTATTCTCTAACAGGAACACCTCATTTCCTCCACCCTGTGGAAACACTGCAGGATTTACCACGGGACTGAGGTCCCGTTGTACAAATAAAACCTCCCACTATCTTCATCCCTCAACCCAGCTAGCAGACGAAGCACACTTCCAGCACTATCCTCAACCTCGACAGTCGCGCCGGGCCCGCCAGCAGCCGTCTTCACGTGGCCCGGGTCAACAACCACCACGATAACCCCCTTACTCCTCAGCTCCTTGGCCTGGTGCACCGTCAACATGTTCAGTGCCGCCTTGCTGAGGGAATAACCAGCGAGCACGGGCCTCACGCGGCCCTCGCTGATCTGGCTCAGACTCCCCGCGCCAGAGGTGATGTTCGCAACAACGGCAGCGGCCCTCCCCTCGCCGTCACCTCTAGCCGTCAGGAAAGGCAGCATGACCTGCACCATGCGCGCCGGACCGAGGACGTTGGACGTCATGTGCACCTCCAACCCCGCCGCGTCGAGGGTCAGGCTCGTCTGGGACGCGTACTGCAGCGTCGCGGCGTTGTTGATGAGGACGTCGACTCTGGCAGAGTCGCCAAGGGCCGCGGACAGAATACCCGGGAGGGCGGATATGGAGGCTTCGGAGGCGACGTCACATTCCAGGATGTGGACCGTGGCTTTGCTCGTGGCCTGGGTGGCGGCGAGGGAGGAGAAGCCGGCAGAGGAGGAGGCGGAGCGGACGAGGGCGACGACTGTGTTGGCTGGGTCGCGGCTGAGCTGAGCTACGTATTCGAGACCGATGCCGCCTCTCGCACCTGTGATTGTGTAGGTAGGCATGGTATGGAACGGGCCACAGCAAGGATCCGAGTCTCTAGAACGGTAATGCGCTTGAGTGAAGCGTATTTTCGCGAAGCTTGTTACAGGGAGTCGCGTCACGATTGAGGCTGTGATCATGGGCATGTCACGAAAGGGAGTGGTCTATGCAAATTATGAATTTGTCTACGGGCGGCGGACGTGTTCCCCGTCGATTTGGATTATCAAGACGGATTGGTAAGACGCAACCTTTAGTGAAGCCTGTGGTTGGGAGGATTCCGACAAAGAGCCTAAATGCGCATACACCCGAAGGATCGAGTGTCAGCGACAGCGTCAGAAGGTATTGCGCAAGCATCCCGGTATCTTAATCAGGATGCGTGTTCCCGTGGTCGAAATTGAGCGACAATGTCTGGCGAGTCGGAGCTTCATAAGGACGGATCCCGGGCAGGCCTCCGATGGTAGGCCGGCAATTGTGGAGAACTACCTGGAGCAGCGCCGGGTATTACGGGTGGCAGGCAGGTGCGGGCCGGCACGGGGGCATCTTAACCCGTGCTAAGGAGGGGAAAGGGACTAGAAACGGAAATGTGCATGGGAAATCACAGGAACGGTATGAGCCGGCTTTGCGCGTCTCGCGCGCGCATCGAGGCCTTGCCTAGCAGGAAGCAGGATAGTCATCCAAGGTTGCTGCGCCCTGGCCAAGATCGAGCCAGGGGCGATTCGCCAGCCGGGCAAGGGAGAGAGCCATGACGGCTACGTGCGGAATCTGTTTACGCGCAGCGCTGGCGGTCAAACGAAGATCAAGGCGGTGTTTGCATGTGGTTTGTTTGGGTTTCTTGGTTTGTTTTTTTCTCTTCCGTAGCTTCACTGGTCTGGCTTTGCTTGGCACGCCGGATGGGCATGTAAGCTCTGGGGCGGACAGGGGCAGCGTTGGCTGAGAGAAGAGCGGCAGGCGACTTTGTGCGTGGCGGTCGGTCCATTGGGCTTGGCTGTCACGGTACGGTTAGGCTGTGTTCGTTGTCCAGGGGGTGATTTGCAAGTTGTTTGGTTCGGAGAAGAGAAGGGCGTTGGCAGGCCAGACCGCCACGAGACCAGACTCGGCCATGCGAAGGTTGGTAGCCAGACAGGAAGCACGATCGGCAGCCATCGAGCATCGAACTGGCTACCAGAACGTTGGAAAAAGGGCAGAAAGCTGGGATGAAAATGGGACGAAAATGGCTGGCTGGCTGGCTAGCTGGAAACATCCCAATTCGGTACGAGTTTCCATTCGTCGCTATGGTAGGGTAGCTCTGAGGCTCAGTGCCTGACGTCAGAGAACGAACATATGCCCCTAGAAGCCTGCAAAGTGAAGCAAGAAGACGGG